ATAAATGGCTTTTCAATGAATACATTGGCGATGTATGATTGGTAATTTTTCAAGTCCTTAGGCTTCAGGTTAGTTATCACATCTAACACTGACCAATCTAAAAAATTTTACTCTTAGAAAATGACTTCACAATGTCAATTAGAGGTCAAAAAACTGATAGAGCTTGAATGACCTTGAGCATTCGAGCTTATGGTTCTTCAATCTTCTGAAGATCAGGTTTCAAATCACCTTAAAACTAAATAGTTCGGTATATTGTATAGATACACTCAGCCACCATTCTGGGACTACTGAAAAGATGTATCTTTGTAGAAATTTTAAAATACATTGAAAATTTTTGAATGACCTTCAAATGATCTCCGATGACCTTGAAAATTTGATATATTCAAATTTTTCAGCCTGAGAACACTCTATACCAAATTTAAGCTCATTATGCTGAGCTGTTGGTCTGAAAACGTAATTATAAGCAAGCAAAAAGTGAATTTTTGAAATGGCATAGATGAGTAAAAATCTTGGCTTCGCTGCGCTACGCTCCGATAAAAATTAATCAGTTTCTGTTAATTCTTTACTGAGAAATGAAAATTGACCGAAAACTGTTTGGCTCAACTAAATAAATCAATAGTTTCGCTGAAATTTCGAAAAAAAATTCTTCTCTTAACTTTTCGTAATAGCTTATCAACTGCAGGTCAATCGAGTGATAGACGTTGAATAACGATATTGAATTGGTTCATTTCATTGTACAAAATTACTTTGCGACTCATTTAGACTGATAATTTAATCTATTTGAATTGTTGCTTCACAATTTGTCTGAATTAAGTGACAATTAATCTCAGCTGTCCTTTTCTTGTCCAACTCTGTCCATCTATTTGTGAATTATATTCATTTTCAATCAAATGCTATCCTGACGTCTCTCCTTGTGTAATCCTAATCCTATCTGAGCAATTGTAAATTGATCTTCTCAATATCCAATTTAATCTGACCCTTGAAAAAAACTGGTGATGATAATGAGTTTTACCAATGAATCTGACCATCTGCATTGGCATCATTATCATCCACATCATGATGTTCTGCCTGCCATCTGCCTTGAACTTTTCTTGTGAGTTTGTTTGCTTTTCTTTCCAGTGGTTCTCTTGTTTTCTTCAGATTAATTCATCTCGCTTGTAATTTATTTACACCCGATTGACCAGTAAAAAGGTTGGAAATTGTTATCATGGAAGCCACAACAACTTGGACAACGGAAAAAAAGAGTAAAAATAAAATGCTTCAAATGCTTCAAAAACATTGACTCTTCACTGGAAACATTATTTTAATCTGATGTTAATTCAAGGGAATACAAAGAGGAAAATCAGTTTTCCATCTCCTTTACACCATTATCATCATCCTCTTGTACTTCGATTAACGAAATCTTTAAGATAATCATTTAAAAGTTTTCTCATTACTTTCTCATTACGGACATTGCGACCATTACAATCTCATTCCAAGCAACATTCAACATTTGTTAAATGCTTCTTATTAAGTGATTCAATCTAATTGAACTTTCAATTAGTCGATAGTGAAAACATGGCACAGATTTCAACAGCAATTGTGTTGAAACATCTTATTCATTGGCAAGCACTTTTTTATTAGATTATCAATCTTCTATTCATTCTGAGGAAATCTTTTCAATGAACATTTATATTTAGTCGAAAGTCCAATTCAAAAGTGAAATATAACCTAAATTCAAAGCTAAGGCAGCAAATCGGGAAAAGGTTTTTGACTTCATCTCCTAATATTTTATTCAAGTCAAGCTTTCATTAAGACTACACTTTACACTTCAGATTCCCTATCTGTTAGCATGTTCAAGGAATCTGTAAAATTTATAAAATCTGTTGCAGTGTTTCGAACAGATTGAACAGTTTTAATAGTGTCGATAAGTACCTTTTTGTTTTTCATTGTTTTTAATGAAAATTGTTTAGAAACCGACTGAACCGACCGCTAATCATATGCGGTTCGCGTCAACACAGTTACCGGTCACGTTGGTGCGGTTTCTCGGTTAACATGATTGTTAGCACAGTCACCATTGAGATAATGCACCATCGAGATAATGCACTCATTTTTTCAATGGTCCCTATTGAGGAGGAGTTATATCGTCTTTTGAATTTCGTCAAATTTTGATTCGATTTCTTTAATTATCAATTGATTTAATTCAATTTCCTTTCGTGAAATTTTAATCCAAAAACTCGCAAAAGTAAATTAAAGCAAAATTAAAGGTTAAATTTGATCTAATAAGGAAGATTGAAAATCATGAATTACGCTGCCCGAAGAATAGTGAAAATAAGCTATTCCCAGTGCGGTGCATTATCTCAATGGTGACTGTACACGGTGTACAGAAAGTTCGTGTGAGGGGTGGGGTAAAATGTAATCAGTAATGTCAATAATAACAATAGAAAATGTGTTCAATACGCAAGGGAAATTATTTTTTCCCCTCACACGAACTTTCTGTACACCCCGTAAATATTAGAAATTTTATATTTTAAAATAGTTTGTCTACTTACGCTTAAATTGTGTATCCTGGCTGTTTGGAATGATTAATTATCAAATCGGCATAATTAGTTTGCAAGGTTTTTATTTGCAAAAATAAATTCAGTTATTGATTTACAATTAGTTTGTTTGAGGTTTGCGGATACAAATGAGATATTAACAAAATGGATTACATGTTACAATTTTTTACGATTAATTTGTTGTCTTTAAACATTTTCCATCAATTCTATTTTATGGATAATTTTCTTTGTCAGCCTCCAGTCATCTGGCCGGTGTCACTGTTTTCCGAAAGGTTTAGGAAGTGACCATGACGGTTGCGATGTAGTTATGATTCATTAATTAGAATATTTCGTAAGAGTTTTTACATCAGAAGTGGTGCCATCTGTGGAATCTATAGTAGCATTCATTCGCTGTGGTTAGGCCCAAGGGTCTTTATTCATCTGTTAATGGTTCTTGTTTTTTTAGTGTTAAGTGATCCAAGTGTCTTAATTGTCATTTCCGTTCGAGATCTGTAACTATCTTCGTGTACGTACTCTACAGATTGTTACTCAGTGTATCTAGATGATTCTAGCGGATCCGACTTTGACTTTATCTTTTTTTCTTCACTGCTATTCCCTTCACCTCTCACTTGACTACGCTTTCAGTGTCAACAAAATCACTTGTATTTTCCGAGCCACTGCGAGCCACTGGATTCTGTGTTTTCTCTGCTTTTTTATTTGATAGCCATTCCAATCCTGAATCCTCAGAAAGATGACTAAATTGGTTGATAATCTGAAATGGCAAAATGAATGGCTTTTTCTGTGAACTCGCCTTTTGGTTTCATGTTTATTCCTTGAATCTTTCTTTGAAATTTGGATTTATTTAGATAATTTGAAACACTCAACTTTTCAATAGATGAAAATGTCAAGTATTAAGCTTGAATAAATGTGAAAATTGTTTTGAAATGTGAAAGAGTTAAAATTGGAAAGCGATATTCCAACTCATATTGATTGGATTATCATTAAGTTTATTTATTTGTTTTCTGGGTTTTTTGTTTCTCCTCATTCATTTTGATTCCCTTTGCTTTTTTGATCACATATTATCTGGTAAATGATTTAACTTTCCTCTGGTATCCAGTTTTTGTTGGAATGATAAATGATTCCTTATCATGAAGACTGACCATCATTCCATATTTTCTCATTCATCAAACTACTATTTTCCTTCATTCCCATCATCATTATCATTTCTCTCATTCCTTTATCCTCTCCACTCTTCATCAACTTTACTCTCACTTTTATTCTCAATCATTTTCATATTTGATTCTTGAGTTCATCTAATGATCAGCAAAACTTTTTCCTCTCAAAACCCAAACACATCAAATTACACCTTATTATAATTTAACTCATCTTTTTAACCCTTTCCCATTCAATGGGAACAAATGATTCTCAACTGTTCAACATTAACCTTGCTGTTGAAAGGTGCATTGAAACTCAAAAAAAAAATAATTTCTTTTCCATTCAATGAACAAAATTTCCATGTAAATCATTACATTTTGGATAAACCTTTAACTCTGTTTCATAAAATAACATTGAATGAGCTCTAGTTTAGTTTCAATTTATCACCATTTACTTATCAATAATTTTACAACTCAACTCTTAATGTTAATACCAAAGACAAGGTTAGCGAAACATTCAAATATAAACATTTAAATGACCCTTAAATGTTCGTAAATTGACTCTGATTCTCGAAAATTTCATTCCATTAATAATTCAACTTTCCATCTTCAATCAAATCATGAAAACCAATTTCATGACCATTCTGGTTACATCTTGATTCACGTTCAACTCTCGGTAGAATAGAGAAATGAATTTCTCCATGATACAACCAAATCTCTTTATCCTTGATATTGAAATGAAAATTGAATTAAAAATAACATTCAACTTGGAAACTCGAAAATTGATAAACACCGAAAGCAGCTATTGCCATCTATACTCAAAAGGTTCAACCACTTAACACTTTGCAGTTACACATAAAATTAACTGAATTTCCAGAGCACAAATTTTCAAATACAAAACTTTAATTTGATAGATGACTTGAATGGAATCAAATTGAGGTTCATTAAAAGACTCATTAAAAAGAGATAACATGATAGCTGTTTGAACCAATGTAGAAACAAATGTAAATGTATTTCTCGGTTGGTAAATTGTTGGGTTCAATTGAAATGTTGATAAATTGGTTGGAATTGAAAAGCAATGGAAATTTATCAAGCAGTTATTAGAAGAGCAATTTTGAACAAAGGTTCAGTCTTTTGGTTGAAGGCAAAAACAAAAGGCCAACAAATCTTGAATTTCAATTGTAATTCAATTTGTCCACTATTTGTCCTGCAATTGTATCATTGACAATGTATTATTATACGATATTATTTATAATTGAGAAAGAAATCTCTTGATTAATTGTTTCACTTTTTTCCTCTTTTTTCTGGCTTTTGTTTCTTTTAAACACAGAAAGTGGATCAATTAGAGCAACCAATGGTATTATAATGAGTGGTCGATCCAATTCAACTTCAAGTTACCAGCAAATACCAACGATTACTGGTAATTTGATTCAATTATCTGATTCAATGACAACCGGATCTAATCTTACTTTGCCATCACCTAAATCAATCTCTTCATCAGTATCATCTCCAAGCTCATCTTCAGCCAACACAGTTATATTAACTGCTCGGTTAGAAGTATAATAATAATTCAATGTAATAAAGTGAAGGCAACATGAGCAGTTGGATCAACAAATTCAACAATAACAAATTCACTGATGTATGGAAGCAGCAGCAGAAGCAGCAAAAAACGAGAAATGAGAAGAAAAAATTATGAAAAAAAGGACGAAAAAGGTCAGAGAACCTGGTCAAGAGCAGGTATTGACCGATCCATGCATCAATACTCAGGTTTCCAGTTGAAAAAAAATGAAAGCCAATTCAATTTGGGTTGACTAACTCTGAATATAAATTTTCATGTAAAAATAAAACCCTTGATTGAACCAAGAAAACATGCAACTTGGGTCAACATTGATTGAAGTGAAATTCATGATGAAATTAACCTTTACAAGCATTTGTATCAGTAAACAAATTGCAAGCTTGAACATGTTTAAATATGGGACAAAAAAAGTAAACAATAAAGCGAAAAAAATTGAAATCAAATGAGGCAATAAAACAACAAGATTGACTGTAAAGTGAGTGAAAAAAAGGACGAGAAAAATGTTGCCAATGAATAAAATGAAGAGTCACAAAAGACCATGGAATGAATGGGAAAAGCAGGGGAAAAAGCATGGAAAGTTGAAAATGAAAAGAAAAGCAGAATAGAGTAAATTGTTCCAATGGGCAACAATCAAATAAATACTGTGTGTGTGTTGGCAAACTTTATTGTTACTTTATATTATATACAATATAAAAGAGTGTCCAGAAAATGTAATAATGGCTAAAGGAACAAAAAACGTTGCACAAAAAATTGAAAACAAAATATTGAAACTTTTAGAGGTTCAATGATGAAAATGCTGAGAAAAGTGAAAGAAAAAATCAAATAAAAGTAAAACCAGGAAAATGTACATCATATTGTGTGTAATATAAGTAATAAGATGAAAGCAATACAACTAACAGGGAACCATGAAAAATGAGGCTAACCTTTTTTTTCTACTTTTGTCCAACACTGAACTCAACTTACTGTACAAATCATTGTTTCTTTTTCATTGAAACGGACATTATTCATCGCCATCTTCATCCATCACCTTATTAGTTTATATTAATATATAAATGTATACGAAATGAGAAATTTAAAAATTTACTTTTTCTGGTGAAAAAATGAGAAAAAAATTGAAAAAAATGAAACATTACGAGCATTTGATAGTCGAGGTTATCAATTATTTTACTTTGCCCAGTTTTTGACAGCCTAACCTATGGAAATGAAGGCCTGGGTTTGATTGTTGTATCAATAGACTTCAGATTATACTGAAATCTGGAATATTTGGGTTTCATTGTTTTGGGTTGATTCTGAAGAAATTTGAACTGGAATTGGAGGAAAGACGATTAAACCGATTGAACCCGAACCAATTCTCCATAGGTTTTAACTTGTTGTTCATCATTTGGAAAATTTTTATTCCATTTTTTTCACCATCAATTCTTGTTCTTCTCAAGACTGTACCATGATGATAATATTAATCAATTGTACTGGTCAACTGGATTGCTTGTTCATCCACACTGTTCATGAAATGTTGATGAAATGCGGAAAGAGAAATGAAGTTGAGGATAAAAATGATTATTCAATGTACATATAAAAAGCGTTGTGATGATCATGGGATGATGTTGATGAAATAATGTAAAGAAAAATCAAAATTGTGTCTTCTTTTCAAGTATTTTTTTCCTCTTTCTTTCTCTGTCTTCAACTCCTTGTTTCTCCTCCATTATCCAGCTTTCAGTTTTTATTGATAACACTTAAGAATAAAGAACAACTTGATGTTCGAGAAAAATGAATGAGTATTATTTATCATCGGTGAAATGATAGTTTTCAAATGATTAGTTTTATTCCGGAAAATATCAAATTTGAACCATTTCTCCTGGATTGAGTGAAAATTGTTTCAAGTTTCTTCGACTCGACGTTGCAAGACTTTTCTGAGTCTCCATAGATTTAAACAATTACAATTAATTTATATTTTTTATACATGAAAAGTCCAGAAGCTTGAATGGCCAAATATTGAACGGTAATCGAGGGTAAACACTGATTTGCAAGTTGATGAAGGATGATTGTTTTAAGGCAATTTTAGTGGTTTGATGTTGTTTGATTAATTTTATTATTTTCACTAATTGATTGAGAAAAGCCATTTTAATGGTGCTAATAGACATTAATTTACATTGGGAAAAATTAGCACTCAGTTTGAGTTTTATTTATCAAATGTGATTTTCACGGTATATTGATAAACAGGCGCCATCTCATGAATGTAAACCAAGTTAAATTATTAAATAATAGTTAATCAAATTTTTCAATTTTGGATTTTTTCAAAACCTGTCCGGAATCAGGTTGTATTGTACAATCATTGAGTGCTTTATTCTTGTCCTCGTCTTTGTCTTTGCTTCCCTCGGGAAGTTTACATCGGTACGAGTAGGGATCACGATCAATTTTGGAGGACAGCAAGTCAGCAAATCTTTTATCAAAATCAACCAACGATGTGCGCAATCGACCAACTTGAGCTGGCCTTAAACTTATACAATGAAGGGCATTATTTTCAAGCTCACCTTGAGAAGGGTCAAATTTTGGTGCCTTTTCAAACAGAACTTTACTTCTAACTGAGGTACCGCCAAAAAGGCAAGGCACTCGGTCAACAGTTAAATACATTGTAGACTCGTCTATGTTGAGACCCGTAACAGAGTCAAAAGGTACAGCGACCACGTAATATACAACGTTAGGGTCTTTGGTATTTGTTTGCTGGACTAGAGTTGGGTTATTGCTAGCAATTGTGTTACCATTGCCCATTGCACCATTACTTCTGTGAATTGTTGGTGTAGATTGATGAGATTGAACCGGCAAAATGTTGTCTTTTTTATCACAGGCATTAGAAGTTGAGAAAGCAAATTCGTAGATAAACCTTCGTCTTGAGAAGATTACTTTTAATTGCGTCGAGGAATTACGGCGAGATCCTTCGTTTGAAGATTGAACATGGAATAAGCCAATTTTAAATTGTTCAATAACAAATATTTTAGGCCGCATTTCTCTTTTAATTGGTTCCCTGCTAGTGGTTGCAACAGCTCTGTTGGATCGTTTCCTTTTCTCACCAGAAACATCTATTAAACCAGAAAGAATGTCACTTTTAGATTTCTCATCAAGATGAGATGACGATGAATCTGGAGCTGGAGCTAAATTGCGAAGACCAGGGATTTGTGGGCAAGTTAACATGTTTACCAAAACCGGATTATTTACATAAAGCTTTTTATCCATTAATCCGGGAGATGGTGTGGAGGATGTTGAACAAGATGAAGACGGAGATGAAGAGTCATCTACAGAACCAGTGAAAGCCACTCGGCTCGTCGAGATAATCATGGGTAGCCTATTATGAACTGATCCAGGTTCTGATAAGGAGCTCAGGGAAGCCATGTGAGCCGGATGAGTACCAGAAGTTGCTTGGGGAGAGAACATTCTGTTGGTTGGTGATCGGGAAGACCAGAGGATAATATCTCTACCGGCAACATTGGTTGTCATGTAGGGTGAGATGAATCGAGGTGCGACTTTATGCGTATAACCAAGGTTTGGTTGAATAGGAATAGGTCGTTGATAAGGGTAAGCAAGGGTTGTCGTTTGAGCAGGTTGTAAGCTTGGTAGTATTGGACGATGCCCATAGTTTAAAGATGGACGAGCTGTTACATATTTGTGTCCAACTGAAGGTGGCTTAGAGGTAGCATGAGATGATACATTGACATTTGGCAAATGATTAACGTTTGAATTGATAAATCGAGGCCAGATCCTTGAATCAAAAGGATAATTCAATTCATCAGGAATTGATTTTTCCCACGAATTAAGCAGCTGATTGTCTTCTTGAGTATCTGAGGAATTGCTACGATTAAGAGAACCATCATCAGCTCCAACCAAAGTGTTGTTATTATCATTATTATTAGTGTTATTATTGCTGGTGTTATTGTTATTATTATTGTTAGCATTATTATTAGATACAATTAAACTGTCACAGTTGTTACTTGAAGACTGGCCGCATTGTCCAAACTCTTGATACATAAACCCCAAAGATCTATCATCAACATAACTATCAGACGATGACAAATTATTTGAATCTAAATTGGTTTCATTTGAAATGTTGGGTACATTAGATGACCTTGTTATTGCATCTTCCTTTTCAGATAATAAATCACCAAAATACTTTAATGGTGGCGGCGTCTTTAAGCTACGGGCAAAGTTTTTCATTGCGGCTTGTTGTGGTTGTAATTGAACTTGAGATTGCTGGGATCGTTGCTCTCCATGGTGCTGGTGATCGTGTTCGTTGGAAATATCAGTTTCATGGAGGGAATTTTGTTCAACCTTTTTGTATGGAATAACGTTGGCCAAACTTTTCTGCATTATTTGGTCAAAATTGATTCCTAACTCTTCCAACAATGGAGATTCATCAGAGTATGGATCACCTGGAGTAGTTGATGAGTAAAAAGGGTCTGCACTCAAATCATTTGATGTTGTTTGTGAGTTGAAAATTGAATTGGCTGTCGGTAAAGTGGATTGATAGTAAGAATAATAACCATGAGGTGACATTGTGTTCAGGTTATCCATGGGATTTTGAATGGTGACAAAATCTTCTAGAAAAGAAAAATAAAACAAAATGTAATTGACGAAAATTCAATTTGATCATTTAAAAGTGAACACGTGAAACATTTTAAGAGACATCTGAAAATTACCTGGACTCTGTTCACCATAAGCTGGTTCACCATAACCAGGAGAAGACCAATTTGGGTATTGACCCTCCATATTATACTTTGCGGAGGATTCGTCCAAAGATGAAAACACGACGATAAAGGATATTAAGGATGTCAATCTAGAGGAAGATGAAAATGTTAATGAATACAATTGGTCATAGATTAATCGACTTTCAATTAAATTGTCAATTAATAGCACCATCTCTTGACCAGTTTGAAAGGAATGTGAAAAACAATAAAAAAAGAATACGATTTTAAAAGAATTTAATGGCAGTCATTATTTCTTCATAGTCACCAAAAGATGGGGTTAATAAGAAAGTATTAATAAATCTTTTATGCTCTTTGAATAGCAATTTTTATCTTTTGATTAACCTTAAAGCTTATCTCTCATTTGTTTTGACCATTGTTTACCCTCTAACCTTTCCATCGTCTGAACTAATTACTTTTAAACATCATTAAATTTCATTTTATCTCAAATCAGAAGTCTTACAAATGGATTGACAATTAGGTTGTAAGTTTTGGCTCTTATTAGCCTTTTAAGAAATTGATTATTCTTTTGTGTCATCGTTTGTCTGTTTCTTGGATTATTAATACTCAGCCCGATTCAAGATGATTGGAACAAAATGTGTGAAAAATTAGCCAAGGTAAGTTTTCCCAACTCCCCTGTAGATTGATTAATTGGATTACAAGTTACATTCATGATGTTGAATGAATGTATAATTTAGGTATGTATTAGTAAGTATCAAGTTTAGTGTACAACATAAAGACGAAGATGCTGATGATGATTGAGTATGAGCAAAAAATAATAGACTTATATGTAAGTTGTTAGTTTCAGATCATGATGGCGATGATGATGGTGATGAGAATACAACGAGAAAGAGATTGGATAAAAAGAGAGTGTGAAGATAGAAAACAGATGCTTTTTCCCATGAAATGATAAAACCGATTCCATGCATTGGAAACACTGTAAAGCTCAGTGAGGAAAGCAACAGCAATCAACTTTTCTTGCATTTGTTTTTCCTTTATCTTCTTACCTTACTAATATCATCATCATTTGCTAACTTCTCTCTTCACCCAATCTTCACCCCTCTTTTACTCTATCTTCATCTCGAAATTGAACAATTGTAACTTACTAGACTTTGTGAGCCCATAATTAACGAAACAACCTTGTTTACCATTACCTGAATTATTAGTTAAAGCTATTGAAGCATTTATTTTATGTTAATTATTTGAATCTCCGTTTCTGGATGATAAAAGGCGGAGGTGATGAAGTAGGAGGCGGAGAGTGAAAAAAAGAGAGAGAGATGAAGAGTGGGAGATTTGGATGAAAAAACCTTTGTTATTGTACAATAATAGACACGCTATGTCAAATATAAACAGTAGTAGAGAGTGAAAGCATAAAATTGGGCCAATATGCGAACAATTGAGGGCCCAATGCATTTTAATTCACAGTTTGCCCTTTTTTCGCCTCAGTAGTTTATAGCTTGAGTAAAAATCATCTCTAATGATGTTAATTAACGGTAATAATCAACTTTTTTCACGTCTCCCCGCGAGCAACAGTAACTTTATAGTCTTTAGTCATTTTATGTTGTGTTTGGAAATTGAAAAGTACAACAAAGCAACTCAATTTAACCTTGATTGTCCATTTCTTTAAATTTATATTAGCAATAGCTCAAGGTGTTCCTTTTATCCCCATTGAAATACTCGATTTTACCACTAATGTCAACTTAAATTGGCTCGAGATACCTTTTAGGGAATTATATTGTGTTTGACTTTAGGAAAAATTTAGGTCACACAGCAAGCCATTAAATTATGGTCGAATCAACCGTTCATTGGAAATGTTCGTGGAAATATTTCACATAATAAAAAATTGAAGGGATTGATTCATGAGATTGTACATTTACCATGGGATTGTTTTTTAATTTGTTTGGGAAAAAAATATTTTACTATTGTTTTCTTTCGTTTTCATCATCTCGATATTGGTAAAGGTTGATTGATTCAGTTAGCTTATTTTGTGTATTGGCTCGTCTATTGTGTTGTTTGTAAATTAAAAGGGCTACAAGAGCGGAACTGATTAGTTGTTAGCAGTTAAATTATGGGAACAGAGAGGCGTCAATAGAAAAGCTGAATAAAAGAATAACCGTTATTAAGTGTAAATTAACAAAATGATTTTTGCTTTAAAAATATATCAAGATTGTATCTTTCAATTGACCACTTAACGGTACAATGGGCTGCATGTTGATTTACGAAACCTCAACCTCTAGGGTTAACTTCATGGTTGGATAGTTGAAAAGGTTTGAATGTATATCACGGGTGAAGATAATGGCATTAAACTCGAAAAAGATGAACATAACACATGTAATCATAGCATAACGTAAGAGACCAAATGATGGAAATGACTGAGGGAAGTAAATATCAAATCGTTTCGTTTAATTTGTATACCATTTATTATCATCGATGATATATGTATATTTGTAAAAGGATGAGAAAAGAAGCAAGATGAAAAGGAAGAGGAAGAAAATTAAATTCTATCAAATTATTAAAGAAATCATTTTACGAATCATCAATCTCTCTCCTTTCACCTTTCCATCAAGAAAGAGATTAGTTGATGGTTCATAAAATATTTATACTTGGATGAAGATCATGCTGTTAGAAGATTTGACGATATGATGCACATCATCGAATTGTTTTTACAATTTTGATACCTTTAATTACTAGGTTGATCCATTGGTGAATAACAGTTGGTGATTAGAGATGAACTAGATTCCAAATTATTTGATGTTGTTGCTGGCGTGATTGGCGTATGACTTTCCTTGCTTCCTTCCAGTGTCCGTGGATCTTCTGGTGTCCATATTTTGGCTACCATTACATAAGTACGCTTTGGCTCTGGCTGTGTCCAAGATATTGAATGACCAGCCAATTGTAAACCATGAAATACTGTTGGTAATTAATAAAAAAGAGAAAATAAATTAAACAAAAAGAATAATTCAATTTAAGCTTCATTTTGCTCAAGCTTTATGGAGGGAGATACGTCATTTGAGGAAGATTAAAGCGCGAAAAGCAAAAAATGGAAAGCAATCAATAATAAAAATGAAAATAAATAACAATAATAAACAACGGAAGTATTTACCTTTTTGACAGGGGATAATAATTTTTTCAACTTGCGGAGGTTGATGTGATTGTGATGGGTCATTTGGATTACGTCCGGTTGATAAGTATTCATTTAATTTTTCGATGTATTGAATAGCCAATTTAAGGGTTTCCACTTTAGATGAACGCTTTTCATATGGTGGGTCTTTGGGTAATGCATCTCTTAAACTCTGGAAGAAGAGAAAGATCAAGAGCGTTTATTATTACATGTATGATGGTCAAATGAAAGAAGAATAGGGAAAATATTAATTCTGGTCAATATTACATATTCAACTGATTACAATTCATTTGATAATAAACAAACAACAAAAATCAAACAATGGAAACAAAATGTGAATAGAAGAAGAAAAACTACACCAACGCCACCAATGAAAACAACCAGAAAATGTGATTGACTAATATCTCTACATTTATTAATTATGATCGATAGTCAAAAGTGAAGCTAATTTACACCTAACTTTATTATTGTGATTATAATTTATATTCACCAACTCTCAATGGCCTAATAATAATGCTACTCAAACTATAACTCTGTGCAATAATAGCAATGACTCTCAAATCAATCATCAAACCTAAGACTTGATCAAAATTGATCGACATTTTGTGTTTCTCTTTCTCTTTAACCTATCACCACTTCATTCAAGTGTACCAATTGGAGATAAAACATGGTCTATAATTAATTGAATTGCAATCATTAACTGACCATTATTGTATCGTTGATTTATTTATTGAATCTCGGATTGTCTTAAAATCATCAACTAATGTGAGTTAAAAATTGTAACCTTTTTTTATTTACTTTAGTGCTTATTTAATGTTAAGTTAATCACAAATGAAAACAATTTTTTTCCAAACCTAGTGTCAATACAATTTAACCTCAACAAAATGTCTGTTCAAACAGATTGTATCAAATTTAAAGTTGGAAATTAATTCAATCACAAAATGATGACAAATTGAAGAGCCTAGTTAAAAGCTCATCCTATGGAAATGGCTGAATCGATGAAGTGGATGAGCTTTGCAACAAGCAAATAAAGGACAGAGATTCATGTAAAAATTTCATTAATAGTCGATCAGTAAGTTTTTAATTTCATCAAAAATTATCGAAATCTAACAGTTTTTCTCATTTTTTATTCCAGATTTACGAATTCGGTATAACATGAAGTATTGGAAGTCTATCATTTATCTAGTGCTTTGAAGAAATCAAAGCAATTAAAGGCTATTAGTGATCATGTTTTGGATAAACCTTGTTGTGGTTAATCAATTGTATTCAAACAGTTGACATGATGTTGAGTCAATAAGGTCCACGTGTCTAAACGCGTGTCTGAACCTAAGGCAAAAGGTAGGTCAACGAGTGGATCAAAGTTTGTATCAAATTAACCTTTATCTTTATGTTTGACAATTGTACAACTGATTTATCTGATTGATTAAACAGGTTGATGTAAACTTGGCTCACCTCAAAAGCATCATTAATTGATTGCATTCGCCTTCTTTCACGCAAATTTGCTGCTTGTCGCTGTTGAATTTGATGATGAAAGCCACGCTTTTTACGGAATCGTCGATGACTGTGAACATTTGCTTCATCCTTTCGTCTTAACATTAATGATGATGACAAAGATGAAGAGGAGGACGATGAAGAAGAAGATGATAATGATTTACTTGAAGGTTCATAATGAACACTTGCAGATGATTGGATATCATCCTCATCATGATGATGATCCAATGAAGACTCAATTAACGATGAGGCACAAGAAGAACCAGGTGAAGCTGTCGATGAAAAAGTAGATTCATGGTTAACATAATCATCAAGGGAATGTAAAGTTGAATATTCTGAAGACGTTGAATCGGGTAAACATGTTGATACTGGAGTCGCTGATGATTGATAACTCAAACTAGTCTCCATAATTAAACCATGATTGGAAGTGTTGGATTGACCCAGATAGGTTTCATGTAAACAAAAGGATCCACAATTATGGTCACAAGCAGATGTACAATGAGAAGCACAATTATCTCGAAATAATGAGCAACTTGAAGGAATCTCAAGCATTTTTGCGTTTCACCAAACTAATCCATTAAACACATTAAAGATGAGATGTCAATGAGGAAAGGAAACACTCAACAAATTTAGAGACGATGGAAACGAAAGCGCTTTTAGGATAAAAATAATTTTACGCTCAAAAATATAATCTCAGTGGATGTCGACGGGAAAAACAAAATGCTAGGAACCATTTTTAATTCCTCCGAATAGCCACTTTACTGTAAAACACAGAAACCTCATTTTCCCTCCTCCATCATTTTACCTTCTTTCAGTTTCCCTCTCTTCATGATTGTCTCCTCCTTCATCCTCAGTATTCATGAACTGACTCAAACTTAACCAACAAGATTTACTTCCACAAACCAATAACAAACTTCCCTCGTCCCTCCTACTTCACCTTTAATATAGGCTTTCATCTTCCTTCTTCTTCATCATCATCATCATCAACAACAACATCAATATCTTCATCCATATAACTCTTCAGTCTATAAAATATAATTTACATTTCCGACAAATTACTTGCTTGATGAACTATTGATACTTATCAATGAATGAAATTAAACTTTTGTTTTGTCATTGAGAAAAGAAAGAATCCATTTTGTTTCCAAATTAATACACAAATTGTCTTTAACTCATACTTTGATGGATTTTTCACTCTAATTTGCTGATTAGCTTAAATTACATTTACAGTTGCTATTCGATTGCTATTCTAATTGATTCAATCATCTTTTCAATCTTCAAAATCTTATTTTTTTCTTCTATTTGTTTCTATCCAATCAATATAACTAATCAGTTGGGCCTTGTTTTAAAATGCCAGACATTGCCATGAAAAAATCAATTGAACAACTGTTAACATTTGATGTTATCTGAAGCGACTAAATGATTTTACTTGAACAACATTGAGTTCTGAGGTGAAATTGATACTCATACACAACATGGTTTTAAATATTATGGTTAAGATGGAGGATTAATGTGTGTCGATAATCACGATAATAATAATCCAAGCATAATCTATTTTGGTTGAATGAAAGATACACACAGACATTTTCATTAAATGAAATGGAGAAGTAAAAATGAAAATTGAAAATAAGTTAACTTGAGCGATATAAAATATTGTTTAAATGTAAAAGGCTGAAAGATGATGTTTATCCAGTTGATAATTGAAATAGAAAGTTACCCCAAAATTGGATTAATGTGTATAATAGTGATTTGATGTGAAAAGAGTCGTATTTAAATTACCACTTAAACTGATCCTCAGTTAATCCGATGAAAGAAGGCAAAAATGAACAAAAGTAAATACACTTTTTTTTGTTGTTGTCGCTCTCTATGATAACTTTTAACACAACAAAATGTCATCACATCCTCATCTTCATCTATATCATGTCTATCATCATCTATATCATCATCTTTTGTCCTCCAAAAAGTACAACATAATATCATCAAAAATAAAAGTGAAAACCTCATCATCATCTTGAGATTTTTGGTGTAAATCAAAGGTTTTTTTAGCTTTCAAAATAAAACGGACAATCAACCAAACCATTGAGATTTTCAATCATCCTCATCATCACCATCATCGTTATCTTCATCATCAATATAATCACAATCATCTACAAAAAGGTTGAGACAAAAAGCTTTCAATTTTTAGGTTCACTTTCATCAATCCTGGGTTGAGTGATGAACGCCAATTGAGCAACACATTGACAATACTTACAAGATCCTTTTCATCTTCCTTTTTTCATCTTCTTCATCTTTTCGTCTTCCTTCTTCCTCTTCTGTTTAAATTTATTTGTGTTGATATTTTTGGAAACGGTTGGTTCCTTTTTTTCAATCACCTGGAGCTTCAATTGTCCCCCAGTAACGGTAACTAAGGTTAACTTCATTTTTGTTTTACCCGCCTTTCCACTTGACCAGTTTTTCCCTCAACATTTCAGCTTCTATTTATCTTACAATAATTTACTGATAATCAACTTATTTAATAACTTTTTAATATATGTTTAATATTATTAATATCATGATAATTATGCTGTTGACATAAATTTAGTAAAGAAAACTCTTTATTTTCATTTCTCTCTTTCTCTTCTAAATCCTTTCCTTTCTCTATCCTTTGCGCTCCTTTTGTGTTAATGGTACTGTTGTTTTTATAGTCAAACTAAACGTTTTTGCTGTTGTTGTTGATTATATTATATTATAAAGATTATCAACTCTTTTTTCCTGTTCAATATTTTTCCTCTCCATTTAAATATTACATTTCAATTGTTGTAAGTAACCCTTGTAATATAATAGTCGGACAATAGTTAGTTAACTTGATTAAATATTGACGACAAAAATGTTATTATATGCCCATTTGGCTTAGCTTTTTCAAGTTGATCTTTCATTTTCTGCTTTCTCTACTCTTCTTCTCCTTGTTAGGTTGTTGGCGTTGCTATTTTCAATACTTGTAGTCACCTCAAAAATTATAAGAGAAGGGGTAAGTTGATATCTGATTTTGAATTATTTCACTTTTAAAGGTTAACTCTCTGTCTCTTCTTGATAACAACTTATTGAAAGCTTTCATCATTAATAATAGCTACCAATGATTAGCATATTGTGGTTATTTACTTTCAGCTTTCTTTCCCTTCTTTTTTTCCTCCAACCAACTCAAGTACTTTTTGTCTTTTATTTCGATGTCATTTAAAGATTGATCATTATTTGTTCAAATATGATTTTTTCATTATTAGCATTTGTCTTCATTCAAAGTTGAGGAGATAATTGTTAGTAATTAAACGGGAATTTCATCTGGTTTTAACCTTGTAACAAAAAACGCGCCTCCATTCAATGAGAATCACTCAAAGTAAACAAACTGCGAAAAGGTCCAAATGTAAACAAGAAAGTAAGTTTTCAGATTTTTTTTGTCATTCAATAAATGATTTGCTTAAATGTATTTAAATTTTAAAAATTTATTCAATGAACATTTAGCACTAAACGATAATTTATCATTTTATCATTGTGTTTTATTAGGTTTTCACTGGAATTGCAAGGCATGTCTGGATGCGTGGTGAAATCAAAAAACATTGAGCAAGATGATTGTGATGATTTTGATATGAATGGCCCTCAAGAATAGCGGTTGACATTATTAATGGTTTTAAACATCAAATATTGGTGTTTAAAAAAGTGGAACTGACAAATGAGAATTAAAACGAATGGCAATGAAGGTAAACAAAGATGCTGGCCTTAATATATTCATAATTGATTTGGAATTGAAATCTGTATTGGGATCTTTACTTGAATATTGCAGATTGATAAATGACCTTTACCAGCAATTAGTATTGTATGATCATTTTTTTTAACCGTAAATTTCATTTAGGTTTGACTCCTTTTCTTTTATTTTGTACAGTTAATAATGTGCTCTAACCAATGGACATGAAATGTGTTTCCTGCCACTCGTTTGGATCCACTTTATAGACACGCGTTCACAGTTTAATAACCGTTTATTATTGAGATAATCAAGTTACAAATAATATACATGAGTGTATAAGTTGCATTATTGTATTTCCTTCAAATTATTACTTCAAAGGTAACTCTATTTCTGTTTTTTTTCATTGACTTATGCATTCAATTAGAAACATATTGTCCAAAAGTAATCTGTGAAAATCAATTGGTCATACAATGATTGAATTTTGTATTGTAATCAAATTGAAATGGGCAAAACTGTTGAATGGCTACTCAATTGTAATTTAATGACTTCTCTTGGTTGATTCAAATATGATGTAATGGTAATTATTTCAGTGTAATTCTATTGTTGCAATAATATTATTTTTATAACTTATCGAGCTTGAATCTTGCCTTCATCTGGTATTGTCTTCAATTTTGTACGAAAAGAAAAACCAGTTTTGTCGATTCTCTCCTCTTTTTAACTAACTTATTGATTCCACTTTACTCAATTTATTTAAATTGTTAACCTTTTTGCTTTTTGTTTTCAACTTTTCAAGTACACTTAAGATGTGCAGAATCACAATTCACCTATTATCACTTTTTTTCTGACAAATGAAGATGAAATTCAATAAAATGTTGATGGCTCATTTCAAGTTTCACTATTGATTCAAGTCTTTTAGGCAATCATTATGAACATCGTTTCAGAAATTTATTATCTTTTCTCACCTCAACACTAATTTTTGCTTTAACCAGTTTAATGTTTCCAATTTGCCATTTCTTTGAAACTAATATTGTCTGATAAATTAATTTTACTTTTCTAATAATCCGATAACTGTGATTTTAGATGGGCCATTTATTTAACTTAATCAAGCTAATAATTACTGTTGTTAAAATCTGTTAATGTTTGGTACATCAGTAACACTATTTGTTAGCTGAATTAGAAGGTTAAACCTAAAATTTCTGTCTATGTTCACTTTTTAAACATTTGTTTAAATCTGTTTCTATTTCTTCTTATTTATATTATTGTGTTATCATGGGTTCATCCAAAATCTCTTCGCCATCATTGTATGACCAAAATGAAATAGCTATACAAGCCACCAACATTAAAGTGTCCATCAAACAATCATGGAAACAAATTAATATTCTTAATGGTTTAACTCTTACAGTTCCAAAAGGTTGTATTTATGGTCTCATTGGTCCTTCTGGATGTGGCAAGACAACATTTCAAAGATGCATTTTAGGACAACATCGGATAAGCTCTGGCCATCTTCAAGTAATGGGACACTCTCTCAGCAAACCTGTTGGTGACAGTATTGATGTTAAAAAGCGCAAGGAACTACGATCCGATTTTTTAGGTCCAATTATTGGTTATATGCCTCAAGACATTGCTTTAGACGCTGAGTTAACCATTGATGAAATGTTAATCTTTTTTGGTCAACTATACGGTTTATCAAAAGCTGAAATAACCAATCAAGTGGATAAATTAGTGCACATATTGAACATTTCATCTTTTCATCGATCACTCAAAATTTCTCAGCTGAGTTTAGGAACTCAAAGAAGAGTTTCCTTAATCTGTTCTCTTCTACATTCACCTGATTTGTTGTTGCTCGATGAACCAACTGTTGGCTCTGATCCAGTGGTAGTGGACAAAATATGGGCCCATTTATTGCATCTACGATCTGATTGTAAAATAACGATTGTGCTAGCCACTCATTATTTAGAAGAGGTGAACAAAGCTGATTATTTTGCTTTCGTAAGCTCTGGTAAAGTGATAATTGAAGAAAGACCAGAACAATTTAAAAAGAAACAAAATGAAAACTCACTTGAAGCAGCTATTCTATCGTTTTACATGACAAAAGAAATAAAAGATCACATTGGAAAAGATTTAAAGAAGTATTACATTATTGATGGAATTGATCAAACACCAGAAGAGCCAAAGAACAACAATAATCATTCTAATCATACAATTTTTAACCAAAACCTAATGCCATCCTCATCTAAAGTAACACGGAATCGATTGTCGTATCTAAAGGCTTATAAGCTTCTGACTTGGAGATATTGGTGCAGATGGAAAGCCTTTACTTTGTATCAATTCATAGGTGTTGGCTTTTTATTGGTAGTCGTTTTGTTCACACTGGGTCGTTTATTTGGACACTTTCCGTTGGGTTTGAAAATTGGAGTTGTTAATCATGATAAAACTGGAAATTTAAGTCAACTGTACTTGGCATCAATTACCAATCACACCAATTATTGGCAAACTGTGACTTTCCAATTTGAAGGCGATGCTCGTGTTCAACTTGAGATGAATAGATTGTCAGCGTTTTTCATTATCGGAGAAGATTTTAGTGAGACTTTTGAGCATTTCTCATCTTATGGTGGACTCAATTTGAATGGTATTGATGATTTTCAGCATAAAGGATTAACGTTAATACTTGACATTTCTAATCGTTTTGTTGCCGATGCAATAGAAATTGTTGCTCTTCGCTCGCTGATCAACCTTCAATCCTCCACATCATTAATGTCCGAATCGTCAACAATCTCACCATCAACCGATCTTTCACCTTCAATATTATCAGAAAAATTTAAAATTGCTGGACTAATTGCTATTGAACCAATTTATAGTTGGTCAAAATTAGATGAGTTGAAATATTTAGCTCCAACAAAATTCGTTCTTGTCAAGTTTTTGTTCCATGTTTCAGAATCTTTTTCTATGATTCTGGTAATGTTAATTGAAGTCTATGAACATCGTTGTTTAGTAAATGAACGTCTTGCAGCTGGTGGGCTACATAGATGGGAACTAATTACTTCACTGATTGTACTCTCAACCGGATTGCTTTACCCAACTTACCTTTGCTCATTTGGTTTTATAAATTTTTTTGTTGATGTACCGGCCAATGGAGGAGTTGCTTTCATCCTTATTTTGACACTCGCAATGATTTTGTGTGGCATAATTAAAGGACTGTTTATTGGATCCTTAACATCATCACCAATCTATGCCGTGTTTCTTCAATGTGCTTACGGGTTTACTGGACTATTTTGTGGAGGCGTTATATGGCCAAATGAATCTTTGCCATACTTTATCAAACCAATACAAATGGTATATCCATATACCCATTCTGGAGAGTCAGCTGTTCAATCAATGATTTATGGTCGATCCTTGGCTGATTATAGAGTTTACCAAGGATTAATTATTGCCTGGTTACATGTCTTTACCACTTTAACTCTAACAATGTATTGGTCAAGAAATTGGAAATTGGCTTCACATTAATGTTTAGTAAGAGTTGAATTGAATCAGCAAAGTAAAAGATTGAAAATGGCGGTTAAAATAGTTGCCAGAGCTACTTCAAGATATGGAAAGTTCCCGCTGGAAACGCAACGTTAGTTTCAACTTGAAAGTTTCGAGTTTAAACTTTTAATTTATTAAACTTTAGATAATTACAATTAGCAAACTTATTCTATTGCTCTAATTTCAAAAGTATTCGAATTATCATTGGTATCTTGACAGCTCTTAATCCCAAAATTCCAGCTCTCTCTTCACTCTACAGTATTTGAATATCTATTAGATATTAGCTACGATAGATGGAGAATTTCAGTTTTCCCGGTAAAATGCGAAATTTATTTATTGCTACAAGAGACAATACGGCCATTACTGATCACATTTTCGTTACTGAGCAGAATTCAAACCTAGTTTTCATTCTCAGTCTCAATCTTTGTAAATACAAATAGATCCAAATTTAAAATGAAAACCATGAAATAAAATCCTTTAACTCACAATGATAAAATTAATTTTCTTTATGCAATTTTCAATATCAATCAGAGAATTTTAATTTCACGGATTGCTTTGAAATCAGATTTTCCCCTTCCAACCTTTTCAAAATGATTTTCTCGAAAACTTGAATTCAAAGAAAGCTCTGATGTAGTTAAATGCTTGCTTTCATGAGGTCACAAAAGGCTTAAAATTTTTAATAGAATCCTTTCTGTTTAGTAACAATTTTAATGAAAAAATTTGATTCATTTTCTTAATGTAAATATTTAATTATGTTTATTGAATGTGAATTATGAGACAATTTAGTCACAATGCAAAAAAATTAGAGATGTTTATTAGTTGTGAAACAGAGAACACTTTTAAAAATAAATATTTTCTTGAACAAAAAAAGATAGACCACTTAATAATTGAATTATATATTGATAATAGTTTAAAATAAAATAACTAGATCGAGGGTTTGGGACCATATATTTTATAAATGATGTGAAGCAAGAGCTGGAAAAAGAGAATGTTTGAAATTAGTTTGATTAAAATTTTGTTTGGTGAAGAAACTAAATTACCGTAAGCATCTCGAATCCCAGAATAACTTGAGTTGAGCCTCTATAACCAATGGTACCAAGAAGATAGCCTCCAACTGTAGGCCCGACAAAGGCGCCTGCTGAACATGAGGAAAAATTGACCGCAGAAACCAGAGCATAAGTTGAAGTTTCATTCGGATAACCGCGACGGTTTATGGTGTCATTCAAACAAGCTATGTAAGCGCTAACTTGCTTAGCAGCCATTCCAACTCCAACGATGATTAATGATACTATTACTAACCAAAGTTTACTACAAAAAAATTAAAGAAATGAAACATAAAATTGAAATGTTGTGTCATGTTATCTATCTAGCAATACATACGGCTGAATAGGAAGGAAATCCACTGGTCCCATGAATAATAAACCAACAATATTGATAGCTGTTCCTATGATTGCCATCCATCGTGCATCAAACTAGATTTCAAATTGAAAATAAATTTAACAATTTCGATATTTGTATTTTCAAGTTTAAATTGTCACAATCGTTACGAAGAGACTATTATTTCTTTGGGTATTTTATCTTTACCTTGTATTCACCCAATTTACCCCATAAAGGATTGGTCAAAGCGTAAACTGACCCAGTTATAATGAATATAGACCCAATTTCAGTAGGGGTGAGACTAAATTGGCGTAGATGATGTTCTAGTGTAGCAGCATTGAATCCAATAAGATTGAGACAACCAGCAATGGTAAGAACATCTAGTAACGTTCCAGCGTCACAGAGAAACGAGAATACACTGGGTGATTTACTTTGTGTGTAGTCACCTAGAAAAAAATGGTGAGAGAAAATATTAGTAAAAATAGAAACCAAGTGTCGATAGAGTGTTAAAATTCATTTATTTTACCTGATTTGGGTAAAAGGATGATACTGACTAAGCTACCCAATAACATCAAACTCCCCAAAGTGGCGAAAGGCATGATATATCCACCAAGCTCGAAAAGTGCACCACCAACCGTAGGACCAACTATTAACCCCAGTCCAAAAAAGGTTTCCAATAGAGCCTGATCAAATAAAGTGAAGATATGAATATTTTACGCGTGAATTCATTTAAAAAAAGCAACTCACAAATAAAAATGAAATGTGTTCGGGAAACTCCAATGGCATAATCGTGTAACATGATGTAAGAAAAGCAGCAGCTCCGGCTCCTTCAAATATTCTCAGGATAAACGCAAATAGTGTGAATTCGAATGGTCCTGATAGTTTGTCTAAAATCCTAGAAATTTGAAAGATCAAAGATTCAATTTTAGGGCAAACAAAATCTGCAAGCCTTCAATGCCTCAAAAGAGAAACGAGGTAACGTTTAACGGTCTTATCTCTGACTTACCCAAAAAGTACAGTGGTTCCTCCAGCCAAAAACAGTCCTGCTTCAAGAAAGAAGTTGGGCGTAACGTAGGCAAACTGATTGAATAAAAAATTAAATATCAAGAGATGAAGTTACAAAGTGACACAAAGGATTGTTACTGAAACACATGTTAAAGACATAAATCCATTGCTTACCATTTTACCAAAGATTGGACTGGCTACTAATATAACTAATTCATAGATACCGAAAATCAGGCCATAAACTAGGGAAGATACTCCTTTGATGTCACATTCTGCGGGGAAAAATGGCGCTTGAAGCGAAACACAGGCAGCAACACAAAAATTACCATAAGCCAAAGCGATAAGACAAAGAATTTGTCTTTTAGTTATTGGTACTTTTTTTATTTCTTCAATGGGACTTCGATGGCTTGCATGAAGACTACAATTTCCACATGATCTTGTTAACAGACGAGAATCAGTTGATGCTTCAAACAGTCCAATCATTTCAATTCGATGATCTATGAAAATGGCAAAAGGTCAAGATGAAAAAGTAGAGCAATTATTTCAAAATGTAAATGCAAATTGTTGTTCTTTTGTTTCACTACACTTTAGTTAATTTACTTTGAGTAAACGTCGGTTGATTATTGTGACTATAGTCTACAATCACAGATATTTTTGATTGTAAGTCTTTTTTTAAAATCAGAATTGGGTTAATTGATTAGTTTAATAATAAGCACTCTGAGCTTTAACTAAAGTATCAGATGTAACTGGTTATAAAATATGAAACAATGAAATAATTGATCCTCACTTGTAGATCCAATCATCATATGTATCGGTCAATACTGGATCTATCTAGATTGGTTACCCAATGGTTTCTGTTTGTTGAAAATTTAATCATTTTGAAATACTTCAATCAATTATGAGCCAATTGAGGCTGCTTGACCATCATTGTTATCGACATTGCATCGATATGGGCAATTGCATTATCAGGTGTTTCGATCTAGAATAATTGAGTCAAGATCAATATTAATTGTTAAACAATCATTGATAATCAGTATCGCAATCATTTACAAATGATAAACAGAAAAAGATAGTCGATCTTTTTTTGAAAATCTAGCGAAATTTCAAAACGCAAATTACAAAATAAGCTTATAGTTTACTAACGGTGTGATTATGGGCGAATATAGTCAACATTGGAATTGGTCATTTTTACATTAAAGATGATAGCAGAAGTACTTCAAGAGTGATTAAATACTCATGATGGTAAGTTCAGTTTCCATCAGTAAAAAACTTTCCATCTCAAGAAGTAAATTCAAGCCTTAAATTGAGTTTGTCTCATCATTTTTTTGGAAAAAAACTGATGCGCATTATGTCTGTGATTTTTAAAACCTTTGCCAAAATCAAACTAAAATAAGATTCCAACGGTTTATTTAAATATAAAAATAATTGAAATTGTCTATCTGCAATGATAATTTTACTCTTAAGAATTTTAGACAATTTATTGAAATATTTCAATCGATGATTAATTTACAAATATTCATTAGTTGGGAAAGAGCACAATAAAAAGTAGATGTTTTTTAAAAACAATCATTAAAAATTGATTTATATTTTAAAATATTTTAAAAAGATGAAAATGGTTTGACCAAAAATTAAGATCCATAAATTTTGTGAACGATTAAAAGTATAAGCTGAAAAAATAGAAGAGAAAATTATTAGTTTGATTAAATTGGTTTGTTGGATAAACTGAATTACCGTGAATATCTCTAGTGCAAGAGCGACTTCAGTGGCAGATCTATAGCCAATAGTGCCAATGAGATAACCTCCAGTGACAGGTCCAACAAAGGCAGCAATTGAAGTTAAAGTATTGATCGCGGAAACTTCATCATGAGTTAAATTTGCATTGAGGTAACCACGAGAAGCTGATCTATTTGAAAAAAAGGAGCCAACTTGCTTGGCAGCCAATCCAATTCCAATAATGATTAAAGATACAATTATTAACCAAAGTTTACTGAAACAGAAAAGCAAATTTAGTGAAAGTTAAACAGAATCGAAGCAATTTTAAAGGCAACACATACGGTTCAATAGGAATGAAACTAACTGGGCCTATTAATGATAATCCGATAATATTAATAACTGTTCCTAGAATTGAAATCCATAATGCGTCAAACTGAAAATAAAGCAATTGAATCACAAGTTATAATCATTATATTCATTGGTAAGGTTTTACTTTTACGGAGAAAGACGTAAACATTAAAAATCATCCAATGGTAGACGTTTTTTAAGAGCGCTCTTTATGAACAATTGAATTAAATGAAGCTAATTAAGGCCCCAGGCCGACCTAAGCCCACCCCAACCTTACCAAACCTAACCTAACCGAACCTAACCTAACCTGACCGACCAACCAACAGCCCCTTGATCAAACTTACCTAACCAATAAATCATATGTTTTAATGTTTACGCCTTTCTCCGTAAAAGTAAAACCTTACCTATTCATTAATATTTTGTATTTACTAAAGTCTTCATACCTCAAGTCGTCCTAATTTACGCCAGCCAAAGAAGACTAAACTGTAAGCCAGCCTATTTGCGATGAATATTGATCCAATTTCAATGGGTGAAAGATCAAATTGACTCAAGTGATGGGCCAAAGTAACATCATTGAATCCAGTAAGAGCAACACAACCAGCAATGACAAGGACATCTACCAATTGATCGGACTGATTGCGAAGTGAAACTGGATTGCTATTCAACGTGTAATCATCTAGTCAAAATAAGTCCAATAATTTCAAAATTAGCATGAATAATGAATATCCATTATTTGTCGAAGATGAGAAGTGGGAAATAAAATCAAAATTTGAATCTACAGATCCAAAAATTTACTTTCATACCTGATTTAGGCAAGATAACGATGCTCACTAAACTACCAAATAACAGTAAACCTCCAAAAACAACAAAGGGCATGACATAACCTCCAGCCGTAAAAAGAGCACCTCCAACTGGTGAACCTAATAAGGATCCAAGAGAAGAAGCGGTGCTCAAGACCATCTAAATAAAGTTAACAGAGCATTACTAAAAAACGTTCAAACCAATTCTCTAAGTTTTATTGGTTAACTCACATGTGCATACGCAGCATGGCGAGAAAATTCAGAACTGCGAATTGCATGGGATGATGCGATGAAAGCAGCAGTTCCTACTCCTTCACCCATTCTCAGAGAGAAAGCAAACACCGAAAATTCAAGAGATCTTGTAACCTTATCCAAAACTCTGCATAAATAGAAATAGAAGATAGACAATTAAAATGAAGCTCATCTATTCTTCTGCCTCTAGAAAAATTAAAATAAGAATCTGGACTGTGAATAGTTCTAGTCTTACCCGAAAAGTACAGCAGTTGCTCCTATAAGAAATAATCCAAACTCCAGGAAGAAATACGGTGTAACGTAGGCAAACTAAAAGAATAAGCAATGAAAATAGTTAAGAAAAGACACAACCAAATCAAATGCAATTTCATGTGAAATACATGTAAAAGAGATGGAATCAATTACCATTTTGCTGAAGATTGGACAAGTTACAATTATAACTAACTCAAAGACACCAAAAATTAATCCATAAATCAGGGAAGATACTCCTTTGATGTCACATTCACCGGGAAAAAATGGTGCTTGAAGTGAGCCATTGGCGCCAATACAGAAATTACCGTAGGCCATAATGATAAGGCAAAAAATTTGTTTCCGATTCATTGACCTACTACTCGTTTCTCCAATTGATCTTAAAAGGCTTGTATAAACACTTTGGCTTTCACAAAATGATGATTTTTCACATCTTGATGAAACAGAATCAGTTGAACTTTCTAATTCTTCACCCATTTCGACTAAATAGTTTATGAACAGGACTTGAAATAATTAATTATAAAAAAGGCTTAATTCAATTTTTCAAACACCAAAAATAAAATTTATAAAAATTAGTAAAATTGAAACGAAGCTTTCAACTTTTAGTTAAGACATCAAATGAAACAGGTGAACCATTAACCATTAACCATTAAACAATGAAATAATTGATACTCTTTTAAGATCTTATTATTATTTTGTATCGGTCAGTACAGTATCTATCTAGATTAATTACCCAATGATTTGTATCCGTTAAGACTTGAGTATTAAATGTTAGACAATTCATAGCCAATTAAGATTGTTGACTATTTAGTAACACTTTAATATGTTAAAATGTTTCATCGTGTTTCACAAATCATGAGCTGATTGATATATTCATTTCAATTTAAATCTTCTGAATGTTAGTTCTTGTTTGAGTTTTTTTATCTTCTATCGCTGTATGGACAATGAATTGTCAAATGTATCATACTTTGTTTGTAATTTGTTTTAACCACTGAGAATGCCATGATCATGCTTTAGTTAAATAATTTATTGACACGTTTATTGAATGAAAAGGTTGATTTTTTTTAAAAAAATGTATCATTAAAACTGATATTTTATTAAAACAGTTTAAAAAAATAAAAATGGCTTGACCAAAAATTAAGATGCGAAAATTTTATGAACGATTAAAAGCTGAAAAAAAGAGAAAATTATTAGTTTGATTAAGTTATCTTGTTGCATAAACTGAATTACCTGACTTAAGTATTTGCAAAATGGTCAATAAGGTCATAAAGGTACGACCGAGGCTCGACCTCGGTTCGACGGTTGCAAATTTTGTGAACAATTAAAAGTAAAAGCTGAAAAAATAGAAGAGAAAATTATTAATTTGACTAAATTGGTTTGTTGAATAAACTAAATTACCGTGAATATCTCTAGTGCAAGAACGCATTCAGTGGCAGATCTATAGCCAATAGTGCCAATGAGATAACCTCCAGCGACAGGCCCGATAAAGGCAGCAATTGTAGGTAAAGTATTAAACCATTTGTAGTATGGATCAGTCTCTCGATAGTAATCATCACTACTTATTCCAATTGCAAGAATAATTAAAGATAGAATTATTAACCACAGGGAACTGAAACAGAAGAAAACAAATTCGATCAATGTTAAACAGAGTCGTAGGAATTTTAAAGGCACTCATCAAGCAATACATACGGTCCAATATGAATGAAACTAACTGGTCCTATTAATAATAAGCCGATAATATTAAAGGTTATTCCTAGAATTGAAACCCATGATACATCAAGCTGAAAATAAAGCAATTGAATCACAAGTTATATTATATCTTTAAGCTAATTGATTCATTAGTGTGACAGTTAGGTTATTCAAAAATATATTATATTTATACCCCAATATCCTTTAACCTAATCCAGAAACAGTGGAATGCAAATCGAAGTAGCCTAAATGTCATGAATATTGATCCAATTCCAATGGGTGAAAGATTGAATTGACTTAAGTGTTGAGCCAAAGTAACGTCATTGAATCCGGTAAGAGCATTAAAACTAGCAATGACAAAAGAATCTGTCCACTCAACGGCATCACCATCATGAATTTCATATGCATGGCCCATTAACGTGTAATTATCTAGTCGAAATGGTTTAGGGACAAGAATCGTAAAATTATCATGAGTAAGTGACTATTATAGACGCCAAATGAAGAGAGCAAAATTGGAAAAAGTGGAAAGGAAAAATTCAAAATTCAATTTTGCAGAATAAAAATTTTCTTTCATACCTGGAGCAGGCAGAACAGCGATACTGAGCAGGCCAGCAAGTAAAATTAAACTTCCAAAAATTACAAAGGGCATGAGATAACCTCCACACATGTACAAGACACCTCCGATGAGGGAACCAAATATGAACCCTTTATGATAAGCGACATCCGTTACCAGCTGAAAAAATTAAAAAAGCAATTAATGAACAACATTCATCCAATTTTTTTCTTTTAATTTTTATCATTTAACTCACGGATGGTTCCACTAAATTCCAACGCATGTCAAATTCGTTTGAATTTAGTGTTTCAATTGATAAATTAGAGAAAGCAACTCCGACTGCTTGACCAATCCTCAGAAATAAAGCAATTATTGCAAATTCATGAGCTGAAGTAACCTTATCCAAAACTCTGCATCAAGTGAATGAGAATAAAAAAGGGAAACAAATCAGAGCAAATTGTGTTGAACTTGTCTCCAAGAGAAGCAGAAATCTGAACAGATGATCATTTTAGTCTTACCCGAAAAGCACAGTTGTTGTTCCGGTAAGAAATAATCCAAATCTTAGTGTTGTATGGGGTGTAACGTAGGCAAACTAATCAAAAATGAGGGAAAATGGGCTAAATTAATTAAAGTAGCAAAATGGCAAATAAATTGAGTTTGGGTAAATATTATGAATGTAAAAGAGATGATTGAAATCATCCATTAACACTGAAAAATTACCATTCTGTGATGGAGTAGCTTCCTACACTCTCCTGTTATTGCAAAGGCACCAAAAATTAATCCACAAGTTAGGAAAGATACTCCTTTGGTGTAGCATTCACCGGGAAAAAATGGTGCTTGAAGTGCATCACTGGCAGCAATAAAGAAGCTGCCGGAGCCCAAGATGATAAGGATGAGAATTTGTTTTCGATTATTTGACCTACTACTCGGTTCTCCAGATGATCTTAAAAGGCTTGTATAAACACTTTGGCTTTCACATGATGATGATGATGATAATGATGGTGATGATAATGATGATGATGGTGGTGATGATGATGATGATGATGAATTTTCACATGGTGACAAGACAGAACTTTCAGTTGAATTTTCTAATCCTTTGAACATTTCAACTAAATAGTTTATAAATAGGATTAAATCAAGCAAAATCAAAAATAAAAATGAGGTTTTAGTTAAAATATCAAATGTAACAGGTGAAACATCTAACCATTAAACAATGAAATAATTGATCCTCTTTCTAGATCTTGGTATCATAAAGTATCGGTCAGTACAGTATCTATCTATTAACAGATTGATTACTTAATTATTTTTATTTATTGATAGTTGTCCATCATTTGTAAATATTGGACAATTAACAACTAATTGAGACTGTTTTTATTTTAATTATACTTTAACCACAAGGCAACGCTGTTTCATAGTTTTACTCAAAACGATGAGCTGATTGTCATACAATTTTCGATTTATTAATAGATCATTTGTATTTTTTGTTTGAGTTTTTAATCTTATAATTGTAATTGTTTCATTTGAAGTTGGATTCTTGTGTTTGCAATCTCAATCATTGTTTGACACAAACCAGCAAAAAGGGAATTTTGTCAATTATTTCGAGCTTTCATCAATTGCAAATAATTGTTAAAGCTGTATAATTAGTTAATTGGAGCATGTTGATTTGTTTTACACACCGGGAATGACTTGATCATGACTTTGTTTTAAATGATTCAATGAAATATTTCAATCAATTTTTATTTTGATTTTATTTAAATTATCAATTTATTATGATAAGGGGGGGTTCGACAGTTGCAAATTTTGCGAATGTTGAAAAGTATTATATAAGCTGAAAAAAAGAGAAGAGAAAATTATTAGTTTATTAAATTGGTTTGTTGGATGAACTGAATTACCGTGAATATCTCGAGTGCAAGAGCGACTTCAGTGGCAGTTCTATACCCAACAGTGCTAATGAGCCAACCTCCAGTGACAGGCCCTACAAAGGTAGCAATTATGGGTAAAGCTTTAAGCCATTTGCTGCATCCATAAGAAGTTGGAGAAAGTTTCTTAGCACGCAATCCAAATCCAATGACGATTAAAGATAAAATTATTAACCAAATGTCACTGAAACAAAACAAGAAAATTCATTGAAAGTTGAATAAGGCTCATTTCATTCCTTACATAGTCGTAAAGGTTTGTGTTAGATTCAATGTTAATCCTCCTCGTCTTCTTCCTCGCCATCAACTACCTCCTTATCGACCAACACAAAGCCAACAGTATAATGTTCACCATCCAATTTTCCCTCATCCACAACGTTAAACATCGCTTGTGATGATCTCACTTCAACCGAGTGTCAACCCTCATCATCATCCCTAGACTCAACATCAACGGATAAAGTAAAGCTTGAAGGTTTAAGACCTTGTACAGCCTCAACGGTAACTCAACCAACAGCCAGCATTAGTTCAACGTACACCCACAAAATGTTGTGTCCAGTGATTCAATTTTGCATTCAAACATTTCACCTTCAACTTCATTCCTGGATTATCGAACATTTGATTCAAATACAGTACGGGTTAGGGTTAAGTTAACAAAAGAGGAGATTTTTTTCATAGTCGCCTTCTAACAATAAATTGAAGTACCTTTAGAATCGAACTTTTTTGTCCAGTTTTCTGTTGCATTGGCTTCTTCTTGTCTCTAGAAACTAAATATGCTCGAGATAGCGACACTTAAAAATTAACTTAACTCTGACCTGTTTTTATTAACTTAACCCTAGCACCTACTGTATGTGTTCATAAAAGTGCAATATAACAAGTGATAATCATCTTTATGCAATTCAACTAATAATAATATTGACCTATATCATTCTCATCAATGTAAATGAAACTGCCAATCATGAAATGAATTTCATATTCAATCAACATTTAAAACAAAAGCTTCACTTACAACACAAACCAACAGGTAAAAGACCAATTTGCATTTCCTTTCCACTCAACAATCAAGTAAACTCTGAAGCGATCAGGTTTTAGCGACAAAAAACATGTAAAATGAGCAACAGCTAAGTTTTTACTCAGCTATTACCTGCAATTGCACCTGAATCAGAAATTCAGAGAAATGAAAGATTTCCTGCTCCCGTTTGTCGGAAAAATTGCCAAATTTCCGACTTCTACATACAAAGAAATTCTCGATGCAAGTACTAAATTTATTAGAAGTAAAATTGACAAATTTAATGTCTATGACGTTTTGCTTGCTGAAGACCCAAATTTGAACCAAAAATGTATCTGCTTACTTGATGGTCTTGAAAATAGTGATAATTTTATGTGTTGTGGCTGTCGGAATATATTTCATATGGGGCGTTACGGTATTCTGAATTCCTATGCGGCACAATTTGATTCACGCTCTGATCCTGATGCTATATTTGCCTTCATCAACTGTCCAGAGCAATAATATTCTGATTCAGAACTCAAAAAGATGTCTTCAAGTGAGCGTCAAAAACGAGCACTCTTGAAAATAGCTCTGAAAGAATTGATTACAAACAGAAAAATGATTGAACATCCTATGGTAACGCCTTTCTACATTGAACTGAAGAATAATAACTGGCAACAGCATATTGACATATATGAACTTCAGCAAACTCCAATTGAACTCTTTGCTCTCTCAGCTAATCTTGTTTACGGCAGCTAAGTCAAAACAAATGGCGAATTGGATTACTGACGCTAAATTGAAGAAACTTTCTAAGTTAGAAAAGTATTTAAAAAGAGTTTAATTTAATTTTAATCAGCATAAAGTTTAAAAATCATATCAAGTTGAGAAAGGGTCATTTTGTAAATGTTTTTTGGAGTGATAGATTAATAAAGAAATTCCACTAAATGACGACTTAGGAGTATGCTTTTTCAATACGTGCTTTGTCTTTCGATCATTTGAGTATTTACATTCTTATTTCCATGCTTTAGAAAGTTAGTGGAATGATTTACAAAGTCGTGGAAATATCCATTATTTTCCAAATTACGATAGCTAGCCCAGCCATCCGAATAAATTGTTGTACCCATAAGTACATGTTTTTGAAGTACGGCTAATAATGTAGCCTCGTCTCTTTTAGGCAATATTTCGGCAAAACATAATTTCGACTTCCGATCGATTCCATACTTGCTTTTTTTCATCAGATGTAAGCCGACCGACATTGCTTTTCGTTTGTAGACCATGGTTTCGTCGATTTCCACGATCTCTCCATAGCCTCCAATCTTTGTTTTATTTTTGTGCAAAATATTATACCACATCTAATTGCAATCAAAAAAATTTTCATTAAAACTTTTGCCATACTCAGCCATACTTCGAAAAATCATGAATACCTAACGAAGCATTTTACCCTTATTTAACACCGTCTTCTTCGATATACCAAGGTTCTGGATGGTCAATGTCAAGGTAATATTTTGACAACAGCAAAAAATTATTTTCAAAACTGTTGATATTGGCAATTTCAAACCATAGAAAATAGTTCCACGGTTCCAACTTATTTGCTTATTACAGCGTCTACAAATGAATGCCTTACCAGCCACTGTACCATGAACAGAACGAAAACTCATTACACCATCACAATTATACACTCTGGATACACCCGAAACGGTTGCAGTTGATGGTAGATATCATTGGACGAAATTATATAAAATTTATAACAAATTTGCAAAGTACATTGTATCTGTCAAAGGAAGGCTGAGCTCGAAAATGTAAGCGTCCGAGCAAAAAGTTTAACGAAAGCTCCTTTGGTTTTCACGTCATATAGTAATAATCAAGATGATCTTGTTTTGGATGATTTGCTGATATCCAAATTTTGTGTATCAATGCGTGATTTTGTGAAGGCGATTATGAAAATCCAGGCAGATTGGTTGACAGAGCATATCGCCAATTATTAACAAAACTAACAAGCGAACATCCAGGTTGGATCAACGAATTTTATCTACAATTGACCTGCACTGTAGTCTGCCATTCTTGTGACCGAGCGTTTATGAATATGTTCATGGTTTTACTCAAAACAATGAGCTGATTCTCATAAAATTTCCGATTCAGATCATTTGTATTCTGTTTGTGTTGTTTATCTTCTAATTGTAATTGTTTCATTTGAATATGTATTCTAGAATACATATTCTTACAAAGCTTATCATTGAGTATGCGGATGCCGCTTGATGAGAGCAATAAAGATCAGAACGACTGTCATCTTTTCTAAAATTGGTTATAGAAAAAACAAATTTCCGCTGCTTGACAACCTCATGAAGATTGTTCAAAAAAGTTTTCAACTCAACTAAATTGAACATTGAATTCTCAACTAAATTGAAGAACAAAGCTTCTTTAGATAGCAAGACAACGATCGAATCAAGTTCACTAATCAAATTCACTTCAACGAAAGCTGACTTTGAGCTGTCGCGATTTCGGCAGCCACAGAATCATCATTAATAGTAATTTTGGCTTGAATTAATAATTCTTATTCCTTCATGTAGCATTCAGACTTTGCCATTTGAACTCTGCTCGAATGACAAATTTCATCCAATGAAACACATAATTCATTATATTGAATTTTCAAAAAGTCTATATCTGGCTGAATTTCTTTAAAAGTTGATGCTGGATTCGGATTCATAGTAAGACAGCGATGGCATAATTTTGTGTCGGTTCCTTTTATGAATTCAGAATTCACTTTTTTGCACAAACTGCAGCGATTTCCAGCATTCACAGATGAAATCCACCTTTTCTTTGACCAAGCAAGTTTGAATGTGACATTCAGAGCAAAAGTTGTAACCAGTTTTGGAGCATTTCCATTTAGCTTTGGCCTCACAAATTTTGTATAGAATACAGAATGGTGAATTCCTGAACCGGATTGATGGAAATTCTGAATCTGTAATATTAGCGCACTCAGCACAAAGATACTTAAGATCAGCAATGAAGAATTCTGAATTTTTGGTGTCAACACAAATTTCACAAACTGGATGAATTATATTCTCCATGATGAATTCACTGTGTAATAAAAAATACAATATTAGTACTAGAAAGCTTATTTTTATGTAAGCATAAAAAGCTTTTTTAGAAAGCTAAAATTGTATACTTGCCTGTAATCATTTGATGATAATTCCATTTTGAATTCTTAAGCTTGGATGAATTTAAAGATTCAGCAATCGAAATATTACCGTAAAAATGATTAACTAGTTTAAAACAATTTATTTAAACTCAAGAATATTCTGCATTTATCACCTAAAATGTCCGTTTGAAATGAATGTGTATTCTTCTGTTTCCATGGAAATAAATACATTTTGAAGGCGATGAATGCATAAAGCGCATTGTTTGAATTTACGTTAAGTGTGCATTTTGTATCGTTATTTTATTTCACGCATTGTGAATTCTACATTTAAAAGTCAGTAACGCATTGAAATTTTTGAGTTTACGTGAAATAATTATGATGTCAAAGGATGACCACTCTAAATCTGCATTCGCGAGCTTTAATGTTTGGCTGGGCTTGTAATGGATGCAATCTCAATCATTGTTTGACACAAACCAGCAAAAAGGGAATTTTGTCAATTATTTCCAGCTATCATCAATTGCAAATAATTGTTAACTTTTAAAGCTGTATAATTAGTTAATTGGAGCATGTTGATTTGTTTTACACACTGGGAATGACTTGATCATGGTTTTGTTTTAAATGATTCAATAAAATCTTTCAATCAGTTTTTATTTTGATTTTTATTAAAAATTATGAATTTATAATGATAATATTTATGGAACGAAAAATGCTAAAAAATTGGTTTTTCAAAAACATGGTTAATTAAAAAACTGGTATTTTAAAATAGTTTAAAATGATGGTTCGACCGGGGTTCGACAGTTGCAAATTTTGTGGATGATTAAAAGTATAAGCTGAAAAAAAGAGAATTAGAAATATTAGTTTATTAAATTGGTTTGTTGGATAAACTAAATTACCGTGAATATCTCGAGTGCAAGAGCGACTTCAGTGGCAGTTCTATACCCAACAGTGCTAATGAGCCAACCTCCAGTGACAGGCCCTACAAAGGTAGCAATTATGGGTAAAGCTTTAAGCCATTTGCTGCATCCGTAAGAAGTTGGAGAAAGTTTCTTAGCACGCAATCCAAATCCAATGACGATTAAAGATAAAATTATTAACCAAAGGTCACTGAAACAAAACAAGAAAATTCATTGAAAGTTGAACAGATAATGATGAAATACCACTTTTTAAAGGCACTCATCAAGCAATACGTACGGTTCAATAGGAATGAAACTAGCTGGCCCTATTGATATTAAGCCAATAATAATAAGAACTGTTCCTACGATCGGAGTCCATAGTGAGCCAAACTGGATATTTAGAAATCAAAATTAAGCATTTACATCACAAGTTAAAAACATTATATCTGTACTAGCTATAGAGTATTTAAATTAGTGAATGTTTATAAAAATGTATTAATACCCCATTACTTCCGAATGCACAACAAAAAGTTGGAAAGGTAAGGAATGCAAACAAAATTATCATGAATATTGACGCAAGCTGAATGGGTGAAAGGTCAAATAGACTTAAGTGATGAGCCAGAGTAACATCATTGAATCCAGTAAGAGCAACGGAACCAGCAATGGCAAATACTTCTACAAACTTATCTGAATATCCAGGTGAAATTGGATCACCAATCAACATGTAATCATCTAGTAGAGAAAAGAATCGGAAAGTTATCATGAGTAGTAAGTAAATATTGTGAGAATGAAGAGAGCGAAATTGGAACAAGTAGAAAGATAACATTGAAAATTCAAGTTTTTACAGTAAAAATTTACTTTTGTACCTGATTTAGACAAGATAAAGATACTCATCAAGAAAGCAAATAAAGTTAAACTTCCAAAAACTACAAAGGGCATGAAATAACCTCCAGCCATGAAAAGAGCACCTCCAATCGGTAAACCTAATAAGGCTCCAAGACAAGAAGCGGTGCTCAATGCCGTCTAAATAAATTGAAAAATTATTACTAAATAACTTCGCGTCTTAACTTTTGGCTTTACTAAGTTTACTCACCAAAGCAGGCACAGGATGTTCACGAAATTCAGATTCCTTAAGTGCATGGCATGATGAAACAAAAGCAGCAACTCCAAGCCCTTCACCGATTCTCAGTAACAAGGCAAACCCCGCAAATTGATTAGCTAAAGTAACCTTATCCAAAACTCTACATCAAGTGAATGAGAACAAAAAGATTGCAAATCGATAAAAAGCTTTGCATTTTGCTATTACATCGTTATTGTATCTAAACCATATCATATCTTTTGAATCAATGTTAAAATAAAGCTTTGCCTCTAGCTAAAATGGAAACAAATCAGAGCAATTGTGTCAAACTTATTTCATGAAGAGAAGCAGAAATCACTGAACAGACAATCATTTTAGTCTTACCCAAAAAGTATAGTAGTTGTTCCGGTAAGAAATAATCCAAATCTTAGTGCGGTATGGGGTGTAACGTAGGCAAACTAATCAAAAATGAATGGAAAATGAAAAATGAGCTACAAGAATCAACAAAAAGTGATCGGGTTAGTTGAATTGAGGCTATGTATATACAAATGTAAAATCGTTGATTGAAATCATTCCATAACCACGAAAGAATTACCATTTTTCGAAAGATTGAGGGCATTGAAGTTACAATCAATTCAAAGACACCAAAAATTAATCCATATGTTAATGGAGATACTCCTTTGATGTCACATTGGCCGGGGAAAAATGGTGCTTGAAGGGAACCACTGGCAGCAATACAAAAATAACTGTATGCCAAAATAATAAGGCAACAAATTTGTTTTCGGTTCATTGGTTCAATATGCTTTGATGGCAAAAGTCTTGTTGTCGCATCTTGGCAATATTGCATGCTTCGGAACGCAGGTTGTTGTGGTTGGTGGACTGTGTTGCAACAGTTTATATTTCCAGTTTCAAAATGGACCGACATTTTTGTCAAATCAGGAAGGAAATTCATTGAAAACTACGAAAAACGATGTTTTTAGCATGAATAACAAATGTAACAAGTAAGTAGACTGACGTTACTAAAACTGAAACAATGAACAATTGATCATCTTTTAGATCTACTTATCATAATGTATGGATCAATTTTGTATCTATCTAAATTGATTTCCCAATGCTTTGTGTCCGTTAACAAGTGTTTTTTATTTGTAAACTTTGCACGTGATTAACAGCCAATTAAGATTGTTTCACTATTTAGTGATACTTCCACTACAAGGCAGCGCTGCGAAAATGTTTCAGCTCATTTCTTAAAATCTAAGGCTGATTATTTGCCACTTTTCTTGGGAAAATCATGTCTGAATAGTTTTAGCGATGAGTACAATCTGATTGAACAGAATATTTATTTGAATCTGTTTTTTTGACTTTAATTTTCAATGAAAACGCGGTGTTGAATATTATATGAAAAGATGAAAATTTACAACAAAGTGTTTTTTGTTTAATAACCATTTGTCCAAATATACCCTTCTTTATGATTTGTTGTTAGATAAAGGAAATATAAAGGAAAGGAAAAGAAAATTAAATAATGCATAATAATAATTGTAATAATAATAATAATAATAATCAATTAGTATGATCTGGTTGGTAAGCAGAATCAATCCATGGAAAAGGGAAATGTATTAAATCTTTCGTTTTTTATGCGTTAATTCTTGTTTGTGTTGTTTATCTTCTAATTGTAATTGTTTCATTTGAATATGTATTCTTGTAATGGATGCAATCTCAATCATTGTTTGACACAAACCAGCAAAAAGGGAATTTTGTTAATTATTTCGATCTATCATCAATTGCAAATAATCGTTAACTTTTAAAGCTGCATAATCAATTAATTGGAGCATGTTGATTTGTTTTACACACTGGGAATGTCTTGTTCATCATTTAGTTCATTACGTTTCCCATGAAACAAAACTGGAAAATCAAAATTTCTATTTTGATGAAATCCACTTGAAAATTGCGGTCATCGGTCATCTTTGTTGTCATTAAAGCAGCAAAGTGGACGAATACTTTTAATGCAACGATTGATTTGCGTTTTTTTCCTGAGCGATTTATCCAGATTTGATCCTTGATAATCCAGTGTATCTGGAAAGCTTTTGGTATCATCAAAATCATCATCAATCAGCTTACTGCTTCTCTAGACTAGAAATAGGGTGGTAATATAATAGGCACTAAATACTATTTATTTTGACAAAATAAAAAAAGACGCTGAGAGAAAGAGTTTGCATTTTGAAGGGAAAGTAATGAGAGATAGAATGAGATAAAGGGTTTGGTTGTCCGTGGTAGACAGGTGGGTTAAAGATGTTGAATTTAATCAGTAGCGAGAAGAATATTCATGATGCCAGCGATTAAAATCTAATTTGTAGATGATCAGTCGACCATTTTCGGTTCCTACCAGTAGATATTTATAATCAACTAGAAGAATTGACTTAATTGCATTGGTTCCTTGGCCAGTTTCTCTTACAGCTAATTCAGGGCTAGGACAAGCTGTTAGTAAATCACTGGTATTGAGTGCATATAATGGAGTTACATCAAATGTTCGCAAAATTTTAATCATATACGGTGATTCACTCAAAATTATGTACTCTCCGTCACGAGTAATGGTCATCATTAGAGATGAAATGTCTTTGGGTCGAGGAAAATTGATGCATTTGTGTAATTCACCTCTCAAATTGTAGGTAAACAAAAGTGCAGTTGGTTCACTAACGGTAGATGTTGATGAAAGAGTTGAGCTTGCTTTGGATGAAGATGACGGTGAAGGATGATCCACAGAACATGCTGTTCCAACAATAAATGCCAATTCTCGAGCTAAAACAAGGTTTGTGATGAAATAATCTTCATCATCTGAGCAATTATTTGTATTACAAACGATACCAGTTGTTTCATTAGATTCACCGGGAGAGCAAGAAGTTGATAAGGAGCTGGTTTGGTTTGATTTATTTTCAGACTTTTTATCCTTTGATGATGATTGATATTGAACTTGTCCTTCTCCAGTCATACTGGCTTCCAGTGTAACTTTAACTTCAACATTTTTGTTATCAATTTGTTCATCTAACTCAGATTTGTAATTTAAACTAGAAACATTGGTGAAATTTAAATGTCTTTTGCGTACATCAATAACTGTGATGCAATCTCCATTGGTTATGGAATGAACCAGAATCATATTTTTAGATCCACTTGATATTAAACCAAGTTCGGCCGAGATTAAAATAGACATTATCATGGACTCATGACCAGTAAGAATAAGTTTGGGTAAGGGATTGCCAGAGACGGCAGAGGCACCATTATTGCCCTCTATTTGAGCATACTTGGCATTCCAAGTCCAGAAAAGAACAGAACAATCAACTGAACCTGAGGCAACGTAAAAATCAACAGCAACATTACATTCACTTCGAGCCAAACAAGTAACCAAACCTCGGTGCCCATAAATAACTTGGGTTAACTTTCCAGTTTCAGTTGAATAAACGCGGAATGAATTGTCATAAAAGGGTGCCATAATAATGTGCTTTGAATCGATTGTCACAATGTATCGAGGGGAATAAGGAGCCGAAGAAGAGGATAAGCAACAAAGGGAAGTTGTATCAAGTAGATGACGTTTGTTGGAGGATGAAGAGGATGAGGTTGAAGAAGGTGTTGTTAAGGCAGGATCCAGGGTGAAAGGTTGATTTGACTCTTTGGGATTCCATTTGTGAATGTGATAATGTTGGGCACTGTTAACGGTAACAATGGACGAAGGAATACTGGACAATGAAGTTGAGTTGGTTGAAGAGGCTGAAGAAGAAGTTGATGATGCACCAGAGGAGCCGGACGAATTGTTAATAGTGCAAGCAGCAATTGCTGTGATTGCCGCATTAAATGGGAACTTGATGGACATACAAATTTCATCCATAACTGGTGAAAACATTAATGGTGATACATGAAGGGCAGAACTTCTAGGTGGATGAGGCTCAGTGGTTAATTGCGAGGGAGTTTGACCAAAGTGACGGATTTGTGCTTCAATAGCATCTTTCAGGGCAGGATCATTACAAGAGATTGAACTTAAATCAATGTTACCCTCATAAGTAAGGTAATAAAAAACATTAACTGCTCTGATTGCCTCAGGACCACGTTGTTTGTAACCAAAAATAAGATCAATCCATTGATGAAGCTGACAAGAAACAAGATCAGATTCTAAGGCCATTCGATGAAGTCGAATAAAATGTTCAGGAGAGTCTGCCCATTTAGGTAACTCAACATTGCGAAGTTTACGACTGGAACCTTGAGGTGCTGTACCAGATAGAACTTCAGGTAGATAAAAAAGTTCAGGGATTAATTCCTTGACGTTTTGATGGCCACCCATTAATGAACCAAGCCAAGCATCTCGAATTGAAGTAAATAATCGAGATTCATTCTCAAGGCGCCCATCTTGTAGAGCAAGGTAAGCGGAATGGAATGGTTCCAACCGTATTAGCCATCCAAGGGTAAAGGCAGCGGTGGAATAATGGGTTCCATAGTGAAAAGCAGGAATATGACTATTGTCCCAAGAATTGTAACGTTCAATAAACTCAGCTCGTCTCTCACTATTTAAAGCTCCAATTGGTTTACTGAGATCACGGAAATTGGTTGGTTGCGATAAATCCAATTCGGGTGCATCATAATTGGTCAATATCCATGGGAAAACTGGATATTGGTTAAGATCTTGATAAGTTCGTCCTGCGATTGTGTTTAAAAACATGAGATATTCAAAGTTGGTAATTTCTCGTTTTTGCCATTTGTGGGTCATATTGGAAGCTGCAAACAGTTGTTTTGGTGTCATAAGAGAAGCACGTCGAGATTGCGGTATACCGTATTTAACACCAACTCCAACGGCTGGAAGATATTTGACTACTTTTTTAACGGTCTCGGAATCGGGGAAAACAAACATAACGGAGGTTCTTTGGGCTAAGAATATTTCAAGAGCAACGGGTTGAAGTAAATATCTCCTACTGAATATTGCTCGAATCTCATTGAAAGGAACTTTTCCATTGTAATTAATAAGGTCACAATAACGAAGAACACGAAGATCTAAATCACGGAAACCTCCTCGTCCAGGTTTAGAACTGCTCGATCCAGCAAGACCTTTTAAATTTTCTTCAGGTATTTTGTCTCGTGAACTTCCAGAAGAAGGTCGAGATTTAGTTTTCCGTTCACCATCACTGTTTTGCTTGGAAATACATGCACCATCGACCGATAATGTCTCATTAATATTTATAGCTTCAAAAAACAGTTCGTTTGCGGTAACTTGAAGAGTTCCTTCGATTGAATAAATGTTCCAGATTAAGTTACATTCAACTGAATACAAAACAGTTCCAACAAACTCAGCAGCAGAAGATGGTCTATCATCGACATCACCATTAACAGATGAGCTCATATCTTCTGATTCCCATAAGAAGAGTTCAGTTTCATCGTCACTTTCTGTTCGATTAGAAGAAGGTTGTTGTTGTTTTGGTACAATTAAATGAGCAGGTAAGGAATGGCCCTCTTTATCATCCTTTCCAGAGGTTTTACTTTTTGGTTCATTAATTACAGCTTCCATTCGAGCTACATTTTCTTCACCATAAGGATCAAGTAAAAATCGACGACGACGACGAGCATCATCTTCCCATGTATCAAGCTTGTAAAACAATTTTGATCGATCAGTTTCAAGTCTTTTTTGTTGTTGTGATAATGATTCCTTGAAACGCGTGAAAATCATTCTGTCGCGACGCTTGGCTGAATTAATCAATGAGTTAATTAAAGCTTCTTCATGGGCACGAGCTGCCAGAGTTTCTAGGCAAGCCAGAGAAAATTGTTCATGTTTAGAGACATCGTCTGCTCTTAATCGGTTAAGAATAAATTCAGCTTCCATTGCAACACGAACAATGTGATCTTTCATTGCATGACTCAATAAACGACCTTCATTTATCAATTCGATAAAAGCAAGACCGGCATTCTTTTGTAATGTATTTTGCCATTCCTGAGAACAAAGTAACATGACAAGCTCCACAGGACTAGCATTGGGACGGCGGAAAGTTCTGACAGCCTCTTTGGAAACTAAATCTTGTCCATGTGAACCAAGCAATGTTTTTGACAAGAATGAGGCAAAATCACACATAATTTCTCGTAAAAGAGGGCAAATTGATGATAAACGAGCCTCTAGTTTAGATGTCAACATATTACCAATACTAGTGGGGTTGATGTTAATTGAATTGCTCAAGCCTTTAATTTCTGACAATCCTGATGAACTGACATCTTCATCGTGACAATCTTCCATGTCTGTTCCAATTGTACCAGTTGAACGTTTAACATCTTTTTGGTTACTTTTAGATTCAATGATGTCTCGATATTCAGAAACCATGAGAACACTAATGAAATAAAGAGTTGCCAATGCAAGAAACTGAGATTGTTTGGTATCAGCTTCGGCGTCACGATATATACAAGCTCTAAGTCGATTGACATCCATTTCTTGTAGAAGTTTGGTTGGATCTTTGATTGGTAAATGGTGAAATGGAAGATATGAGCCTGAAACCAATTCAGGGTTAGAACTAGGTACCATATCAGATAAAATTATATCAGTTGGTTCAATGTTGTGTGCACTACCTCCACCTCCACTTGAGCCTCCATAACCATAATCATTGAAGAGCTCAGCAGCAGCGTTAATAGAAGTACCCAAGCTATAACCATCTTTACCCAAATTAAGAGGATCAAGTGAACTGCCATTTTCTTCATGATGTTTCTGTACAGCAAGACAATTTTTCACTGCGACCGTACAAACCAGTCGCAAACATTGTCGCAAAATACCTCCGGATGACATATTCTTTTCACTCTCCAGTTCAGCGAAGTTGATATGAGTTGCGGCAAAACACAAAATATCAGCCATATTTACCAATCGATAGAGTAGCGCATTTGCTTGAGCTAAAGTTAAACCCTCACCACCTGTACCTGCAGCGTTGCTTCCATTAGCATTCCCAGAAGATGAATTGTTTCCACCAGTCGCTGTTGCTAGTAAAGGTAGTAAACCTCCCGAAGCAATAATGATATTGTCGCATAGCTGAGAGAAAAGATGAATTGAGTTGACAATGTAAATTTGATTATCGGGATGCTGTAAAATTTGATCTAATTGAGTTGCTGAGACAGTCAAGATGACTCCAGATTTATTCTCAATATCTCGACCAGAGCCACTATTGGCTGCGTCTTTAGAGCTTTGACTTTTCCACATTTGCAGGTCACATTCAATGGAATAGAAGAGATCATTGAGAAGTTTAAGATGAAGTGAAGACCAGCGAAATTCGGGAATCCGAAAAGCTGGTGTAGCTGAAGCTGATCCAGATATCTTTTCATTTTGCATAGAAGAAGATGAAGACGAAGATCGTTGCCGTCCTCCTTGAAGTAAATTTGTGTAAAATTCTTTCAAACTGTTTGGATGATGTTTACGATATGCTCGACTTGGAGCAAGGTCAGTTTCTGTGTCACCCGAATCTGGAGTCTCTGGCTGTGAATTTCTTTTCTTTCTATCACCGTCCACGTTTTCCAAAGATTGATTAGTTTGACTTGAGCTAATTGTGCTGATGGCTGGTTCACGAACTTCCTTTTCTTCCTTCTCTGCATCTTCATCTTTATTCTCATCTTTATCTTCTTCAACTTTTTTCTCTTCATCGGTTTCTTTTACTTCTTCTTCAGTTTTTGGCGCTTCACCTTCAATCTTATCGTCCTTTTTAATGGATTCTTGATCTTCTGGTAAAACATTTGAAGAATCTGGAATTTTATCTTCTTCTTTATCAATCACTTGTTTTGAGCTTTCATCTGATGATGTTTCAGGTTTATTTGCTTCTTTAGAAGGTTCAGCTTTTTCTTGTGCTTCATTATCCTTACGTGAGGCTAATTCAGATTCACTTTCAGTTTCAACAGGTTCTTTGGTGGTTTCTGAGGTTACTTCAGCAGAATTTTTCTCTCTGTCGTCTTCGGGTCTACTGTCTTCATCATCTGCAACCTCAGAAACCTCTGAAGGAAGTGGTTTTTCGATGAGTTTATCATCAGGATCTTTATTAGAATCATTAAGATTGGTTGATTTATCTGCAGACTCTACTTCTAAAAGAAAGAAGAAAAAATCACAATGAAATTAATAAAAATTGATTGAAAATTTTTGGTTTACTGAAGTATAAAAGAATCGTCCAAGAAAAGTATAATCCATCAGCTTTAACGACTGGATTAGTATCTAATCTGGTTGAAAATGAGGTTTGACCAATAAAGAAAGGTGAATTTTTCAGGATTCACTTTACAGAAAAAAGCACAATAACTCAATTGAGTGTGAGATACGAATTTGATTGAAATTGAAGCGAAATAACTAAGTTTGACAGAATGTAATTCTTGACAGATTGAAAAAGTTCATCTCAAAGTGAAAACAACAGTATCTATTATTGAATATCATTTCATTATCAATTAATTATTAACTTTGAACACATTGTATCAACATGATCATTCCATTAACCTCAGCATTGGATGATCTTAATGATCTTAGAAGTGTTTTAGTTGATTGTTTTGTTTTTCCCATACTTATGTTGAAATAAAACACTGACTCTTTTGTTTCATTTCATTTGATTTCATCAACTATTAACCTAGAAATGCTTATTACTGTGCTAATTCAAAACCTTTTCTATGTGCAAAATATTGATTTTATTGTTGATGAAAATTGTTGATTTCATATCGACATAGATTTTTCTCAATATGACAAAGATTATTATATTTTGACAAGCTACTTTGTGAGTAATTTTACTGTGAGCAATGTTAAATGACTGAAATAAGTCCATTGATTTAGATTAAGTGTCAAAGAAATTGAAATTCAACTTCAACCTATTGCTGTTTACTAAAGGATGAAAATAATACGCAAAGGACAATAAATGTATAAAGAAAAAATATTCAACTTCAAGATTAATATAAAAGATGAAAGATATTGGTGAAGTAAATTAAAGTGCAAGTTAACTGTCGAGTTGAATTAATATCAGATATAATAAAATTAACGATCGAATCAGGCAAAAAAGGTTGAAAAAGCAGCTCATCGCTAAACTATCAAATTGCTTACTCTTCTGTTTGTTGTTTACCAAATTGTTGGCAGCATAAAATAATAAGTCAGAAGATGAGAAAATAGTTTTCACTGGGGATGATTCTATCATGTAAAATGTGTCACAGGTGACAATCTAATCAATAGTCCAGTGAACCATTAACCGAGTCAAAAAGTGAACAAGAGGTGAAGGTTAATAGTTTATTGGGATAAATCAATTGAGGAGAGAGAACAAAAAACTCTGGTTATTACTTTTACTTAAAACGGTTAAAAGAGCAAATCTTATGCTTATCCTATCTTAACATGTTTTGCATATGCTTTTAGGAAAAGACGAGGACAAAGCAAAGATACATTGACGAAAATTCGAGGGTTGGATGAATACAAGTGAATATATTCAATCGATTTAATGCAAACTCACACAAATAATATTTTAATCTCAAGTGAGATACAACAACAGTTACTCAGGGTATTTTACAGAATAGGAAACATCCAACCTTTTATAACAATTGGAAGAGCTGAATTCCTTTAAAGATTAATCGAAACTGTTGATTCAATGTAAAAAATTTATCTAGAAAGATATCTTGATCTTTCTCATCAAATATGCTGATCTAACGATTCATCTATATTGTTACAGAAAATTGTGAGCACATAATAAACAAGTTATCATTTAGAATGGTAAATAAATTACTTTCTATTTATCTGTCTCTTCCTCATTTCCTTTTTTTCAGGTTCATCTAAATCAATAAAAGAGTGAACCTAATGTTGGCTGCTCATTGAATTTTTTGGATAAAAATTATTCAAATTAATGATAAACATGTAATGCATCAAAGTTAGATACCATTTATCAGTTTAATATCCTGGCAAAAAAGCAAAAACTTAAACAGTGTGTCTAATCATTGAATTAAATAAACATGAGATTCGCTAAAGCAATGGTATAACTTAATATCCAGCTAATAAAAGCATTTTGATATTTTTTCATTATCGTATGTTTCAGATATTGGTCTGATTTGAGTATTTCTGGACATTTAATTTAGTCTAACAAATGAGATAGGTTAATGAAATTTAAACTAATTCAAGATTTATGATTAATCTTACCTTGATTTGCATTGGATTCAGCTGGCTTTGTTGCTTTATCTGATCTGTTTGATTCACCTGATACTTTAGTGTTTATTGGAACTGACTGAGATGAAGATGTTGAGGGTGAAACTGCCGATGATGAAGGTGATGATGATGATATACCATTCAAATTATGATTAATACTATTATTACTGATGTTATTTCTCTTTTCCCCTGCACCACCAAATTGACTCATAAAATCATCAAAGCTAACTTTCGCATGGATAATTGCCAACGTATCAATCCAAACTCTCCAGCCGCCATATTCATATTTAATAGCATGATACAAGAGTACTCTGAAGATTGCAAGAATTTGATCTCGAACAATATGATCATTACGATCTTCAACCAAGTTGATTAACCAATGTTGCCAGACAGACATTTGAAGAACCAATCTTCTATTTTCACGATTATTCACCAACAATCGCCATAAATCGCTGATGAATAATTTTTTAATTTTGTTACGATCACTTCTTCCTTCTAAGTTGTGATGATATCCTGAAGTTGATTTTATGGTGGTTACATTATGCGGGTCTGATGTTTTGCCAGAATTAGCCTGGTTCGATGTTGTTGATTTCTTGCCATCAGTGATTAAAGTAGCAATTACTTTTAATATCATTGGATTCTCAATGCGAAGACTACTAAAACCTCCTGTTCCGTTAGATCTGATAGTTTCAATCGGTGTCTCCACCAGAATTTCAAAAAGCACATTATAAGTATCGATTGATAATGGAGTGAACTTAATCAGCCTTTCACGTAAAAGCATAAACAAATTATTGGGACCCATCACATCTTGCTTTCTTTTGGCTGTAGACCGAGACAAAAAGTAGCCCAATAGCTTTATTGATTGAATACGAATTTCTTCATTAGGTGAATCGAGAAGCTTGAAAACTGTTCGAACACCATTTTTCATGTCAAATGCTGGAATCATTGAAGATGGATGCTCAACCATAAGTGTTTGTAACATTTGTAAAACATCTAAAAGGTTAGCATCTTGGTGAACAGTGGACAGATAGTTAAGGATAGCTTGAAGTTCATCATGGTGTACACCATTGCCTTTAATGATAAGCTGTTTAATGAACAGCAGGATGTAACTTCGAATGGAAATAAGGTCATTTTTGGAAGGTCTAAAACAAGACTCTCGAGCTTTAACTTGAACAGGTTGAGTTGATATTGAATAAATTCCTAAAGTAGTTGTCATATTAGCTCCTGGTAAACCATGTGAGTCTAATGAACCACAATCTTCTGGAACTAGCCAGTAGTAGTATTTAAGGGAATGGAGTAATTGAAGGACAGTTGAGATTCTGCGAACTTCACTGAATATTACTCCACCTCCGGGAGATGATACTCCACCAGTACTTGATGTTGAACCAACACCGGTACTTGCTGAAGAGAAACTACCACTGTTCATTGAATCATTGCCACTGTCCCTGGTAACGGTTGAAGATATATCACAGTTTGATCCAGGTGAGGAGGAGGAGGAAGAGGATGAGGCTGCAGCACCTACGGTGAGAAATTCTGTGGCCAAGTAACAATATAAACGAATTTGAAGTTTGGCGTCAACGTAGATCCATAAAGAAGAATTGAACAAAATGCTATCCATTAATTGTTTTAAAAGAATACTGTCACCAGTTGAGCTCGTCAGAGAAGAGGTTGACATTGCGGACATGAGGGTTTTGGTTAAATTTAAAATTATCTCAAGGGTTTCCTCATTGATTAGGTACCTTGGATTTTTGGCAAGGAGAGAGGAGATTATTACAAAACCGTGAGATTGGACAACTTCATTACCAAACCAGAGAGGAGAAGATTCAAGTAAATCACAGATAAAACCTATTAATGTTGAACAAGCCTCTGAATCAGCTGGAATGGAACCATGTAAACCGGTAAAACGATTTAAAATTGGAAGAAGAGCTTTAATACCTCCAATGGATTGTAACGTATCATTTATCGACCGGGTTATAATAGCCTTAGTATTACCTAATAAGGCAGCATGAGGACTTGATGCGAAATATGAAACATTTCCTTTTGGAGCTGATTGGAGACATAATGTATCACCTTCAACGGCAACTGGAGTGTATAAGCTAATCAATGCACTGGAAAGTTTTTCTTCATACAAGACTTTTTTCATCATCATAGGCATGTTATCAAAAAGACCCATTTCATTGGGATAACGGTATTGTCCCATATAACTGGGTCCCAATCGATGGATAGCACATATCTGACTTGGATTAAGAGCTTCATGAAGAAGATAGATGGCTGACAATTGACCACAGAAAAGGTGTGATTCAGAAACAAGATCAGCAGTTCCTCCGATGAAACACTTGTCAAAAATATCTTGCGTTTGAACTTGCCAGGACATTTCTGTATTGGCTGTTAACTGTCCATTGACGAAAACCTTGATTTCACTGGACCTCCACTTCGCAACATAGGCAATAGCACAATGATACCATTTGAAAGGGACAAATTCATATGGTATACAATGTTGATAGCCTTTTCCTTTGATCTTCATGCTGGTTAAAACCAAACAGTTGCCAGTAAAATGAGCTGAATAACCTACACCCGATTTGGATGTACGAAAAAAGTAAAGATAGGGTTGAGAGTTGATAGAATTGGGCTCCAAACGAAACCATGAGATAAAGGTCCAACCATTTTGAGTAGGCCATTTAACCAAGGGAGGAAGAGCTAATACAGAACCTTTGGTGCCTGGAAATGCAAAGAAAGCTGATGGGCGTCCTTTCTGATGACTATTTGCACTTCGAATAATATGAAGAAGTCGGGAATCCTCCTGGGACGAGGCTAAAAGATATTTCAACTTTTGTACATCACAACTGTAACTTGCTAAAAGGTTAATTATTTCACGAAGAAAGTGTCTGATTAAATTATCTGTACCACTGTTGATGGACGATGAGACTGACGATGATGACATTAATGAGACCTTGTTATCACTATTTGTTGTTGTTGTTGTTGAATATCTGTTGCAATAATGCCTCAAACAATCAATCAATATTTCCTTTGCTGATTCTAAATTGAGAAGGCTTTTTTTCAAAACTGCAATCAGTACACTTAATATTTCGGCTACGCATTTTACAGGCAATTGTTTAAGATAATCTCGAAAAAATAATCTCAAACATTCACCATCCAAGAGACGTTGCATATCATCACTAGTTAGAAGATGAAGGATGGAATCGGTTATATAGCTTGATTCATCAATAACTGCCAGATTTTCATTCAAGCAACTATTGTTACTAATATCGGTACCTCTATTGCCATCTCCGGTATCAACTGAATTTGATTGTTTACCTATTCTTGAACACAGTAGATTTAATTTGACAGCATTTGATATACTAGAATCTTCCAGGATTGATTTCAGGCTAACTGCGGGGATTTCACTTTTTTTAGAGCTAATGTTGTTCAAATGTATACTGTTGGTTGGAGCTTGAGATGTAGAAACATTGGATTTAGCTTCGTTTGTTACAGCAGAGGACACGGTCGAACTATTGGTGTTAGAAGTTGCATTGGCAATCGTAGGGGTAGGTTTAATCGTAGGACTGTCACTGCTGTTACATCTAGCTGAATCGCTATTATTGGTTTCATCTCCAGAGATTGGTGATGAAGATGTTGCTGTTTCTGTTACAGTTGCTGTTGCGGTAACTGTGGATGTAGATGAGGGTGAAGATTTTGGAGATGATTCTGGTGTTGAAACAGATGATACATCTATTGAGTCACCTACTGTGACTTTTGTTTCCTCCGATCCAGTGTCTGTTGGTTGCTGAGTACCTAGTTCTTCTTGGTCTTGTGTCTGTTGTGTATCTTGCTGAGTTTCTGTGGTTGATGTTGATTGTGGCAATTCAATTTCTTTGTTATCCCCGTCTACCATCTTCAAAAAAACAACTCATATGAAGAATTTCTTCCTCAAGATTCACCAACACAAAAAATAAAGAAGATGATCGGAGTTGAATGAAATTGATGAAAATAAACGTTGAATTCAGATTATTTATATTATTAAGAAAAAATCACCGCAAGCAATGAAAAAAGTAATAATAATTTTTTACAATAAAAAACCAAGAAGACAACATCATCATACTTGTTTAGACTCGATAATTATAGTACACAGCATACAGAGTAGTTTTCCTCCGATACTTTTCAGTTGAATATCTATGAATATCATTTCAATAATTTCCCCATAATCAGGAAAGATTTAAACATTGCATTTCTTAATATAGTCGATAATTTTCAACATTCAATCACATTCACTTGAATCTTACAATATTCAAACAATTCGTTTGTTCAAATTAAGCACTTTGACAGGGAAAAATATCATCGGAAAATCGATAATTCAGCTAAACAATAAGATATTTCAACGATGTTTTTTTTCGGGAAATCATACAAGCAGGTTTACTCTTTAGATAAGATTACTTAACCGCTTTCAGTTTCTCCTCAGTTACCTGTAACCGGTTACTTTAAGACTCTGTTAACCGCTAAATTTGAACGAATTCATTAATAATTGAAATTCTTACTCAAGGTTAGCCAATATTCATCGATATTTATTGATAATTAATCAGTTTTTCTGGGTCATTTATTGTAGTATGATGAACATTTTCAATAAACCTGATGTAATTGTCTTTTCTCAATGAACTATGCATATTAATGTAAAATTATTTGAATGCATTTACTGTATACGAATAAGAACATGATTTAATAATGATTTTGATGATTTTTTCATTATCTTACTACTAACCTAGAAGCAAAGAGAAAGGTCTATTCTCGAATCTTTGGTTTAACGTTATTTAGCCCTTAATCTTGCAAGATTACAATTTAAATTAACATTTTAACTATTATATAAACGGAAAAACGAGTTCATTATTTTTTCCTTTAGTTTCACTGACTCGATACCAATAGAAATGCAATTGGCTGCTATTTGTCCAGATTCACGTCCATTCTCCTGATATGGACACTTACTTGAAAATTATGGTAGGCCTTAAATAATGTACAATTATTCCACTATTTAATTAACAAAGATAAGATTGTACTATTGATTTAGCAATTTTGGAGTCGAAAAGTATAGCCAATCTCATTGAAAAAAACGTGTATTAGTCTGGTTACAAGCTCTATATCATTTGAACTATTAATGATTTTAATTTAAGGGTTAAATTTTAATACGTAAGGGATGGGCTTTCTCCTAAAAAACTGAAAACTAATAAATAATTTAATAGTCATCAGTTTAATTTGATAATTTGTTAATAAATCGCGTTTTAAGTAAAAATTTGTTACAGATTATAATATGGAAACCATCCCTTGCTGCTTGCTGCTTTGCGCCAGTGCTTGCAATTTTGTCTCACTGAGGTTAGAGTCTTGTTAGTCTATCTTCAGAAAGCTTAGAGACGCCATTTTTTGGTTTTTATTTTTAATTTTATTTGATTACATTTAAGCCGGCGTCTAATTAGGGTTTAATATAATTTATTTGTGTGGTGTCAACACTTCTGTGCACCAAGATGAGCATCGTAACGGACTCAAAAGCTCCTTTAAAGGAGATAAAGCGTATACAATTTGGTGTACTCAGTCCGGAGGAAATCAAAAGGATGTCGGTTACAGAAGGTGGTGTTAAATATCCTGAAATATATGAGAATGGACGTCCCAAACTTGGTGGTTTAATGGATCCTAGACAAGGTGTCGTAGATCGTCAATCTAGGTGTCAGAGCTGTGCTGGAAATATGACCGAATGTCCTGGTCATTTTGGTCACATTGAATTGGCTAAACCTGTATTCCATTGCGGTTTCCTCAACAAGATCCTCAAGGTTCTTAGGTGCGTTTGTTTTTACTGTTCTAAACTTTTGATCTCCCCTAACCATCCAAAGATCAAGGAGATAGTCAATGAGACCAGAGGCAATCCTAGAAAGCGTTTAGCTCATGTTTATGATCTTTGCAAGAGTAAGCATATATGTGAAGGAGGAGATGATATTGAGTTAAAAGCTAAAGAGATGGATTATACTGAAGTAGCTGAGAATGAATCAAAAAAGCTTGGACATGGTGGTTGTGGTAGATATCAACCGACTTTACGTAGAATTGGCTTGGAACTTTTTGCAGAATGGAAACATCTCAATGAGGACAGCCAAGAGAAGAAGATTAACCTCACTGCTGAACGTGTTCATGAAATTTTCAAACACATATCAGAAGAAGAGTGTGTTATTTTAGGTATGGATCCTAATTACTCTAGACCTGATTGGATGTGCATTACCGTTCTTCCTGTGCCACCATTACCAGTTAGACCAGCGGTAGTCATGTTTGGCTCTGCTCGTAATCAAGACGATCTTACACACAAGTTGTCCGATATTGTTAAAGCAAACAACGAACTTCTTAGAAACGAGCAAACTGGAGCTCCTGCATCAATCATATCTGATATAACAAATTTACTTCAATACCATGTTGCTACGCTTATTGACAATGAACTTCCTGGAATACCTCGGGCTATGCAAAAATCTGGTAGGCCATTGAAATCAATCAAGCAAAGATTAAAATCCAAAGAAGGTCGTATTAGAGGAAATTTAATGGGTAAACGTGTTGATTTCTCTGCTCGTACTGTAATTACACCTGATCCCAATCTTAGAATCGATGAAGTCGGTGTTCCTAGGTCCATAGCACAAAATTTGACTTTCCCAGAAATAGTCACTCCTTTTAACATAGACACAATGTACGATTTGGTTCAACGGGGTAACAATCAATACCCAGGAGCCAAGTATATCATCAGAGACAATGGTGAAAGAATTGATCTTAGATTTCACCCTAAATCTAGTGATCTTCATTTGCAATATGGTTACAAAGTTGAAAGGCACATCAGGAATGGTGACATTATCGTTTTCAATCGACAGCCAACTTTGCACAAAATGTCTATGATGGGTCATAGAATCCGTGTTCTTCCCTGGTCAACTTTTAGGCTCAATTTATCAGTAACAACTCCTTACAATGCTGATTTTGATGGTGATGAAATGAATATGCATGTTCCACAAAGTTTAGAGACCAAAGCCGAGATTGAACAACTTGCTATGGTACCGAGAATGATCGTTACTCCTCAATCAAATAAACCAGTAATGGGTATTGTGCAAGATACTTTAACTGCTGTGAGAAAAATGACCAAAAGAGATGTCTTCTTAACCGAAGAACAATTTATGAATTTATTATGTTTCTTGCCTACCTGGGATGGTAAAATGCCTATGCCCGCTATCATCAAACCACAACCTCTATGGACGGGTAAACAATTGTTTAGTCTTATAATTCCAGGTAATGTTAACCTCATTCGTAACCATAGTACTCACCCTGATGATGAAGATGACGGTCCTTACCGTTGGATATCTCTTGGAGATACAAAAGTCTTAATTGAACAAGGTCAGCTTTTGTCTGGTATTGTGTGCTCAAAAACAGTTGGTTCTTCTTCTGGATCTTTAATGCACGTTGTCTTTAACGAGCATGGACATGAAATAGCTGGAGCCTTCTATGGACATATTCAAACAGTTGTTAATAATTGGCTTTTATTGGAGGGTCACACTATTGGTATTGGAGATACATTTGCTGATCCCGCAACTTATTCTGATATTCAAGGTACCATCCGAAAAGCTAAACAAGATGTGATAGAAGTTATTGAAAAAGCTCACAATGATGAATTAGAACCTACGCCTGGTAATACTTTACGTCAAACTTTCGAAAATCGAGTCAATCGTATCCTTAACGATGCTCGTGACAAGACTGGAGCTTCAGCTCAACGTTCTTTATCAGAATATAACAATTTCAAAGCTATGGTCGTAGCGGGTTCCAAAGGATCCAAAATTAACATTTCGCAAGTTATTGCTTGTGTAGGTCAACAAAACGTCGAAGGTAAACGTATACCGTTCGGGTTCAGGAAAAGAACATTACCTCATTTCATTAAAGATGATTATGGTCCAGAAAGTAGAGGTTTCGTCGAAAATTCTTACCTTGCTGGATTAACTCCTAGTGAATTTTTCTTCCATTCAATGGGAGGTCGTGAAGGTCTTATCGATACCGCTGTAAAAACTGCTGAAACTGGTTATATTCAACGTCGTTTAATCAAAGCTATGGAATCTATTATGGTATCTTACGATGGTACTGTGCGTAACTCTAATGGTCAAGTTATTCAATTCCGTTATGGAGAGGATGGTCTGGATGCTACAGCCGTCGAATTTCAATCATTACCAACTCTCAAGCCAAACAACAAAGCTTTCGAGCATAGATTCAGATTTGAAGGTGCCAATGAACGACATTTAAGAAAGTTATTCACAGAAGATGTTGTCTCTGAAATATTGGGAAGTGCAACTTCGCTTTCTGAATTGGAGAAAGAATGGGAACGTCTTAGACGTGATCGGGAAACTTTACGTGAGATTTTCCCAACCGGTGATAGCAAGGTAGTCTTACCTTGTAATTTAAACCGTATGATCTGGAATGCTCAAAAGATCTTTCATGTTAATTTACGTGGGCAAACGGACCTCAGTCCTTTACGAGTCGTTGAAGGAGTCGAAGATCTCATCAAAAAGCTTATCATTGTACCTGGTGACGACAGACTTTCTATTCAAGCAAATGAAAATGCAACCATTTTGTTTAGAGCTTTGTTAAGATCTACTCTGTGTACTAAGAAAGTAGCCGAAGAATACAGGTTAACAACCGAAGCATTTGACTGGTTAGTTGGAGAAATTGAAACTCGTTTCCAACAAGCACAAGTACAACCTGGTGAAATGGTCGGTGCATTGGCTGCTCAAAGTCTTGGAGAACCTGCTACTCAAATGACCCTAAACACATTCCACTACGCCGGTGTCTCTGCTAAAAACGTAACCCTTGGTGTACCCAGACTTAAGGAAATTATCAACATCTCTAAAAAACCCAAAACACCATCTCTTACTGTTTTCTTGACGGGTGCTGCTGCTAGAGATGCTGAGAAAGCTAAAGATGTTCTTTGTCGTCTCGAACATACAACACTCAGAAAGGTGACAGCTAATACAGCTATTTACTATGACCCGGACCCACAAAACTCTGTGATTGTTGAAGATCAAGAATTCGTTAATGTGTATTATGAAATGCCTGATTTTGATACATCACGAATATCTCCATGGCTACTTCGAATTGAATTAGATCGTAAGAGAATGACTGATAAAAAGTTGACTATGGAACAAATTGCTGAAAAAATTAACGCTGGTTTTGGTGACGATCTTAATTGTATTTTCAATGACGACAATGCTGAAAAACTGGTCCTCCGTATCAGAATTATGAATTCAGATGAAAAGATGGAAGATGAAGAACAAATTGATAAGATGGAAGATGATGTCTTCCTCAGATGTATTGAGGCTTCTATGCTTTCTGACATTACACTTCAAGGTATTGAATCAATTACAAAAGTTTACATGCACCAACCGACTACGGACAACAAGAAACGTATAATCTTAACGGACACTGGAGAGTACAAAGCCATTGTTGAATGGTTACTCGAAACTGACGGTACATCATTGATGAGAGTCTTATCTGAACGTGATGTTGATCCAGTTCGAACTTATTCTAACGATATTTGTGAAATTTTCCAAGTTCTTGGTATTGAAGCTGTAAGAAAAGCTGTGGAAAAAGAACTTAATCATGTCATCTCTTTCGATGGTTCTTATGTAAATTATCGTCATCTTGCTTTACTATGTGATGTAATGACTGCTAAAGGTCATCTTATGGCTATTACTCGTCACGGGATCAATAGGCAAGACGTTGGTGCCTTAATGAGATGTTCATTTGAAGAAACTGTAGATGTTCTAATTGAAGCCTCATCTCACGCTGAAGTTGACTACCTCAGAGGTGTTTCTGAAAACATTATGGTTGGACAGCTGGCAAAGATGGGCACTGGTGCCTTCAGTATGCTTTTAGATCCAGAAAAATGTAAATATGGTATTGAAATTCCAATGCATCCAGTTGGCATGATGGCTGGACCAGGTATGTTTGCAGCTGCCGATAGTCCATCAGCATCAATGACGCCATGGATGCAAGGAGCTACTCCTGGTTATCAAACTTCTTATGGTGGAGTTGGGGCCAGTATGACTCCCGGTGGTGCTGCTTTCTCTCCATCAGCCGCTTCAGAAGTTAGTGGAATGAGCCCAGGATTCAGTCCTTCTTGGCCTTCACCAGGTCGAGTTGGTTCACCAAGTTCACCATCTCCATATATGTATGTATTTTTGTACTCATTAATGAAAATGGATTTTATATCAATGATATTAATAATCTCTTTTTTTACTTCACAGTCCAAGTCCTGGTGGTGCAAGTTCACCAACTTACTCACCTTCTTCACCAGCTTATGCTCCTATGTCTCCGGCAAGTCCAGGCTACTCACCAACAAGTCCATCATATTCACCAACCAGTCCAAACTATTCTCCTACATCTCCTAAATACTCCCCAACTAGCCCCAACTATAGTCCAACATCTCCAAACTATTCACCAACCAGCCCTTCGTATTCCCCAACCAGTCCAAATTACTCACCAACAAGTCCCTCTTATTCGCCAACGAGTCCTAGTTACTCTCCAACAAGTCCCAGCTACTCTCCGACCAGTCCATCATATTCACCAACAAGTCCATCTTACTCTCCAACCAGTCCCAGTTACTCTCCCACTAGCCCATCATACTCACCAACGTCTCCTTCATATTCACCTACAAGTCCATCATACTCTCCAACAAGCCCAAGCTACTCTCCTACGAGTCCTTCTTATTCCCCTACCAGTCCCTCTTACTCACCAACGTCTCCATCTTATTCTCCTACAAGTCCATCTTACTCGCCAACCAGCCCTTCCTATGCTCCAACCAGCCCGTCATATTCCCCTACAAGCCCGTCGTACTCACCCACAAGTCCATCATATTCGCCTACTAGTCCTAGCTATTCACCGACTAGCCCGGCATATTCACCAACCAGCCCAAGTTATTCTCCTGGTAGCCCAAGTTATAGCCCTGGAAGCCCTAAATACACACCGAGCAGCCCCAAATACAGTCCATCAAGTCCTAAATATAGTCCAACCAGTCCAAGTTACTCACCAGTTGCCAGTCCTCGGTATTCGCCGACAAGTCCCAACTACTCACCCAGCTATTCACCTTCATCTCTTAAATATAGTCCAACGTCACCGACGTATTCACCTACGAGCCCTAAAAGCTCACAATTTTCTCCAACCAGTCCTTCATATTCACCATCATCACCTTCTTATGATCCTGGACAAGACGAGGATGCTGATTAGATATGTTGAGATGTAATTGCTCATTCTTTGTAACGTGCCACCATCACCACCATGATTCCGACTTGAAAAAAATGCAAATAAATACAAAAAAATACACAAAAATCATTCCTCTTGTACACCTTTTCCCTAATTTCCCTACAATCATCCATTTTCATCGTTCTGGGATGTTTTCATCAAAAAATTGTCATCAAGAGGAATTATATGGAAAACTACAAATAACGTAAAAAGAAATGTACCAAAAAAGTGTAAAGAGTAATCTACCAATAATATTAATACAATTTTGCCTCGTTTTCATGTTTAACTCTTCACATCTTCGCTTTCAATATCTTTATCCTTTCTTTATCTCAATATATATTTCTTTATCTCTCAAAATTCATTTGATTCAGCTCATCGTAGCTTTATTTTCATCATTTGTAGGATAAACAATTAAAAAATTTCAAAAAAATAACAAAAATGCGTAAAAATTCAACTTAAAAAATCCCATTGATCAAACAACAATGTGAACCAGTTTTTGCTGTCCCTCTCCAAACAAAGCAATTCATTAATAATGATAATCCAAAGGAAACAAAAAAAAATTAATTCATTAATTCATTGATACTTTTGTTTTGTTGCATCTAAACAATAAACTTCACAATCAATAATTTCATTGATAATCATGTTTTATTTCTGTTTTTAATAAACAGACAATATACAAAATTTAATTGTCTCCTTAATTATTCTCGTGTTCAATTACAACGTCTCGTGTTTCTCTACAATCAATATGGTTAAAATTGACCACAATAATCAACCTCATTTAATCAGTTTACCTAAAATTTGTCCCAAATTTCGTTGCAAATTGAGAATGTTAAAGCTGGAACGGACAAAAGACTGGCTTTTAATGGAGGAAGAATTTCTTAACAACATTAAATCAAATAAAAGTATTTCCAGAGATGAATTTAGACTGAAATTAGCCAACAAAATGAGAGGTTATTTGGCAAATCGTTTAAATTTGATATTTGATTAACACGTTTTGCTCTGTGTTTATTATTTAGGCTCAACGATGGCTGTAGCAACTTTACTTGAATTTGTTGGTGATAACCACGCAATAATTACTCTTGGAAAAGGTGAATCTGAATGGATTGTTCCGATCCTATCTATTGCTGATCGATCTAAACTCAAAGTGAATTGCAATGTATTGATTAGTCTTCGCAATTTCAGTGTTGTTGGTGTGATAGATGATATTGACAGTAAAGTCTTGGCAATGAAATTAACCAAAGCCCCACCAGAAACATTTGATGACATAGGTTGGCTTTCAACGAGAATCTAGTTACCTTTATATCTTATTAACATTTATTTTGTTAAACATAGGTGGAATGGACGAGCAAATTCAAGAAATTAAAGAAGCAGTTGAACTTCCTCTAACCCATCCAGAGTACTTCGAAAGCTTAGGAATCAAAGCTCCAAAAGGTAAGCTTATCTAATTTTCAACTGAAATGCTGTCACAAATACAGTTTGAAATTGGAATTCTTCAGTTGCTTTTGATTGTTGAAACACAATTTGCTATATTTTCCAAGTTGATACAATTTTTGAACTGACTCGTTTTATTTCTATTTCCTTGACATGTTGATCTCAACAATTTGCATCACGTCAGGAGTCATTTTATTTGGTCCACCTGGAACGGGTAAGACTTTATTAGCTAAGGCAGTTGCTAATTCAACTTCTGCTTCCTTCTTGTATGTTGTTGCTTCTGAATTGGTTCAAAAGCACATTGGTGAAGGGGCTAAATTGGTTCGCGAACTGTTTAAATTAGCAGCCGAAAATTCCCCTACAATTATATTCATTGATGAAATTGATGCCATTGGTGTTAAAAGGTTGAAAAATGAATAAACAGCAAATTGACGAAAATTGTAATTTGACTATTTAATCTTTAGAGGCAATGAAGAAACTGGTGGAGAACGTGAAGTTCAAAGGACTTTATTGGAGCTTCTCAATCAATTGGATGGATTTGATGAAAAATCTGGTGTTCGAGTCATTTTGGCAACCAATTCAATCGACCGATTGGATCAAGCATTGATTAGACCTGGCAGAATTGATCGTAAAATTGAAGTGCCTCTACCAAACAATGAAGTAAACCCTTTGGACTTGATTTTTATCATTAGAAAAAGTTCTTGCATTTTTATGTTTAATTTTCTTTTTACTGTTTTTGTTTAAAGGGTCGACGTAAAATTTTTGAGATCCATTCCCAAAGCATGATGAAGGCTGAAAAAATTGACGTTGACTCCATTCTGGAAGGAGTTGAATTTAGGTAATTAAGATACACCTTTCTCATAAAAGACTTTCAAATAATGTTTACTCTTCATTATTCACATTTTACCTTGCCAGTGGTGCCGATATTAAATCAATTTGTATTGAAGCTGGTTATCGAGCTCTTAGAGACAGAAGGCGAGAAGTAACTAATGATGACTTCCTTAAAGCTAAAGAACAGGTCGCAGCATCTCGAAAGGCTAATCCGGATAAAGAAGGGAAATATATAGCATGATGACATGGCTTGTCTGACTTTCAATCCATCAAGTTTATTATTAAAATACAAAGTTGGCCGATCAGTTCTTTACAGTTTACTTCTCAAAATTAGATATCCTTTAGAAGAACATGAATTAATTAATATGAATGCAATAGAAATAGAAACTAATTCAAGCGAAATTGACAAACAAGAGAGTTTGTTTGAATTTGACTGAATAATTACCTATAAGTAACTGAATACATACAATTCCACCAATTAATAATACGGATCCTTCCGAATTTTCCCTCCTTTCTCTTTTCTCATAATTCCGCATGTCAGGGAAATTATGAATACGAAATCTTATTGAAATGGTTTCGTGCTTTGGTCCCAGTGTGAGTATTTTCGTATACACACATATCTGTGCATAGTCGTTACGCCATTAGTTCAGGGTTGTTGAAATGTCTAATAATGTCTCTTTGTAAAAAGGTTGAGGCAAAAGTTATCATTCGATCATTCGATTTTTTATGATCGTCAGTATAGTTAATGCCATCGGCCAGAAGACCGATTGTCATCCATGTTTCATTTTTGACATCGAAACAATCGCAAAATCTTGCTCTGCTATTGAACAATATAACTTTATCATGAGATGGCATGGGAATTAAAACAGATATCCCCTTATAACTGCATGAAAATTCTTTCGTCTCATGATTAGCAACATTGAACTGGATTAGCGGTCCATTTTTCAAAATGTAAATCTTATTTTCCAAAGCTGTTACCAGATAATTTTTTGTGTTTGTGCTCATGGTTTCCGAAATCGGTGCTTCTTTACACATCAAACGATTTCCCACGCAATTATCCCTAATTCCTCCAATCCCAACAATTTGTTCATCCAATTCGAGAATTGAATTTCCGGCATAAGACCCATAGTCACTAATAACATATGGCCTAGAAAGATTAGAAAAGATTAGAAAAAAATGAAAAGATCAAAATACGTAGATATATATATAGAATAACAGAAACAGTTGCCTACTCGTTTTTTCCACGAACATTGTTTGTAATGAATTTCATGATTTTATTTACATAAGGTCCAACATCGCGTAAACCAAACAAGCGATACCTATTTTGATTCCAATCAATGATCATCATTTTGCTTTCTAAATCAATATTATATACATGAGAAAAATACTCATTGCTTAACAGGTCCAAACGCATTGATATGTCTAATTTGAAGACTTGAATAATCAATGGCTTAAAACTTTGGTCAAGTACTCTGATTTGCAAATCTTTTTCATGCAATTCCTCAACCAGGAGGAAGTAATGTTGTTTGGTTCGATCGAATTCACAATCACCAATGCATTTATCAGGTGTGCAAAATATCGATTCAATGTTTAAAATCTTGAAAAAATCATTTTCCTTTATTTTAGACAAATCTTTGTCGTCCAAATTGCACCATCTGACCAACTTGAATAATCTTTCAAGGTAGTTCTTTCTGGAATCAGTGTCGAAATTGACCCATTTCACGATGGCATTAAAAACTTGCATCTCTGAATGAATCATTGAATCCACATTGCAAATATATTCAATGGTTTCAATAGGAAAATTCAACCAAAAAGTTGAGCTTGCTATCTTCGAGAAGTGTCGACAGATGAAAGCGTTGAGAACAGCAGAGTTGATACATTTAGATACTGGAGTCACTTGTGGAATAACAACTGGAAGGTGTGACATTGAAAATCTTTCTTGGAAATAGGCAGCACACTGATCCACCCAATATTCAATTCCAAAGTAATCCATTATGGTGCATAGGTTTATCAAGTTTTTCATTTCGATCAACATAAGATCATATTGAACCCAAGTTAGAAACAATTCGAAAGCCTGCTCATCAAAATCCAGTCTAACCATGTTTTCCTTTGATTCCAATGAATCATGATTAAGCGATCTTTTAAAATGAGGCACTTTACTGATAATAAGCTTTTTACTAATTTTATGTGTCACTGATCGATTCACAATTGTTAGCTGATCATCAGTTTCCCTTGGCCCCATGCTTTATCTGTAGCTTTAAATTAAAACACAAAATTGTAAATTTTCTTGAAATGCAAAATACAGAGCAAAATCAATATAAAAATCTTTGAGTATAACAAATTATCAGTCTGGTATCATTGACTTTCATCCCACATTTATATCAATATCATACGATATCAACACATCACAGATATTTAATTGAAAAAATGCCATCTCTTGTCAATTAAGGTTGTCACGTAAAAGACACAATTGCAAAATTGTCACTTTTATGCACAAATGGGCTAAAACGGGCAAAAATTGATTCATTCTAAATTTAGACTCTGTTGGTTTGTACGAACATAGAATTGAGCCCATTTGTGCATTTCAAAATTTCTTGAATCGACAGATTTTGAGAAAATTGACGTAAACGTTAAAACTCGGATTGCCTTTTGTACAATCATGTAGCTTGATTTTTCGATAAACTCATCTTTCTGGTGGAAGATGCTCAAAGCGGAAATGATGGGAGACATGAATAGGGATTCCGAATCAAAGCAACAATCGAAACAACTGAATAAAACGCAATCATTTTTTCAAAAACAAACTAGGAGAGACAAAAATTTTGCTCTGTGTTTATTATTTAGGCTCAACGATGGCTGTAGCAACCTTACTTGAATTTGTTGGTGATAACCACGCAATAATTACTTTTGGTAAAGGTGAATCTGAATGGATGGTTCCGAGTCTATCTATTGCTGATCGATCTAAGCTCAAAGTAAATTGCAATGTATTGATTAGTCTTCGCAATTTCAGTGTTGTTGGTGTTGATTACCTTGATTACATTTATTTTGTTAAACATAGGTGGAATGGACGAGCAAATTCAAGAAATTAAAGAAGCAGTTGAACTTCCTCTAACCCATCCAGAGTACTTTGAAAGCTTAGGAATCAAAGCTCCAAAAGGTAAGCTTATCTAATTTTTCAACTGAAATGCTGTCGCAAATACAGTTTGAAATTGGAATTCTTCAGTTGCTTTTGATTGTTGAAACACAATTTGCTATATTTTCCAAGTTGATACAATTTTTGAACTGACTCGTTTTATTTCTATTTCCTTGACATGTTAATCTTTAGTAATTAGCAGCCGGAAATTCACCTACAATTATATTCATCGATGAAATTGATGCCATTGGTGTTAAAAGGTAAACAAATAAATAAACATTAAATTGACGTAAATTGTAATTTGACTATTCAATCTTCAGAGACAATTCAGAAACTGGTGGAGAACGTGAAGTTCAAAGGACTTTATTGGAGCTTCTCAATCAATTGGATGGATTTGATGAAAAATCTGGTGTTCGAGTCATTTTGGCAACCAATTCAATTGATCGATTGGATCAAGCATTGATTAGACCTGGCAGAATTGATCGTAAAATTGAAGTGCCTCTACCAAACAATGAAGTAAACCCTTTGGACTTGATTTTTATCATTAGAAAAAGTTCTTGCATTTTTATGTTTAATTTTCCTTTTACTGTTTTTATTTAAGGGTCGACGTAAAATTTTTGAGATCCATTCCCAAAGCATGATGAAGGCTGAAAAAATTGACGTTGACTCCATCCTGGAAGGAGTTGAATTTAGGTAATTAAGATACACCTTTCTCATAAAAGACTTTCTTATAATGTTTGATCTTCATTATTCACGTTTTACCTTGCCAGTGGTGCCGATATTAAATCAATTTGTATTGAAGCTGGTTATCGAGCTCTTAGAGACAGAAGGCGAGAAGTAACTAATGATGACTTCCTTAAAGCTAAAGAACAGGTCGCAGCATCTCGAAAGGCTAATCCGGATAAAGAAGGGAAATATATAGCATTGGATATGAATGAAATGGAAAATGAAACTAATTCAAGAGAAATGAAAAATTTGATAATCCGACTTTGATTAGTATATCGTATTTATTGTTCATTGAAAACAATATGATTGATTAATTTTTTATTTAAACCCATACTGTTGATTAGTCCGATCTGTTTTTGTCTAAAATAACTAATTTTGTAAAATTAGCTAAGGTCTGAAAAAGAGGTAACCGTGTCTAGTCGTAAAAAGGCTGAGGTTAAAGTTAACAGCTTATTGGACTTCCTTTGATCATCAGTAAGATTCATTTCATCAGCCAGAAGGCCAATTGTACTCCATTCTTCATCCTTGACATTGAAACCATCAACAATCCTTGTGAGTTTATCAATAAGCACAACTTTATCTTGACCTGGCATTGAAGTTAAAATTAAATCGTCCAAGTGCGATTTACCTCTACGCTTGAATCTCCTTGTCCTCTGACTTTCAATGTTGAACTGTATTAATTCACGATTAGAATTGAGAATGTAAATATCATTATCCAAAGCAGTCGTCTGATAATTTCTTTTATAATCACGGAGGCACATTTCAATATTTGCATCACTTGGTGCTGTCCAGCAAATCAATTTTTCAGTGTTATTGTTTTTTTGCCAATCGGTACGTTGAGAAATCAAAATAAACTGATCATTAAATTCAAGAAGTGAACTTCCAGTATAAGAATGCAATTCTCTAGTCTCATCAATTTTATAGCATTTATCTCTAAACAAACAGGATGAAAAAAGATTTTGAAAGATCAGAAAAGCACTGAAATGAGAAATTGAATGAAAAATATTTAGAAGGACAGAATCAATTACTTACTCGTGCTTTGTAAAGATACATTTTACAATTTCATAATAATAATATTTATACTCATTAACGCCAATCAAACGGTACTTCTTTTGATTCCAATCAATGCGAATCATTTTGCTTCCCGAATCAAAAACTATATCAGAAACATATTCATTGGGAAAAAGACGCAAAGGCATTGATTCATCTAACTTGAAGACTTGTTTAATCAGTAGCTGAAAACTGCGGTCAAGCACTTTGATTCGTAAATCTTTACCATGCATTTCCTCTACCAGGACAGAGTAATATTGATTGCTTCGATCAAATTCACAGTCACCAGTACATCTAGAGTGCGAACAAAATGTCGGTTTAAAGTTAAAAGTTTTGACGAAATCATTTTCCTTTATTTTAAGCAAATCTTTACTATCCAAATCACAGTATCTAACCAATGTTAATAACTTTTCAAGATAGTCCTTTCTGGCATCAATATTGAAATTGATCCATTTCATGATTGCATTGAAAACTTGCATTTCTGAATGAACCATTAAATCTAGCTTGCAAATATATCCAATCGTTTTAATGGGATAATTCAACCAAACAGTTGTGCTTGCTATCTTCAAGAAATGGCGACAGATGAAAGCGTCGAGAGTACCAGCGTTGATACATTTAGATATTGGAGTCACTTGTGGGATAACAACTGGAAGGTCTGAGATTGAAAATTTGTCATGAAAATAAGTAACCAAACGATCCATCCAATAATTGTTTATCCCAAAATAATCCATTATGGTGCACAGGTTTATCAAATTTTTCATTTCGATCAACACATGATCAGATTCAACCCAAGTTAGAAACGATTGGAAAGCTTGTTCGTCAAAGTCCAGTTTAAACATGTTTTCCTTTGATTCCATGAATGAATCATTACTAAGCACTGTTTGAAAATAGGGTATTTTACCGATAATTAGTTTTTTACTAATATGATGTGTCCGTGATCGATTCACAATTGTTAGCTGATCAGTTTCCTTCGATTCCATGATTATGGGTCAATTTAAATACAAACACAAAATTTTAAATTTTCTTGAAATGCAGATTACAGTACAAAATGTTTGATTGTAACAGATTGTTAAAATTTTTGATTATATCAATATGTTGCGCTAGACTTTGCCACATTTTATTATTATTAATATGATTGAAAAGATGTCATCTCTTGTCGATTAAGGTTGGCTCATTAATACACAAATTGACACAATCTGTTGAAAAAATCTGTTGACACAAATAGGAAAAGCAGACAAAAAATAGTTTATTTCAACTCTGTTTGATTATATGGACGTAATGTTGAGTCCAAAATTTTTTTGGCCGACAGATTTTGAGAAAATCAAAGTCAAAGTTAAAACTTGGATCGTCTTTTGTACATTAATGAAGCCAGATTAGCCGAGATGAAACTCATTTTTCTGGTGCAACTGGTACAGAGGATTCTATAGCTAATGTAGTCTGGTTACTTTTTGGTTTCATTTTTGAAGCCTTCTTTAAATATTACAAACCTTTCTATCGATTTTTCTGGTAAAATTTGGGTAGCCCAAGCTTTTCTATTGATTGAAAAGTCAATTATCTGAGATCAATTTTAATTTTCGTTTTACTGTTTAATTTAAAGGGAGCACGTAAAATTTTTGAGATCCATTCCCAAAGCATGATGAAGACTGAAAAAATTGACGTTGACTCCATCCTGGAAGGAGTTGAATTTAGGTAATTAAGATAAAGCTTTCTCATAAAAGACTTTCAAATAATGTTCACTCTTGATTATTCACATTTTACCTTTCCAGTGGTGCCGATATTAAATCAATTTGTATTGAAGCTGGTTATCGAGCTCTTAGAGACAGAAGGCGAGAAGTAACTAATGATGACTTCCTTAAAGCCAAAGAACAAGTCGCAGCATCTCGAAAGGCTAATCCGGATAAAGAAGGGAAATATATAGCATGATAACATGATTTGTTGGTTATGAATGAAATAGAAAATGAAACTAGCTCAAGAGAAATGGACAGAAGAGAATGACTTGGATTAGTATATCGTATTTATTGTTCATTGAAAAACAATTAGATTGATTAATTTTATCTTTTTTCTAAAAAAATTAATTCGGTAAAAATTAGCTAAGGTCTAATTAATCTTATCTGCAAAAAGGCTGAGGTTGCAGTTAACAGCTTACTGGACTTCCTTCGATCATCAGTAGGGTTAATTTCATCAACCAGAATGCCAATTGTCCTCCATTTTTCATTTTTGACATTGAAACAATCAATAATCCTTGTGGATTTATCGATAAGCATAACTTCATCATGATTTGGCGTGGGAGTTAAAATTAAATCGTCCAAGTTTGATTTACCGCTAAATTGGAATCTCCTTGTCCTATAACTTTCAGTGTTAAACTGTATTAATTCAAGATTAAAATTCAGAATGTAAATATTATTATCCAGAACAGTTGCCAGATAATTTCTTTTATCATCAGTGAAGAAATTTTCAATACAGTAATCACTTGGTGTTGTCCAACCAATCAACCTTTCAACCTTATTGCCTCTTTGATAATCGTTACGTTGAGCAATCAAAACAAACTGACCATTAAATTCGATAATTGAACTTCCAGTATAAGATTCACTAGGCTCATCAATTCTATAACATTTACCACTAAACAAACAGAACGAATAAAATATTTTAAAAGATCAGAAATGGGAAATTGAATGAAAAATATATAGAATGACAGAATCAATTACTTACTCGTGATTTTTAGTGATAGATTTCACGATTTCTTTATGATAAGATTTATAATCAGCAAAGTCAATCAAACGATACTTTTTATGCCACCAATCAACACGAACCATTTTGCTTCCCGAATCAAAAACTATATCAGAAACATATTCATTTGGAAAAAGATGCAAAGGCATTGATTTATCTAATTTGAAGACTTGTTTAAATAATAGGTAAAAATTGCGGCCAAGTACTTTGATTCGTAAATCTTTACCATGCATTTCCTCTATCAGGACAGAGTAATATTGATTGCTTCGATCAAATGGACATTCACCAATGCATGTAAGATATGCACAAAATCTCAGTTGAAAGTTTAAAGTTTTGACGTAATTATTTTCCCTCATTTTACTCAAATCTGGGCATTCCGTTGTACAGTATCTAACCAGTGATAACAATCTTTCAAGATACTCCTTTCTGGAATCAGTATTGAAATCGACCCATTTCGTGATCGCGTTGAAAATTTGTATTTCTGAATGAACCATTAAATCTAATTCGCAAATATATTCAATGATTTCAATAGGATAATTCAACCAAACAGTTGTGCTTGCTATCTTCAAGAAATGGCGACAGATGAATGTGGCGAGGGAACCAGTGTTGATACATTGAGATGCTGAATGCACTTGTGATTTAACAACTGGAAGGTCTGAGATTGAAAATTTGTCGTGGAAAAAAGCAACAAAACGATTCATCCAATGATTGTTTATCATAAAATAATCCATTATGGTGCACAGGCTTATCAAATTTTCCATTTCAATCACCACATGATCAGATTCAATCCAAGTTAGAAACGATTGGAAAGCTCCTTCATCAAAACACAATTGAATCATGTTTTCCTTTGATTCCATGAATGAATCATTACTAAGCACTGTTTGAAAATAGGGTATCTTACTGATAATTAGTTTTTTACTAATATGATGTGTCCGTGATCGATTAACAATTGTTAGCTGATCAGTTTCCTTCGATTCCATGATTATGGGCCAATTTGAATACAAACACAAAATTTTAAATTTTCTTGAAATACTTTGTACTTTTTGCCGGGAAGTGTGTTGATCAAATATTTACAGATTTGACTTAACTCTTCCTTAATTAGGGACCATTGACAAATTTACTGTCATCATCTGGTATTTCACTGTAAATATGTTTGATTGTAATAGATTATTCAATCTGTTGCCCTTGAACTTTGACTCATTTTATTATTAACATAGTAATATTTTTGAAAATATCCCATCTCTTGTCAATCAAGGTTGGTACACAAAAGATACAATTGCAAAATTAGTTGATTAATCCACTAATTGGCACAAAAACGGGCAAAAATGGTTTCATTTTAAATTTAGACTCTGTGGGTTTAAACGGACATAAAAATTGATTCCATTCATGATTCAGCAATTTAAAAATTTCTTTAGCGACAGATTCTGAGAAAATCGAAGTCAAAGTTAAATGTTGATCGTCTTTTGTACAATAATGAAACCAGACCTTGTCATAAAAGTCATTTTTCGGGTGTAACTGGTAAAGGTAATTCTTTAGCTAATTTAATTCAATTAGCATTAAATTTGCCAATATGGACTCAATTTTTATGCTCGTATGTAAAATGATTACTCTTCTCAGACAATTATTATTAATCTTATCAAAGAACTGGCTTGACTTAGGTATTTAATACAGTAGTGGTCAGGGTTAAGTCTAATTGTTGCTAATGTGGACCGATCGACTTTCAATCTTTTTCTTTGTTTAAATTAACCCTGGAACTAATGTAATCTGGTTACTTTTTGGTTAACCAAAGCCCCACCAGAAACATTTGATGACATAGGTTAGCTTCAACGAAAATCTTGTTACCTTTATACCTTGTTCACATTTATTTTGTTAAACATAGGTGGAATGGACGAGCAAATTAAAGAAGCAGTTGAGCTTCCTCTAACCCATCCAGAGTACTTTGAAAGCTTAGGAATAAAAGCTCCAAAAGGTAAGCTTATCTAATTTTTAAAATGAAATACTTTCACAAATACAGTTTGAAATTGGAATTCTTCAGTTGCTTTTGATTGTTGAAACATAATTTGCTGTATTTTCAAATTTGATGCAATTTTTGAACTGACTTGTTTCATTTCTATTTCTTTGACATGTTGATCCCACTTTTAATGGTCTTGAATGGTAACCTTTTATCAAAAACAATTTGCATCACGTCAGGAGTCATTTTATTTGGTCCACCTGGAACGGGTAAGATTTTATTAGCTAAGGCAGTTGCTAATTCAACTTCTGCTTCATTCTTGTATGTTGTTGCTTCAGAATTGGTTCAAAAGCACATTGGTGAAGGGGCTAAATTGGTTCGGGAACTGTTTAAATTAGCAGCCGAAAATTCGCCAACAATTATATTCATCGATGAAATTGATGCCATTGCTGTTAAAAGGTAAACAAATAAATGGACATTAAATTGACGGAAATTTTAATTTGATTATTCAATCTTTAGAGGGAATTCAGAAACTGGCGGAGAACGTGAAGTTCAAAGGACTTTATTGGAGCTTCTCAATCAATTGGATGGATTTGATGAAAAATCTGGTGTTCGAGTAATTTTGGCAACCAATTCAATTGATCGATTGGATCAAGCATTGATTAGACCTGGCAGAATTGATCGTAAAATTGAAGTGCCTCTACCAAACAATGCAGTAAACGGTTTAGACTTGATTTTTATCAATAGAATAAGTTCTTACATTTTTATGTTTAATTTTCCTTTTACTGTTTAATTTAAAGAGTCGACGTAAAATTTTTGAGATCCATTCCCAAAGCATGATGAAGGCTGAAAAAATTGACGTTGACTCCATCCTGGAAGGAGTTGAATTTAGGTAATTATGATACACCTTTCTCATAAAAGACTTTCAAATAATGTTTAAAAGAACAGGTCGCCGCATCTCGAAAGGCTAATCCGGATAAAGAAGGGAAATATATAGCATGATAACATGGTTCGTTGGATATTAATGAAATAGAAAATTAAACTAAATAAACTTTAATACAAGAGAAATGGAAAGACGAGAAAATAAAAAATTTGATAGTCCGACTTTGATTATTGTTTATCGTATTTATTGTTCATTGAAAAACAATCAGATTGACTGATTTTTGTTCAGTCCCAATTCGTTGATTGCTTTTGCTTAAAATAGCTAATTCGGTAAAAATTAGCTAAGGATCCTGATCCTGTCTAGCTGCAAAAAGGCTGAGGTTAAAGTTAACAGCTTATTGGACTTTCTTTGATCATCAGTAGGGTTAATTTCATCAGCCAGAAGGCCAATTGTCACCCATTCTTTATCTTTGACATTGAAACATTCAACAATCCTAGTAGATTTATCGATAAGCATAACTTTATCTTGACCTGGCATTGAAGTTAAAATTAAATCGTCAAATTTCGATGTAGCTCTAGGTTCGAATTTCCTTGTATCGTTAATATAACTTATGGTACAAATTATTAATTCAAGATTAAAAGTCAGAATGTAAACATCCTCATCCGAAATAGTTGCCAGATAATTTCTACTAAAATCGCCGAGAGATTTTTCAATAGTCGCATCACTTGGTGTTGTCCAACAACGCAAACTTGCAGTTCTTTTGCCTTGCTTTGCATCAATATGTTTAGAAAAGAAAACAAACTGTTCATTGGATTCGAGAAGTGAACATCCAGCAAAAAATTCGTAGTCTCTATTCTCATCAATTTTATAACATATTTCGCTAAAAAACAGGACGAATAAAGATTTGAAAAGATTAGAAATGGGAAATTGAATGAAAAATTTATAGAATAACAGAATCAATTACTTACTTTTGCTTTTTAAAGATACATTTTGCGATTTCGTAATAATAATTTTTATAATCATTAAAGCCAATCAAACGATACTTTTTTTGCTTCCAATCAATACGAATCATTTTGCTTCCCGAATCAAAAACTATATCAGAAACATATTCATTGGGAAAAAGACGCAAAGAAATTGACTCATCCAATTTGAAGACTTGTTTAGTTAAAGAGTGTAAACTGCGGTCAAGTACTTTGACTCGTAAATCTGTACCATCCATTTCCTCTATCAGGACAGAGAAATATTGATTACTCCGATCAAATTCACAATCACCAATGCATTTAGCAGGCATACAAAATATTGATGTAAGGTTAGAAAAATTGCCGTAATAATTTCCTTTTATTCTACGCAAATCTTCACATTCCAAATTACAGTATCTAACCAGTTTAAATAATCTTTCACGATACTCCGTTCTGGAATTAGAAGCGAAATTGGCCCATTTCATGATTGCATTGAAAACTTGCATTTCTGAATGAACCATTAAATCTAATTTGCAAATATATTCAATGGTTTCAATAGGATAATTCAACCAAACAGTTGTGCTTGCTATCTTTAAGAAATGGCGACAGATGAAAGCGTTGAGAGTACCAGAGTCGATACATTTAGATATTGGAGTCACTTGAGGAATAACAACTGGAAGGTCTGAGATTGAAAATTTGTCATGGAAATAAGTAACCAAACGATCCATCCAATAATTGTTTATCCCAAAATAATCCATTATGGTGATTAGGTTTATCAAGGTTTCCATTTTGATCAATAAATGATCGGATTCAACCCAAGTTAGAAACGCTTGGAAAGCTTGTTCATCTAAATTCAGTTTGACCATGTTTTTCTTTGATTCCATGAATGAACCATTACGAAGCAATGTTTCAAAATAGGGTATCTTACTGATAATTAGTTTTTTACTAATATGGTGTGTCCGTGATCGATTCACAATTGTTAGCTGATCAGTTTCCATTGAATCCATGGTTATGGGCCAATTTAAATGAAAACACAAAATTTTAAATTTTCTTGAAGGGCAGATTACAGTACAAAATCAATATAGAAATGTTTGATTGTAACAGATTATTATAATTTTTGATTTTATCACTCTGTTGCACTGGACTTTGATACATTTTATCATTAATATATTAATAATTGAAAAGATGCCATCTCTTGTCGATTAAGGTTGGTACACAAAAGACACAATTGCAAAATTGACACGAATAGGCAAAAACGGGCAAAAATTAATTCATTTCAGATTTAGATTCTGTTGGTTTGTATGGACATGAAAATTGAGTCTATTTGTCCAATTCAAAAAATTTTTTGGCCGACAGATCTGGAGAAAATCGAAGTCAAAGTTAAAACTTGAACCGTCTTGTGTACAACAATGAAGCCATATTTTTTCATAAAACTCATTTTTCTGGTGCAACTGGTAAAGGTAATTCTATAGCTAATTTAATTAGCATTTTATTTGCCAATATGGACTCAATTTTTATATCTGTACAAGCCAACAGTGTCTAAATTTGAAATTGATTAATTTTTTGTCCTAAAGGTGAAATGATTACTCTTCTCACAAGGGATGCATGGTCGTCCATACGAAAATTTTGAACTTTTTTGGGCTTAAAATATTCTAATGGGTCAGTTATGACCTTTCGTTTCGAAAATTTTCAGTTTCAAAGTTACAAGGTTTTAACGGTTATTCCGAATTTAACTTATTCGGTATGAGGCTTACTTATTTCTTTGTATCGATTCCAAGATCCGATCCTATTTCTGGGACTTTTAGTTTTCAGCTGCAACAACATTTTTGTTTGAAAACATCTGTATTGTTTTTTTATTATTATCACTGGCAATTCATTAATTATTATTAATCATTCATGTGAATTGTTTAATTTTTAAAATTGACTGGGCTTTCATTTCTTTGACAATCAATTGGTATGTATCCATGTATTATAACTGCTTTCAAGGTTTTCTTTTCAACTGACTCATATGTGCTTTTTTATTTGATTAATTTTACTACATTCTGATAGATTTTGCATTCCTTACAATCATGGACGCTAATATGATCAGTGCCAAGATGCTCAAAGCGGAAATGATGGGAGACATGAATAGGGTTGCCGAATTAAAGCAACAATTGGAACAACTGAATAAAACGCAATCATTTTCTCAAAAACAAACTAGGAGAGACAACAATTATCATTCGAATAATAATGAAAGTCGGAATCAACAAAAATCAAGAAACCCTAATCGAGGTAATGCCGATGAGTTGAATAAGTTGAACGCAAAAATCATTAAAGCTGAAATGATGGGAGACTCAGAGCGTGTAAAGGAACTTAAAGCTCAATTGGAGGGCCTACAAAACCCAAGCAATCAACGATCATCGTCATCTGAAGAAAGTCAATCTTTTGTTCGTGTCTCTCAAGAAAGTAAAACGAATGTTCACTCACAAGAACAAGATGAACTCCTTGCTAGTCGACTGTCCGGTTGTACATCAGACCCTCAAAAGAATGCCAAATTGAAGCAACTTTCTAAGAAAATTTCAGATGATAGGTTCAGCTTAAAAGAAATGGTAAGTTTTCTCAAACTCTTTTTATTTCGAATCAATAACTTGACGATTTTTGTCTTTTTTGTTTTTTTTTGAAAAGTTTGTAAGTGCCAAAAGAGGAGAAGTCGAAGATGAAGCTAAACTGTTCATAAAATCATCTTCCAAGTTAATCAATGCGGATGATGAATATGAAGAAGTTGTTCGGAAAGGAAATAAAAAGCGACGAGAAGATAAGGAAGAGCGACCGAAGGTATTTACAGAGCCAGATGATCAAGAATGTGGCCATTGTATTCAAAAAATCAAGAAACATTTGGTTGTTTCTATTGAATCGACTATTTACCTATGTTTACCTCACCACGAGCCTTTTGTTGATGGTCATTGTTATATAAGAAGTAGGAACCATATTCGTTGTACTGTTGAAACAGAAGAAAATTGTTTAACTGAAATACTCGGATTAAGAAAAAAATTATGTGAAATATTCAAATCTCAGAAAAAAGGAGTGGTATTTACCGAAATGTTTTTCAAAAAAGGAAGGAATAAACATTTTCAAATTGAATGTTTTCCAATCAAGCAAAAGTACATGGCTGATGTAAAAATGTATTTCAAGGTATCTTATTCCTTTAAAATCTAATATTACAAAAAATTAATCATTGATATTTTTAATTTCTTTAGAAAGCTATCCTGGAATGTGAAAAAGAATGGTCGATGAATAAAAAGCTTGTTGAAATGAAGGATAAATGCATCACGAAATCAGTAAGTCAAGTTTGACGACAATTTCGCAAATTCAACTCATTTCTAACTCATGCAATTTTATCTTATAGCTACCTAAAGGTCTTTCATATTTTTGGGTTTCTTTTGGTCCGTCTAATGATAGTTATGGGCATGTTATTGAAGATGAACAAGACTTCTCCAGAAACTTTGCCTATGTAAGTTTTTTTGTTACAATACAACAGTCTTAAAGATATATCTCTCTTTAAATTTGGATCAGAGGTTGCTAAATGCTCTCGATAAAATCTATTAATTCTGCAACATCTAATGGAAATTTTGTAATATTTTATCCTTTAGGAAGTTATCGCTGGATTACTGGATATTGATAGATTTAAATACACTAAGCCAAGGAACGAATCATTCGATGAACAATTTCAACGAGTATCCAAGTTCAAGCAAATATGGAAACAGAACGACGAAACTGGTGACACTCCCTTACTTACCGATGATTAACTCGAGCCAATGAACTGGATTTTGATGAAAAAGCTTTCAAATCGTTTCTAACTTGGATTAAAGATGATCATGTGGTGATCGAAATGGAAAATTTGATAAACCTGTGCACCATAATGGATTATTTTGGGATAAACAATCATTGGATGGATCATTTGGTTACTTATTTCCATGACAAATTTTCAATCTCAGACCTTCCAGTTGTTATCCCACAAGTGACTCCAATACTTCAATGTATAAACTCTCAACGCTTTCATCTGTCGTCATTTCTTGAAGATAGCAAAAACAACTGTTTTGTTGAATTATCCTATTGAAACCATTGAATATATTTGCGAATTAGATTCAATGATTTATTCAGAAATGCAAGTTTTCAACGGTTTTTGTTTTATTAAACGTTCCTAACCATTGTCTAACAGTTAGTTTTCATCTCCGAAATTTGATTTTATATCAATGTTGATTTCAATCATATCTAAACTAAATTGAATAAATTATTTATTTAAATCAATCACTTTGATAACTTCTTCACCGGTCTACTTTGAGTAGTAATTATTAGTGATGGATTTCAATTTGAGATGAGATAAATGAAAAGAGCATAAAATGTAGCCATCATTGATGGCAATAGGCTTTTCAATGATCGAATGTACTTTTAACCATTAACGCGATAATTGCTTGATTTTCTGATATTATCAATTGAATTGGTACAGGTCAAATGGACTAATCATTGTTAATTGCTGAGTTACTTGAAAGTCGCCAACCTTTAAATCCAAGTAAAAAACCGTTTACCGGCTAATCAAACAAAACAAGCCAAAAAACAACTTCAAAGTCAAAGCGTTTAAACCCTAAAGTGTATTTTTTTAATTCATTTATCACCCTGACTATTTCAATAGATACTTTTAATGTTAAACAATTTTTTTACCCAACAATTGGAATTAACTTACCCTTTTATCGTTAATTAAACTTGAGTTAAAGGTTAAGTGAACTTTTTTAACATGTTAATGATACACTCTTTTCACTGATATTTTATTTATTAAAACACTTTTAATTGCCATCATTGATTGAAATCAAGTCCAAATCATTAATGTTTTTAGAAGATTTTCAAATGATTAAGGATGCGAAGTGAATAGCGAGACAACAAAGGCCAAGCTGCACTTTACCTTAATTTTAATGTGTGTGTTGGCTTTTGTATACTGGAAGGAGGTATCTAAACTCGTGATTTATCTGCAAATTAATCAATTTAATTATTGAAACAGTTAATCAATGCACTAAGACAAAAGATCCAATGGATAATCACTGGCACTGAATTGATTAAGGTACGTACAAATGTGATTCAAGGGCTGGCTTATTTTTTAATTTACCGGCTTCTGTTGATTTTCAGTTTAGCGATGATTTACTTTAAAAATTTTGGTATAAAAGTAATCGACACTTGTTTCAATTTCATCAGAACCAATTCGATCTTAAACAGTTAAACATCTCAAGTTAAACAACAGTCAATATAACATTTTGTCCAATTGTGCATTTATCGTGTTTACAAGCTCTTAATAATTTCTGTATTTCAAACTCCAATCATGTCTAAATTTGTTTTCATATGTTTTGCCAGCGCAATAGTGTTCATCTTGCTCATCAACCTGGAATCTACTTCAGCAACTGACCACGGACATGAACACGGAGGTGGCCACAGTAACATCTTTCGTAAACAAGAGTCAACCAAGGGACATTCACATTACGCTTTTGGTTATGACATTAAAGACCCTTGGGGAGCTAGCAATTTCCGTAAGGAAAAGGGTGATTTTACCAAGAAAGGAGGTTGGGTTGAAGGTGTTTATGGGTTAAAGGATAAAGATGGACGTGCTCGATTAGTTAAATATATTGCTGACAAGAATGGTTTCCAAGCTGCCATAAAAACCAATGAACCTGGAACCAGTGATGCTGATGCAGCTGATGCAGCCTACAATGGAGCTGATGGAAGCAAGGGAAAGTGGAGTTATGATGTTTCCGTTAAGGACAGCGGTAAATCAAAGGGTAAAGACTCATGGAGTGCGGCTGCCTCTGAGTTGAATATTTTCCGAATCAAGCCTAGTCAATCAGAGGAATATGTTCAAGAACCAGCATCTTCTGGGGATGATTATGATTCTGGTTATGAAGGCAGAGCAGCCCCTGAATACGAATATGAACCTCAAGCTAAACAAGCTGAAGTTAAAAAGTTGAAACTCTACTTGAAACCCCAATATGATTACTATTATGGATCACCAGCTGAAGAAAGTGTTTAATTTGTCATCATCAACCTCATCTTAATGTATTATTATCGTTACTATTCAATTGTTATCAAATCTATTCATCATTATTTTGATTCTCATTTCAAAATTTTCTTTTAATTCAAGGCTTTTTGGTTTCCTTTTATACCAATGTAAAAGCTCGTTTAATTTGCCTGTTAAAAGATCAATATTTATTTAACATTTCGAAAAATAATTTATCAATCTCTGCTAAATATGTAATTAATAATATTCAATAAATTTTTCAACCTAATTCATAATTAATCAAGTAGTATAGAGCAATATCTATGTTTGATAAATATCTGCATGGGTCTTTTGATTCTGCAATGTTTAACTTCCACTGCTGTTGATCTCAAAGTAACTCAATATTTTACCGAGAAGATTGAATGGAAACAGAATCAAACTGATTCGATAATTTGAATTCGTAGATATTGTTTGAAGAGCTGAAGATTCACACACTTTGAAATGTGGAAATCAGATTGATAAAGCAAAAGACGAAGAGTGGGGTGCCACTTGAAACTCTAGGGGCGTTAATGCAATTTATTCTTAAAAACAAGTACAATCCTTTTCAGTTATCCTTTCTGTTCAAGATTTCAAAATGGTTGTATGGTGCTTGATGTGCTCTCCAATAAAGGTTGAAACAAAGAAATAGCCATGATCATAACCATCACGAAGACGATAGTCGACGGGTAACGAAGCAGCTTTACAAGCGTCAGTTAATTTTTCAATCATGATTTCACCCAATAGCGCGAATTCATCCTCACTTCCCTAGTGATCATGTTGAGTGAATTGAAAGATAAAAATCGTCACAGAGAAAAGAAAGAATTAGTTTTGTGAAAGTAATATTGCATAGGAAATTACATTTGAAGCAGAAAGAAGTAAAGTAGAGAGGGTAAAGAAAATTGAAGAGAAGAGGTTTGACGAGAAAAGATATTGAGTAAAAACCAGAAGGACAAGAGAAAGCAATAACCGCTATCTACCTGTTCGACAATCAAATGAAGAGGAGGCCCATTGTACTTGGCAACCAATTGACTTGCATCCCAATCTTTCCAAGCCTCGGTATCAGGTCCTAAATACTCTTCCAAGCAGGCTTTACCCACAGGCGTACTCATAGGATTAGCAATAGGAGCAAAAGCAGAACATGATTTGTACAAACCAGGATTTTTAAGCGCACAAATGAGAGCGCCATGACCTCCCATACTGTGTCCGCTGATCGACCTTACACCAGGCAGGACAAATTTAAAGTTGTCTTCAACAACTTTTATCAACTCTTTTGTCACATAGGAATACATTCGATAATTTTTTACCCACTTGCCTTGTGTGGCATCAACGTAAAATCCAGCACCAGTTCCTAATTTCCAATCATCATCTTCGCCTTCAACTCCACATTCTCTTGGTGATGTATCAGGACCAACGACGACAAGGTTATGCTCAGCAGCATACCTTTGGAAACCAGATTTGATAATGAAATTTTGTTCAGTACATGTTAAACCTAATAAACAACACGAAAAAGCAACGTCAGTCAAACAAGTAACAAGTGCATTGGTATACATTAAACATGATTTTGGGACGGATTGTGTAAAATTACTTACCAGATAACCAATAGAGGACCGGTAATTTATTGGTTTCAGATGCACCTGGTGGAATATAGAGGCTAAATTTCATTTCACATTTTAATTCAGAACTTTTGTGACTGTAAACAAATTGGTGACCACCAAAGCATTTTGATGTAGAGACAATTTTTACACCAGCCATGTTTAACAGAGTACTAGAGAGCGATGATAGTCGGTTGGAAAAAAGATGGAGAGGGTTCACCAGGTTGAAAGATGGCAATGAAATGACAATCAATGACAATGATGAATTAAATTTTTCTCACAAAGAATCAAATCTTTAAAAGCTGTTGATGTGAATAAAAGTTAACTACACTAGGTGGAGATAAGTATGCGCAATACACCGGCAATTGGTTGGTAACTAACGATATTATGTAAGCTAGCTTGATTTTAGTGGCTTAGTTTTCCTTTTTTTTAAGCACATTTAACGAAACTTACTCTTACAACTTGTTAGCTTTACCATAACATTTCCCAATAAATGAGGCTTACCCTCTTAACATATTTTCGAGGTCAACCAGATCATTTACAATTTGCTAAATAAACCAATGAGTTGATCTCACTGATCTATGACTATCTTTTCTTGAAAACCTTGGTTGTTCATCAAAGTGCCTCAATAATAGAAAGATCACAACCAATGATAACATTAACTAACACTACGAGGAAAAAATTTCGATTAGATATACAGCTGATTCGCTCTCAGTGCTTATTTAGCTTTGGTTAGTTGGTTAGCTCGAGTTGGCAATACAGTTAATGTATTTTTCGTTTTGTGTATGGCCAAGGTGGGCCAACCCCTTTACTACCTTATTTTAGGCATTAGTTTTAACTAGTTGCAGCTAGGGGAGGGGGGGTTAGAATCGTTCCAAGAGCTTAACCCTGGGTGAGTATCTACTGTGTGTCACCTACAGTCAAGACTTGGCGATACTTTAACGCTAACCTCGAGATAGACAACACAAAATATGAAGGCCAGTTGTGCTTATCGCGACTACTAATCACTGATCAATACACAAAGTGAACATAGAGTAACTCAGCTGAACAGTACATCTGAGTACAGCCTGTACTCAGCTTGTTAGTACGTTCACACACATGCTATTAACTATCTTAACTTAGGCAACTTAAGTCTTTTATGCATCAACTGAATTAGGCATGAATTGAGTTCTTGCTGTGTTTAGTTATTCCGACGTGATTGATACAGGATGTTTTGAACTTTTCTGGTAGCTTCAAATTTCAATAAATATGTTAATTTATATAAAAAGGATATCATGAGATGGTAAATCGGTTATCTCGAGACCTTTACTAAAAATTTAACTTTCATAAGTATAAACAAAAAACTTTCGAAATTCAAAAGAAACATCTAGATGAATCTGATAATATTAGGATAATATTGGGTTGAACGGAAATTACTATATTTCAAATAACAATTCAAATATTTGCAAAGAACGATAATAGTGAAAAATTTTTAAAAAATTAAATGAAACGCTACGTGTTTCATTCAGATTTACATGTTGTCACGGTATTAATCACGTCACCAATTTTATCAAAAAAAATTTAAGGCGATATTTGAATGAGGTAATATGTTTTAAGTTAAACATTAAATTGTGAAATGAACAAGGTATTGAGAAGGGTCGCTCCTTGCGATTATACAAATAACAGATACTCTTGTGAAGAGATTCCTAGCGATTCTCTGATGAGAGTCTGAGCGAATGATAACTGATAAAATATCCGCCATAATCAATTGGTTGGTGTGGATTTGACAACTTCAATAACCTAAGAGTAGAAAAAGAATAGAAAAAAATAGGTTAGATCAAAATAATCAAACGATTTAGTGCATTATTTGTAAATGATTACTATACTTACAGGTTGAATAAAATTTTTCAGCGCAGAATAAGCATCGTCAATGTTTTCATTGATTATAATCAAATCAAAAAAGCTTTCTATTCCTTCCATACTCAGATCTTCTTTAGCTCGATTCAGCCGTCTAATGATACATTCATCCGACTCAGTTCCCCGTTTTCTCAATCTTTGTTCAAGTACTTCAAGACTTGGTGGTTTTACAAAAACGAAAAGTGGTTTAAAATCTGACTTTTTCAAACTCTTTACACCTTCGATTTCCAAATCCAAAACACAAATTTTACCACCTCTTTGGACTTGTTCCATGGCTTTTTTGCTGTAAAATTAACAAAAGATAAAATTAATATTCGTTCTTGATAATAGGAGAGTTGAGCGTATTCACCTGGTTCCATAAAGATTGCCAGAAAATTCAGTAAACTCGATAAATTCACCTTCTTCGATTGCCTTCTTCATCGATTCTCGTTCAGTGAAATGGTATTCTGTAAAGAGTTTAAAATTCAAAAATTTAGTAAAGATTCATATCTAAAAATCTCGACGTTAATGTCATTTTCAAACCAATATCCAAAAATCTATAGTAATAATTACGATATTCACTTGGAGGCATGCACAATAGTAACTAAAGAAACAATATGTTTAGCTTTCTTAATTGTATAATAAATGTCCATAGATAGCAATGGACGAAAATGTAAACAAGATTTTTATAGTCATAAAAATCTCGATAATGGATATCTGGATGAAGATGGATAAAGCATGTAGCAGGAAAATTTATAAATAGCTGTCGCTACTGTAAGAACTTGAAATAAACAAATGAACCCATGTGGTTACCTCTGCCATCGATCTCTCCTTCACGAGGTTTTCTTGTCGCATCTAAAAATAAAAAATGAAAAAAATGATCAGAATACTGAGTTTATCAATTGAAGTAAAAGATGATGTAAATGATTTGAAAGCAAATAGGAGGTAATTTGAATTAGGTTGAAAAACAATTGCAAACTTACGAGAAACTGTGAATCCGAGATAATCTTTGAAGTCAGCCATTAGACGACGTAAAAGGGTACTTTTCCCTGAGCCGGAAGGACCACAGATCACAATAGGTCTTATCATCGGATCAATTGTATCACCTTTTGTAGATGAATTGTTTTGAGGTTTTTCAATAGGTATAGTATCGGTAGTCATGCTGTTGGAGTGACACACTCAGTTCAGTTAAATTGAAAGAATGAAATGAGCAGCTTCTTGAGTAAAATTAAGTGAAAGATGGAGCTTAACAAGTTGTCAAAATTGCCAATGTAGATACAATGAACAAAAGTCGATTTTGTCGGCAGTCACATTTTTGTAAATAGTGTGGACATACTTTCCATATTGGTAAAAGTATCAATACTTTTACCAACAATACCCGATACTTTAAACGATGGTATCGATACTCAGCATTCAATGAGCCTCCGTACAAGAGACTCATTGAATTACAGACAAAGGATTATCTTGCGAAGATTTAATCTGTGATCAACAGAGAATGATTGTTTACTCAATTATGTAAATTAAATGATTCGATCAGGTCTGTTCAATAATTGGGACAAAAAACTTTGAATCACAATGATTTGGCATCTTGAATGAATGGCAGAGATGGTGATGATGGACCCAATAGAAGGCAAGATTATCCGAGAAATGATAAAATAATTGTGTTGAGTCACCTTTGATGAAATGATGTCAATCCAAATAACAATCATATAAAGCCAAACAACTGAATTGGAAGAGATGGACCAGGAAAAGAAATGAGAAATTGATGAGGAGGCTTGATTAATACAATGATTTGCAAAGTTCATAATTTACCACAAAGTTGAATTGAACAACTTACACCAAAGATTGAAATAACCATTTCAAGTGCATAGATGATTTATGTCCAGTTAACTAATCAAACCAAATCATGGATTTAACAGCTTTTCCACTTTTTCTATCAGTTTTAATCAGTTTTCAACCATCAGGTAATTATCAATGATTTTTTTCAAATTTCTTGTCAACAACAGTCAACTAGACTCGCATTTAATCCAAACGTTGATCCAATTTCTATACTCTTTTTATTACAAACTCAGTTGAATCTGTTAAATGTTTTACCTGTTATTTTACGATAAACCGATGCACTGATCTCAATTGTTACAACAGTCCAGACAATTGCAGTCCCAAATTTTTCACTGCCGCTGTGGTTCCGTTCAAAGAGTGTCCAGCAGGTTGTGAGATGTTTTCCATATCTGATTCCAATGGTAAGATTTTTACATTTTTCACTTTGTTTTTTAATCAACTGAAATACAATACTTGATCCAAAAGACTAATTTGAATTAATCTGAATTGTCTGTCTTTCATTTTATACGATGAAATTGTATTTTTGGGATAACTGATGAAGAAAGCAGCCATTGTAGGTGATCACCAATCAAAGCAAACAAACAAAATTATTAGAGCTTTTGAAGTAGAGATTGGAATACAATTTCCAACTAAAACCCCATGAAAGATAAAATTATTGTTCAAGTTGTTGACGCACAGAAAGTCATTAAAGTCACACTAAATTGACATAATATCTCAAATATCATATCACCATCGAGATCTTGATTTATCTGCACAAAATCTCATCACAATCTGATACTACGTATCAATGACCATATGCTTTGAAAACTGATACCATAAAGCGGCAATTACAATTACAATATTCACAAGATTTAAAGAAGTCTGACGAAAAATTGAGCCATATTTGTTAATGTATTCATCAAATTGGGTTTCTTTCTATCGCAGGAATTGTTCTTGAATGGCGTCGTGGGTGCGATACGTCCGGCAATACAGCAGGAACGGCGATCGATTTTACCAGTAAATGCAAGACAGAATACGTTTTTGGAACTCGGATGGATAAATGTTTTTGTAATCAAGATTTTTGCAATTCCTCGGCGAAAATCAAACCCGGTTTAATATTGTTATTAACTGTCTTATCTGTCTTAATTTTTATATATTTCTAGAAGTACATTCAATCGTAATTTTATCCTTATATTGGATTCTTGTTAATTGACAACAATTTTTATAAAAATCACACATTTAATATATTTTTAGTTGCAATTATTACATGTTGAAATAAACGCTTAATAATAATCCATTTTTCTTGTAATTGTATTTCAATAAGAGCTGAAAGTGAGAGTTTTTCAAGACTAGTTTTAAATTAGTTCTGATCAGCTTAATTAAAACCACAAAAACCATTATATTGAGGTCAATTCGGAAGAAATCGAACAAATTGCGTTTATAAAGACAATTAAGAAGATAATGGTCATTTTACAATGAAAGTATTGAATTTGTGACATGAGGGTTGTGATTTCGTGATGAGAATCCATCAATACAGGTAACGTTTAATTTCCACCATATTTCAGTTGTCTAAACTATTATGTCGAAATGTTTGTAAATCCATAATGAATCAAGCGATGTCCAGAATTACTTCTTTCTTGAAATCAAACCAATAAAGATGTTATTAAATATCATTTCCAGTTTTTCATCTAATATTCGGTTATGGATTTTAATGAGTATTATTGCTGTCTGCGTTTCAATATATGTAGTCAAACAGAGGCTACTTAATGCAGAAAGTATCACGTTCAGTCTAAATCTTTCATCAAATCAAAATATTCATTCTTGTATAGACTATGATCAGATCCATGGGTAATCATTATTGATTTGTAGAGCTTTTCTTTAATATCTTTGGTGATTCTATCAGATAAACTGTAAACCTTTGCACCCATATTACGCCGAATTTGCAATAACTGCATTAGATGGACGGTTAATTCTGGATGATGATATTGAAAATAACTTTCAAAGACAGGTAATAACTCTCTTCCCAGTTCATCAGCATCTTTCCATCTTCTTTCACTAGTTAATCTGATGAAATTTGTGAGTTTTTCTTCAAACCAAGGCTCTATGTTGGGACCTTCTTTGCATCTAGCACATTCACAATCGAAATAATATTTGTTAGAAAGAATTTCTCTTCTTTTCTCCGTTGGTTGGGTTATATCTAGATAAGTAATTAGTATGGGTTCGACTTCGGTGTCAATGTCAGTCATTGCCCTAATCCTTAGAGTTGTACCATCAAACACAGGAACACAGTTCGGTTTACAGCTATGATCAAATTGTGAGGCTCCAATGAAGATACCATAACCAATCTCGGAGAATGTATTGTCCAAAATTGTAAACCCATTGATCAACAACTTACCAAAGCTAGATAAAATTTGATCGGGATCGAAGAAACAATTCAATGTTCCGTAAAGGTAACACATTTCCTCGTAAATAGTGACTCGATTTTCATCTTTTTCAAGGTTTTCTTTGTGATCCATTAGTGAGTTGAAGGTTCTCGGTGAACCATCATTAAGGTTTGTGGCATAGCTTTTAAATGCTTGTTCAGGTTTTTTGGTTAGTATGAGTGATAACCGTAGAAGCAATCGAGGTGTGTCCAAATTGATCAATCGACCATTAAACTTGTCAATATCAGCAATATACAGTAAACATTCACCCAATTTATGACCAGCCGACCAATCTTCTGCTTGGCATGCTTTACTGCAATAAAACTTGACTTTACAACGTGAGCATCGCTGAAGCTTAGGGCTGAGTTAATAGGATAATGAAAAAAAGTAAACAACATGATAAACACTGTCAATAGATCGATTAGAGATTATCTAAAGATCATGATCAACTTTGGACAATCATATTTACCTAGCAGTAAAACAATGGTCACATCTTTTACCTCGTTCGGACAGGTTCAATACATGGACAAATGGTTTATCTTGTTGTATTACATCTCCAGCTTTGAATTTAACCATGACTAAACTTTGACCAGTTCTTTGCTTGACAGATCCGACTTGTGAATATCACAGATAATTAATCTCTTAATTAGCAGCTACAGTTGATGGACCAAAGATTGAAAGACTGATCAACTATAATTGTATCCAATAAAGTAAACTTTCAATTGTGAAGAGTCAGACAACACAAAGAAAAATTGGATCACCAAAATAACATCAATGGCGAGTGTTTCACTTGTTGATATTTGATCATTCTTTCCGTACTTGTTGATATGTGCTTTCGATTGGCCAATTACTAGCGTCGATTAAACACAATTAAACACTAAAAGTAAAAAGAAATACAACAAATTAACGAAACAAAAAGGGATTAATTATCATGCCATCCTGGCTTGAAGTGGGTAAGTTCGCCATGTGATTTCAATCATGTGTTACTTTAATGTTGTCTTGCTTTCCATGTAAAATAATGAACCGGCAATTTCAATTTTGATGAAAGTTACGAGAGAAACAAAAAAAAATGAGTAAATCTATCCAATCAGTTGATCTTATTTTGTAATTAATGGTCCGTATATCATTTCCAATTAAATAATTGTTATTAAATATGATTTAATAGGAATAGATTAATTTTTATTCTCAATCAATTTGTAAAATATCCGGAATACAACTGCAAAAACGTTTCTCAATCTTGTAAAACCAATGAGTTAAAGTCAGAAAGAATCGGATTAATTCGACTATGCTTGTTTCTCAAGATAATTTTTGATTCTTGATCAAAATAATGAGTAAAGACTAGCTCTATGATTAAAATTCAATAAGTACGTGCGCTAAGATACATAAGTTAATGAATTATTTGAACAATGAAATCGGTATTGATATGCCAGATTAATAACTTTTGTACTCTAAAATTTTCAAAATTATTCAGTAATTTGAAACAACTCAACTAACAGGTTAATTTTACTGAATTTTACCCCTTTACTTAATGGTGATACTCACCGATTATAATCATTCAGTGTTTCCAATTATTGGAGTATCAATGGTTATCATCGCAATAATCGCTTTGGTCGCCCATTTTGTTAGTAAGAAGATCAAATTCGAGGTTGATTTAGGCGATTTATGGTGGCAAATAAAATGGGATGATCTGGTTTTTCCTGAACGTCAACTTGGTAAAAGATCAACTTTATCATTAGGAATCAGCGAGGCAAGTTTCCGTAAATCAGCAGCAAGTGTAGCTTCTCCGATATCGATGGCAAGTACAACGGGAACATTGAAAAATATTTCTGGAGTGTTGGTTGCAATGCACAAAGTAAGTTAAGTAAAACGTGAAACTTGAACCACTAAATACATGTTTAATTGATTAAGAGCTCTCCTTTCACTATTCATTATTAATGGTACTGTTAATAGGGAGTCCGAGTTGCAGTTAAAGTGGTTCCTGTCAAAAAATTTTCCATAAACAGAGCCTTACTCATGGAACTGAAACAAGTGAGTAGCAATTCAATCAAATCGTTGGATTCCTCAGCGGATACAAATCAAGAGAAACAAATAAACGCTCATCCTCAAATTGATTTGATTAGCAAATGTTGCTTAGCGCATTGTATTGGTTTGTTAATTTTATCTTTCCTTCAATAGATGAGAGAAACACTTCACGAGAATCTAAGTCGATTTGTTGGATTGTGTACTGAAGAACCCAATAGAGCCATAATAACGGAATTATGTTTACGAGGTAGCTTGCGAGATTTACTTGAAAATGAGGCCATACAATTAGATTGGGTCTTTAAATATGCCATGATTACTGACATTGCTGAAGGAATGGGTTACCTTCACTCTTCACCGATACAGTTTCATGGTAACCTCAACTCCTCCAATTGTATCATCAATGAAAGGTTCACCGTGAAAATAACAGATTATGGTATCAGAGAGTTTCGTAAGCAGATAGATCGTATGGAAGATTTTAATCCACGGAAATTTTTCTGGAAAGCTCCTGAGCATTTACGTGAACGAGATCCATTCAATACTGGTTCCCAGAAGGGTGATGTTTACTCGTACGCAATCATTTTACAGGAAATAATCACTCGATCAGGTCCTTTTGAGTCAATGGAGAGGCTTGGGCGTAAACGAGCACACATGGAACCAGACGAGATTTTAGATAGAATCAGGATGGGCATGGTTCCACCCTTTCGCCCTGAAGTGTCAGCCGATGAGGCACCAAGAGAGTTGATTAGATTGATGCATGCAGCTTGGCACGAAAATCCTGATAGCAGGCCTGACTTTGCCACAATAAAGCCTATACTCAAACGCATTACCAAAGGAACCTCGTCACGAAATTTGTTTGACAATCTGCTCAGTCGTATGGAACAATACACAAATAACTTGGAACGTATGGTTGAAGAGAAGACGGAATCGCTGATGGAAGAGAAGAAAAAGACTGAAGAACTGTTGTACCAATTATTACCACAATTTGTAGCAGAAGAGTTGAAGAAGGGTAGCCAGGTTTATCCAGAAGCATTTGACGCTGTTACCATATTTTTCTCGGACATTGTTGGCTTTACCAATATATCAGCTGAAAGCACACCACTTCAAGTAGTCGATTTACTTAATTATTTATACACTACATTTGATAATGTAATTGAAAAATATGATTGTTACAAGGTTGAGACAATTGGCGATGCTTATATGGTTGCATCTGGTTTACCAATAAGAAATGGTAATGTACGAGATAATACAAGTAATACATTAGTCAGTTTTAATCTTTTCTTTGTTTTGCTCCATTTCACCGGTTACTCATTATAATGTTTATAATGTTTTGTTTTGTTTAGGCAATGATCATGTTAGAGAAATATGTCGAATGGCTTTGGAATTGAGAAACTCAATGCGTAATGCTAAAGTTCCACATGATCCTGAAAAGACTCTAATGGTTCGTATTGGTATCCATTCTGGTCCATGTGCTGCCGGCGTTGTAGGCCTTAAGATGCCTAAATATTGCCTTTTTGGTGATACAGTTAACACTGCGTCAAGAATGGAATCTCATGGAGAACCTCTTAAAATTCACATTTCAAAAGCTACAAGAGATATCATTGAACAATTTTTCAGATCTTTTATAATTGTTCCAAGAGGAGAAATTGAAATCAAGGTAAGTGCAATCCAAATTAGTGAAAACTTCAACCACAATTCACGGCTTATAACTTTCTCACATATCAACACTTTGTAATAGAGTGATTATGCTCTTAAAGATTAATCTTCCTATTACCATATTTGGCAGGAACCTAATTCACTGAAAAATGAAACTGAAACACAAAGACATCATAAATTTCAAGAAACCAGAATTTAATTTCTGCATTTCTTGATATTGTTTCAGTTTTCAAAAAAGTGTATTCATATGTGATTCAGATTGTAAGACTTGTCATTTTTTGTTTACTGCTAAATTAACCCATTTTTTCAAAATTGATTTGTTAACACAGTTGTTTTAATGAATCAAGAGTCTAGTCTTGTGTTTCAACTTACATCTAATTTTTTCATTCAGCCTTTAATCGGATATTTAGACCAATTTATCGTTTCCTAAAAATTAGACATTTGGTAACAGCTAAAAGTATCAACCTACTCGAAGAGCATTCAGATTTTTGCTGTGATCGACAGTTGCAAGGTTATAAATTTGAATCTTTCAATTTTGACCATCATTTGAGTTCATTTAAATGACATTATTTCAATTCTATTAAATTATTCTGTCACAAATTAACGTTATTTCATAATAAATTGTTGTAATTTTAGACTGCAATGACACTTATCATTACGTTTTTAAGGTTAACCATCAACAACAATGGAAAGTAGCTTTTAAAAAAAGGATTTGATAGGTTGACAAAATAATGCATGCTATAATTTGAAAGCCCACACAAGTCTTTTTGTTATTTAATGGTTTGAAACTGTACTTTTCTTGGGATATTGTATAAAAAATAAGGTGAATTTAATTTAATATTTATAAAGCAACCAGAACTGAAAATAAGGTTTACTCCAGAAATTGAAAGGTTCACTCAAGGTTGATTATACATATTTTTAACAACACAGCACAGTAATCTAAATGATGAGAATGATGATACAAATCAAGTAAAACCTAATTCAAAGGCAACATGGTAATTTGTTATAATACTTTAACTCATTGTCTAACTATAATCAATTTGAAATGAAAAAGGTTGGGTCAGTCAACTCAATAAAATGTATAACCATAATGTGACCGCATTGAAAAAGATCCTACCTTACAAAAAGATTTTTGTTTCGGTTAGCAAATTGTTTCCGTCGGATGTCCATTATCCTGGTCATTCATATTTAGAAGTTTGAATAAAAATCAAACCCTTGTATTGACCTTTTCATAGTAAATTTACTACGTTTGATGCATTATGATCACTATCATTACCATCAGTGTAATTAACAAAAATACTCGGTAGACTGTTTTGCTGTAACAATACAATTTCAAATTGGGTTATTTAGATAGCCAAGTTTACCAGCCTAGTTTAACAAATGGACAGACGAAGGTTTGGGTGTATTGATTGGTACTAAACCAGTAATTCAATTGTTTCAACCAATATTTAAACTAAAATTTGTATCTTGTTTCTCAACACAGGGCAAAGGGATAATGAAGACTTATTGGTTGGAAGGAGAGGTCATAGATGCAAATCAGAAGACCACAGGAAGATGATGATAATGAGTCAATTTAAATCAATTTGGTTCCAATGATAATCAAATTATACAAATAAAACAAGGATTAAGGTCAAAGGAGGTACAAAGACGACACTAAACATGAAAAACAATCAACTGATACCAACAATTGTAACCAAAAACAAAAACCTAAACAAAAAGAAAGCTACATACGGGGGACGTTGCGTTATTACAATTGTTAGAGGTAAAATTATGATGACAATGATTAGGTAGGTAAATGGTATTTCGTGAGTCCTGTTTTTTTTGGTAAAATATTATAAAGAAGCAGACGATGGAAGATAAAGGCAACAGAAGATGACAATTTCTGATGATCACCGTGATGGTTAAACTGTGAAGTTGAGGTTACCATTTTCATGTTGTTAGACCAACAAGCCATAATTTACTCTGGAACAAGCTTTTTGATGGAAGAACCAGAATATTATCTCCAAATAAATGGAAGTTGAACGATGAAAGCGAAACGAAATGTTGTGTTATTACATGATATAACTAGTTATATACATACAATAAGATGTAATAGCAATGGATTGAAAGCATGAACCATTATAATAACATGAGGATGAAAACAAAAGGAAAGAATCAAAATTAAGACGATGAAAGGAGTAATGTCAATGGCTTGCTAAATTCAGTTAACCGTGATTGCCTTAAGGTAAAAAGTCGATGATGTTAATAGTGTTTATGTTTAATTTTCATCTCAATTTTTGTCATTTTCATCTTCATCATTAACATCGTCAACATCACCATCAAACCTGATCATCATTTCCACCATGCGACTTGTCCATTAATAACTGCTTCTATTAATATACCTTTTTTTTCACCAGGCAAAGTAAGACTTTATTTGGTTTGTAAATGATAATCATTAGTATCATTAAATTGTGACAAGTAGTTGAACATACTAACACCTACATTAAGTTAACTCTTTGATTGTACTCGCAATTATCTCTGTAAATGGTTATAATAGTTGCTGTTTTACCAGTTTCCCCTCAATTATTATTGTAATGGATGGTAATAGGATATAAAACGCTATATCAAACCCTTTGTACAATTACATTCCAACATTGATGTAAATTTGTTTAATCATTTGGTTTGTCAAGATATTAATCTTTGCTGTTCCAACTGATTAATCAAACTTGAAAGTGTCAATTCAATAGCTAGTTAGATTAGGTGATTTGAAATGATTGTCAAGACAATTTACATTTAAATATTTCAATCGCTTTCTTAACATAAAATAAAAGCACAATAATACAAAATTTTTATATGTTTACAATGAGAGTCTCGTTGGGTTTTTGATTTATAAAAGTAGGTCTTAAATAATTAGATAATAATTAATGGATTGACAATGAGTAAATTGTTTGTCATTTTACATTTCAAGTTTGATTTTTGTTTGTTGATAAAAAAATGGAATACACAATTGCACATGTATTTATATTTGTTTATTGATTGAATACCAATCAATAGAAAAAAATTAACAATTTAGTGTGACAATCAGAATGTCTTCTCGATTAACATTAAGGTAATCATGTGAACATGCTGTAAAGGGTCTTTGTATGTAAAATAAAAAAAGTTCAACAAATGTAACCAATTGCAAAAGTAATTTGGTTTAACCAATTCAACAGGGGAAAATGAAGATGGAAATGTCATGAGATGTTTTCCCCTTTACAATTTTTGATTTGATGTGAGTTTAATGAAATGATGAAGGGAAAAAATTAAGCATCGCTAGTTGTCGATGGTTCTTTAAAATGAGCTGTTGATGATTGTGATTGACTTTGCACATTACCGGTGATAGGATTAAATTTTTTAAGTTCACTGCGAATCGCTTGAATGATGTTTTGGGTTTGCTCGGAAATATGAACTTGAATTAATTGAGGAACCGTGCAATCAACCTCATCAATGCCTGATCTCATCAATGGATTCTCATAATCGCCAATCATTTCTTCCTTAGTGGTAACATAGGTTACTCTGGATCCAGGAACTTGATGGGAAGGATGATGATGATGATGGTCATGTGAAGAATCATTGGAAGACATTTCAGCAATTTCATCAAGTTCACCAATTGGAATAACCTTTTCTTTAGTCAATTCAAGGCGAGACTGAGACCCTAAACCATTTGGAAAGGCAGTGAATGGACGACGAGATCGATATTCCGCTGTCCTCAGTTTCAACGAGCTTTCAGGTGAATCAAAGGAAAGATATTCAAATTCATGATTAGAATCAATGGTTCCAGAAGTTGCTGAACAACCGCCTGAAATGTTTAGTCCAACATTACTTCCATGACTACCAAGAAATGATCTTTTAGACCCAGGAGCAGAAACTTTCCTCCAATTGACCAAATTTTCTTTGGTACTGGCTTTCAATGGTTTAACCATGTGGCTAGCCTTGGATCGTATGTTTCCAGATCTTGCTGGTTCCCCTGAAGATAATTGGTTGGAAGATGATGATAATAGCCTGCGATTTTTGCGCCAAACAATTAAGGTTAAAAGTGAACAAAAAATGAAAACCATCAAAGATAAAATTATCATGACAAGGGGAAGCCAGTCGAGATCTTGAAGTGCTGCAGCCAAATTATTCTTGGTTTCAAGTGTATTTACATAAGCTAAAAAGTCAGTAAGCAAGGGAAAGATGATAAGGTAAAGAGAGAAAAGAAAAGATTATCGTTAGAAAAAAAAATATAAATCACATTCAATTGAAATACAGATAATGGGAAAAAAGAAGGAATGGAAAGTGAAAAGGAGAAGAGAAAAAAAAATGGGAAAACGAAATGTTGACAATATACAAAATGAAAGAAGTGAGTAATGATAATGAAAGCTTGATGGTTGGAAAGATTCATAGGGTAAAGAGATAACCATGAAGGTGAGTGTCATTTTCATTGAAATTACAGAAGAGTTGATAAAGAAAGAAAGATAAAAATCTAGATTTGACTGTCACTATTATAATTTATTTCACTTCTATTGCCGACAACTTATTGTTTAACATTTGCGAATCAAAAACTATGGTATAAAATAGCCGATCCCAAAGGAAGTCCATTGAAAGCAATCTATCCGTATCGCTGTCACTGACCGAGTGCAATAAAGATTGGGTTAAACACGTAAAGAGAGGTTAATACATGATAGCAAATGAATGGTTTCAAATGAACATTTCAAAGTCACCATCGAGCTTGGCCATTTTTTTCCTAATTTCAACCATTTAGTAAGCAGAGATTACCATTTGATTATACATGAATTAAAATGATAACTGGCTTCTAATGGTGACAATGACTTGGCTCAATTGCAAACATGACAATTTAGTTGAGGTTCATCAGTTCACTCATCATAACTTGGGTTAATGATGATTAAACTGCAAACTCTGTACAATTAAATTGATAGCCATGGGAAAATTTATCATTAAATTGCATCTTGCCTGTGAGTACAATTATAATGTTGATTTTTCACTCTCATAACAATTAATGGTGAAAAAAGTAAAATGAAATTTTTCTCTACAATTAAAGGTAAATTCTGTAAATTCTGACAACAAGCCAACAATTTAAACAAGTTAACATTTCCTTTTGTCAACAGTTTAACAATCATTGACTTTTAACATCAAATCAAAAGAAGCAAATATTCAAAATGAATATTTATAATGAATTAAAATGCACTTTGATTTTATTGTATTTTTACCTCTTCTCCATACTGTGAATCAGCTCAAGGTTAATAGTTAACTTAATTCAAAACAATTAGCAAAACTCACTGTATAAGTTATCATTATATTCATTCATGAAAACATTGAAACAATTAAGAAATTGAAATTAACCTTTCAATGATATTTGATGAAATAAATATCTCTAAACCAATACAAATACAAACGTTTTACAATTTCATTTTATTTTTGTATACTTGCATGTTAATGTACCGAAAAGACAAACTGAAATAGTCTTAATCATCATGACTTGATTTGTTAATTGTTTGCAAACTAGCATAATAAAGATACAACCATTAGACTTGTAACGTGTTGACCTCGATTTAAGGTAATCATTTTGGGAAGATGATGAGGAAAGAAGATAACCTTACGATTACCTGAGTTTTTCTCAGTATTAATACAATTATCATTTTGTTTTCATTCAACACATGAGCACATCATATTACTGGGCACTTTTGTTACACTAAATTACCACAATTAAAAGCAATTAAAGTTAACCAATTTGATTAAGGTTAGGTTTAAGTTCAAAATGATAAGCCAAAAATGTTGGAGAAAAGATGGCAAAAAATGAAAAGTAAATGAGAGTGAGATGAAGATGGTGCGTTTTCAGTTGACACTAATATAATTTGAAGATTACGGAAGCTTAATTAGTTATGTAAATTGAATAATTAGCAAATTAACTTGTACCATTGAACAATATCTACATGAAATTGAGACTTCCGGATATTCTGGTGGTTAAAAAGGTAAAAGGAAAGGAGAAGGGAAAAGAAGGTAAACTTACGTTCAGCTTTTATTGTTACATTATAACCCAAAATGTTGGACATTTCTTGAGGAGTAACATGACTTAGAACTGTTATAAGATCTCGAGGTAAAATTTTTTCCTTATCTTGTTCAATCTGATAAATTATGTGGATATCATTGGTTGAATTGTTCCAGAATAAGTTCCATAACTGGTTAATCCATTTTCACATTGATTAAGAGTCAGGGTGGATGACACCATCAACCATAATTAGGCGAGTAGAGGAATCATTAATGAAGAAAATGAAGAAAAAGAAGAAAAATTGAAAGTAATATTAATATTGATAATAACAATAAATACTAATGATGGTTAATGATAATGGTAAAGGTAATAATAATCAGTGAAAGAAGAAAAAATTGAAAAATGAAATTTTCTAATTTGTTGATGGGTCAAACTAAATTTAACCCTGTAAAAAAAGGTAAATGTTATTAAGCTAACAATTAGTCGATTAGCTTGAAATGATGATGGTGATTAAGTTTTCTGCTTCTTATTGTTGTGGTCATCATGCTTTTGTGTACAGACGAAGACAACAGATGATGGGATAAGGAAATTTGATAATGCCATGAAGCAGAATGGTTAAGTTGGCTTGGAAGGGCGAGAAAAAGTGAAATCAAGTGTTACCTTAACGTGAACGTCTTTTTTAATAACATCCGAACCTCCGTTTAATTTATTAAATTGTTTATGATAAGCTTTTGTAAATACTTCAGCCAGACGAGTTTCAAAAAAGATTGTCAAATTGTCCGCATTTAATGGTAAATCTTCATCTCGTTTGAGAACTGAAAAGATGGAGAAAAGATTGAGTCAGTAAAATTCAGTTTCAAAGTGAAAGCAAGATAATTTGTTGAAAAACATGGAAAGAATTGTTTCTGTTTGTTTTGAAAATTATCTTAAACGTAAAAAATTTTGCCTCATTTCAAGCTTTTAATCAATCATTTTCAATTAGTAAAAATTTGTGCGTTTACAATGACATCATGATTTTCACCCAAAACTGATTGACTAGAAAATGTTGAATTAAGATGTGAATCGAAGGTAATTTTACTGAATTTTTGCTATCGACTGAGATTTGCATATTTCTTTAACATGAATTGATGAAACCATTAAACATTGTATCAATATTTCATATCAATTGGGATTGACCAAGTTTACAATTAATCGTGACTTTTCGTGTGATAGCAATTCATTGTAATTATTTAGTCTCTATTCAGAATTGTATTCAGATAATGAAAATTTATTCATCATTTTCCTTTCTTTTGCTTCTCTTTTCTCCCTTGATCTTTACCTTTCATGATCGAAACTCATTATAATACAATTTGAATCAAATCATTGTTAATTTGACCATAAAGCCTAACAAAGTATCAAATTCATTTTACATTAAAACCAGGAAAAGGAATCATTTAAACAATTATTGTTACAATATGAAACATTCAAGAATATTTTGGGTTTCATTGAGTTAACAACATAACTGATTGTTTCAGTTAAATTAACAGCAATCTTCAGGGCGTATTGTAATGGCGATAATTACATGAGAAAACGATCTTGATCATGGTTCGCAAATGATTCCCAAGTTGACCAAACAAGATTAAAATAGACACATAATGCTACAATCAAAGTTCAATATTTTGATTTACTTTTTTTTCCTGGTTTATTGTCATCTTATCCATTCATTCACCTTAATCATCATCACATTTTCACTATAAAAACTTGTACTATCATCATTTTCATACAACTCAATGTTAGCAACTTTTTTTGGCATTTCTTTTCATCGCCATCATCTCAAGTTTCTTTGAATGATTGAATGATGAATAAATGAGAAGGTGAGAAGATAATGATGAAGTCAGAAAAAAAACTCTAATTTGATTGTAACCTGTTAGAGTCAATGCTGCAAGGTAAAGAATGATAATGATGAAGGAAAAAAAATTATGGTGACCTGATAATAACCTTTATTGATGAACCGTTGACTTGTTGATAATCAATTTATGCTTTGCCATAATAACGGTGATGTGAAGTTGAGTTATGAAAAAAAATGTATTGAAAGGTTGGAAGAAACTATTGGCCTGGAAAATTGGACAATGAAGATATTTACTTTCAGAGGTTTAAGTAGCTTCGTAAGGATAAACCGTGAAGGCATAACAATATTGGTAAATGTTGAACCCAATCTTTACCAGCAAAAATGATTTTTCAACCCTTTAATATCATAAACACTTATCGTTAGTCTGTAGGGCTGAAAATTTGTGTTGCTTTTATGATTTTACTTGAGAAACATGGTAATATTTGAAACTGTGATTCTTGAGTTGTTGAGGCGATGTCAGTGATCTGTGTTACGTTAAATGAGCAAATGTTGTTAGTTCAATCATAATCACAGTAATGTAATTATATTTTATGATTGAAACAGCAAAAATAAAATGTTTTACAAATGATGTTCAACAAGAAATCAGGTTTTTTTTCAGACTAATGTTGAATATCATTAACATTGAGCTGTTGATCAAAATTCAACGAAAGATTTCTAAGGTTTTCTTAAAGTGGTTGAAAAATTAACTGATTATACTTGATTATACCTGAAAGTAAAGTAAATTTAATCATCTGTGTATTACTGTCAATTAGCCAATTAACCAACAACCTGATGCTAACTTGCTAGTGATAATGGTTGCTTTGCATCAATAAACTGAACGAAAACAAAAGGAAAGGAAAGGGTTTAACGTCAGAGTAAAAATTAATATTCAATTTAAATTTAAACACAATTATTTGTAAGCTATTATTATTTATACCTTCATTATTCACAATTGTCATAAACAAACATATGAATATTGAATGGTAAACGAGCAAAAAGACATTAACTTAAGAACAGAATTTTTAACATGCAAAGATTTCTTTCTCTCGGAAATGACATGAATTTTGTTAAATTTTTACTTCAATTGATAAATGCAGAAGTTTTGATGAATTGTTTAATTGCAGACTTGAAATGATCAATCAAACTACTCAATTTAAACTTGCATCTTGATCAAACCTACGGCTTGAGTTAATCAACATTTTAAACAATCAACCAACCCAAAATGATGCTGTGAAAGGGGCAAAGGAAAAAATATGATTTATTCAAGCAGAATGAGTGAAAAAAAAGTTCATCATTGATCCAAGGTTAATATGATTTCCTGTTGAAATGATAATTTTTCATTTTTTTTCTCATGAAATTGCTTTTAATGGCAATTTGAAATCATTTTATCTTGTGAATCTAAATAGACTAAATCATTGATGTTTACATTGATTTTGTACGCATTAAAAATGGTCAAAAACAATAATGAAAAGCCTAAAATGGCAGATGGAAATCAATGAGGATAACAATTTAATTGTAGTTTAACATTAATGATTGACACAAGGCTAACCATATTTTGAATACTGAGTAATGATTAATGCTATTTTCCCGTTGCTTTGGTTTTATAATTATTTGGTGATTTTGATCTATGAAAAACGTGTTGTTGAAACAAAGGTGAATTAAGCAAACGATGTTTTAAACCAACTAGAAGGACTATTGACTATCAAGGCTATTGTTGAGTGGTCATCCGAGTGGAAATTTTGTTCACTCAAAATACATTGAAACGGGAAATACGAGATAAATGATGGAGTAAATTTGTGATCTCTTTTTTTGCTACAACATCATTCTTAAATTAAATCAACATGGTTGTTACATCCTAGAGCTATAATGATGGTGATAATGGTTAACTGGATTGAAAAAGAAGCAAAAGAAATGAAAAAAAGGTAAAATTTAATGTTGGTAGGTCCAACAGGTAAATGTGATACTATGTAGTCTATTAGTGGGTTTAAGTAGCTACCGAGGCAAAACCTACTTAAATAGGAATGCAAGTGACAATGATGATGGTTATAGCGATGAAAATGAAGGTGATGACGAGAAGCGAAAAAATTAAAGAGTGAGAAGAAAAAAATGGGAATTAGGGAAAAATCCCGTCACAGAATTTTAACTCAATATGTTTCTATGAGTGAAAAATTTTTAGGATAAAGTGTTGGTGATGTTGTTCATGTTGGTTAAGCTTGATGATTGACTTAAATGAGGCAAAATGGGAAAAAAAAGGAAAAAAAGTGATAGAATGAAAAAAGAGAAAAATCAAGTAAACATAATAAATATCTCATGATTTGATAACATTTTTGAGCACAAGAAAAATATGTTTAACTTGTAATTCTCTGATGCACTTTTTACTCCTCTTTTTATATCCTTGAGTCCATGGGAATTGAAAAGATTGTATTTTTACCTGAGCGAACCAGAAAACCTGAAGTTGCAGGTTGACTGAACCGAGTATCACTAGGATCACATTTTGTTGAATTTGATGTTGCAGCTTGTGGGATTCCATGGTGATTTGGAGAATTTTCACCATGATTATTGGTTTCATTATTATTAAAGCTATTATCAATTTCACTATTATCGACTGGATTGGATGTGAAGGGAAAATCTGTAGTTGATGAATCCAGGGATGAATCACTTGGTATAATGCTGATTGTGCCAGAAAGAGCAGGAAAGTAAGAGGAAGATGATGGAGAAGGTGATATGCCCATGTGACTTTCGCTGGTTTCATTTGTATCACTAGTATTTGGCTGATTGGTTAAAGATGGTGAGGTTGAAACCTCAATTGTTGTTAGTGTTGGCGATGATTTGATGTTATCGAAGGCTCCATTGTTTGGATTGATGGATAACTCATCAGGTAAATTATCTGTCAATGTCGGTGTTATTGCTGTTGTTATCACATGATTAATTTGTTGTGACCCGGAAGGTTGATGACCATGGTGAGTCGGTTTATCAGAACTAACCGTGTGACTATAATTTAAAGGAAAAGTAACATTGTCATTAACATTAGGTGATAATGATGATGATGGTGGCATAATGACAGTATCAGTGTTAACAAAAGGCGCTTGAACTGGACTAGAAGAGAGTTGAAAAATTGACATAGTTGATGCAGCATTTTGCTTATTGCTGATTAGTTCAAGAGTTGTGACTGGCTTTAAAGTTGAGCTTGTCATACTATTTAAAGATGGAGTTGGCGCCATAGTAGATGAGGATGAAAATAACAAAAGTTGAGATGATTGTAGGTTACTTTGCATAGGTGATGATGGCAGTGATGGTGATGGTGCAATAATAAAACGAATAATTGACGGGGTTGGGTTAATTTGAATGGTGGTGGTTGATTTATCAGGAGTCTTTGTTGAATTTGGCGTTACTCCTGACAACGAATGAGATGCTGTGACGAGAGGTGTAAATTCAGCTTGTGATGTTGTATCAAAAGGCTCAAATGTTTTAGGCCATGGTTGTTGACGCGCTGATTCAATATCAGTGAAAGTTCCATTCTCTTCACCTACAAAAGCAGGGAAAAAAGATGTGGAGGAGTTAGAGTAGATGAAATAATTGAGACAAAATGAAGACTTGAGAAATAGGTGATGAGACGAGGTAAAAAGTGTATACTTACAGGAATAAGCAGTGCTGTTATTTTCAACTTGTAAGGCATCAGTAATCAGCAATTGAGGTAACCACTGATTAGAAAAGACAAAAAGAAAAGAGAAACAATATTAAAAAAAAGTGAGAAGATTACTTAAAAAGAAGAAAGAAAGAAAAAAGTGAATCAATTAAGGAAAGAACAAGGATGAAGCATGGAAATGATAATGAAAGACAAGTATGTAATTGTTAGTAAATAAAGTTGAGTTATATTTGGATGATTTGGAAAAGTTTGTATAGTTACCAAAGAAATGGACAGAACAAGAATGATACTCCATTGAAGCAAATCAATTTCCATAATGGATGTTAATGGTCATCAATAGATGCAAAACAAGAACCAGTGAATTGGTAGGAAGAAATGAAGAAAAACACAAATCAACTTTACCAATGATAACGAGGAGAAGAATAATGATGATGATAATTATGTTGATTATGGTGATTACAATTGAGTTGGTGGTGGTGAAAGGGAAAGGAAGAAGAAGAAAAGAAAGAAAGCGAGTATGAAAAAGAATGGGTCACTTCCATTGTAATATTAAACTGAAGCATAATCTCGAAGGTAACTGCACTGTCAACACAAGTAAAGTTGAATAAACCATTTCAATATTTCTCAAGCAACAAACTCGAAGTTGTCATAGAAATTTTCGTTTGTTATCTTTTTTTTCTGTTAACCAAAAAAAAAATAAGCAAATCAAGGAAAGTGTTGAGGTTTGTTGAGGATTAACAAAGTCGATGATGATCCAATGAGTAAGAGGTAAAAAGTGTGAGAAGCAAAAAGTTGATGTTGAAAATGTAGATGATTAAGAAGGGGAAACAGCAAGTTTACTTTGATAAGCCATGGATTGATTGGTCGTCACTTGTAATGCAAACCATTAACAGCAAAACAGGCAAAAAACATTAACAATATAACAATCTTACAATTAAATCAATAATGAATAATGGTTGAAGCGGCATTTATCAGATAGCAAAAAAAAACACTTTTCAAGTGAATAAAAGGTGAAATGGAAAAAGAAGAAAATGAAAATGAAAAATGGCTGAAAGAGAATAAAAATTTTGCAGATAAAATAAGGCGTCGTTTTTTGATTGGTTCAAAGTTTAACTTGTAAGTCATTCGTGATGTCCGTTAAACAACAAGACTGTAAGCGCGAACAACATGAAAATACAATTTAATAGAGAGATTCACAAAAATATAATAATACAATAATATTAACAATAATCTAAATAAGAAGAAGAGAAAAAGTAAAAACTCTGATCACGATGAAAAGTTAAAGGTGAATGAATGGTGAATAATGGAGAGATGATGACAAAAAAACGTTAGACCAGGGTGAGTTTTGAAGAGATGATGATAACCACAAAAAAAAGATAAATATAATAGATGTTGGAACAAAGGTGAATGAAGAGTAAATGAATGAGAAATGAGGAATAATGCAAAAAAAAGAAAGGTAAATGAAGCACGAATGTAAGCTTTTGCTGTTGTTGATCAACACTGACTGTTGACTGGTTACAGCTTGTTGGCCTAATGTTTTAAGAGAGTGGGAGAAGAGATATGAAGAGATATAATAATGAAAAGAGAGCGGTTTAAGGTTAGGGCGGAGAGAAAGAGGAAGATGAGAGAGCAAGAGAGTTTTTCTTTCATTTCATTCTTCCTTCTATCATCATCATTCTTCCCTCCTGGAATCATTCATACATACAAAAATACACATGCATATACACATTCATTCAACAGATTGTGAATGTGTCTGAACGAGAGACTTTTTTTTCCAAGATTTAGAAAACAGTTTTTACCCAAAAAAAAGCGGAACCAGTTTTCAGAGATTAACTTATTCCTTTCATTATTATCAAATTTACCTACAGCCATCATCAATAAACACAGGTTAAAGATGAAAGGAGAAGAAGAAAAATTTGATCTCTTTTTTAATGGTTTTTATTGCTTTCTTTTTTGTATTCCTTGTCTAATACTAATCACCATCACCATCATTACCATCAACAGCAGCCAGATCATCCCTTCCGATTATGATGACCAGGAGAATAATGAAATTTTTTTGAAAACATTTTTCATCAGATTTCATCTCTTTTTTTATTGTTGATGTTATGATGAAATGATGTTAACTGGTTGTTGTTGGACAATGATTATGATCATCATGATAGACAGGTTGAAAAAAAAATGGTTGAAATGAATTGGACTGAAGATTAAAGAGGGTTGACCAATGGAAATCTTGTTTTCTTTCTGATTCTTCTGTTTGTTGATGGCGATGATCAAAGGTAATTTAAGATGACAACCATTCTTGTGTGCAATGATTTACAATGTTTACTGTTGTTTGTCCTCTTTTCTTGTTCCCTCCATGATTGTTCATCTTGATTCCTCTCTTTTCATTCTCATAATCATGATCGGCTTTCATCGTGAGTCGCAACTTTGCCTAGAATGTCTTGTATTTTTGTTTGTCTTTTTTTTCTGGTCCATTTCCATTCCTTGAAGAGAGCTAGAGTTTAATTGATTTGTTGCTGTCTGCCAATCCATTTGTTTTGATCAGGAAATGATCTTGAAATGGAAATCCCGTACAAAAATAATACACAGCTTTTGAGCTCCTTGAAAACCCAAATCAATGATGACATAGAAATCCTTTGAATAAACGAAGGAAATTTGAAAGATCCGGTTGATAATGAAAATTTTAAAGGAAATAAGCACATCGAAAACAACATGTTGAACACTCCTTTGGGTGAGACAATTAAACGGATCAATGAATTATGTCATCCTTGAGATGTATTTTAACATTGATCCAACTCAGCTAACATTTTAGGGCTAAAATTTACAAATGATGTGATCCATGATCATTAGCTCACCTTTTGTAATTTACTTAGTTTACCATTTAAAACAAGTAGTGATTAGATGATTCCATCTATGAACATAATCGTAGAAAAATTCACCAAATTAATCGTCAGTAAATGAACATACAACATGAACGTACACACATTGGGTAGCCATTGGTAAGCAAAGGAGTGTCACAAGCGCCATCACTCTGTTTTGTCTTTAAATTGTCTTTAGTCAAGTACAGGATTGTATTGTTAACTCTTGCATAGGCAAAGTTTCTGGAAAAGTCTGGTTCAATAGCATCACCATAAATATCACTAGATGGACCAAAGAAACCCAAAAATATGGAAGACCTTAGTTAGCTATTAGATGAAATTGAATATGTTGGAAATTAGTTGAGTTATTGAATTTGTAGCCACACTTACTGATTTCGTGATGTGCTTATCCTTCATTCCAACAAGCTTTTATTCATAGACCATTCTTTTTCACATTCCATGATAGCTTTCTAGAAGAAATGAAAAATATCAATGATTCGTTTTATTTGTAATTTAAAGGAATAATAGTAAATATTATTAATACTTTTACCTTAAAATACAAGCCAATATTTCGGTTGCACAGTTTTCTTCTGTTTCAACAGCACGATGGATATGGTTCCAATTCTTATGTACTAATGACCATTAACAAAAAGGTAAAAGGGAAAACATTAAATTAAGGTTCTCGGCGAGGTAAACGGAGGTAAATGGTTGATTCAATAGAAACAATTAAATGCTTCTCAATCTTTTCAATACAAAAGCCGCAGTCTTGATGAATGACAATCTGGTTCTGTGAATACTTTCGCACTTTTTTATCTTCACCTCACATTGTATTTGATTTTCGAACAGCTTCTCTACATTTATCATCAATATTTATTAGTTGAAAAGATTTTATGATTAATTAAGCTTTATCGTCAACTTCGAATTCTCTTTTGGCTTTTGAGAAACTTTTCAAAAAAGTGAGGAAACAAAATCAAAGTATGGAAAAGTATTTTTATGGCCAGATGAGGTGTTTAGGGTGATTTAGGTTTAGGTCGATATTCAAATTTTGATTTCAAATAGTAAAATCAAATCTAACCAATGCACGTTGTTAAGAGATCGACTGTCGAGCCTCGAAAAAATCTAGATAAACTAGGTAACCAGCCACCAGCTGTCACTAGTAGCAAATTCATTTTTTACTGCTAATGTAGCGCTTTCTGGTTGTTTTAAAAGTAAAAATGAAAGGGAAAAATCAAAATACAGTAGAGTCTCCACTTAAGTTGTACAAATTTTGATGGGCGACATCTAACGGAATAAATTTAGGGCTAAATTTTGAGACTTTTTCATGGGTTTTGACACATTAATAATTGATTAAAGATGGAAACCGTCTTTTATCATGCAATTTTGGAAGTATTTCGTTGGATAATTCCATATTTGAGGTTCAATTCACTTCGATTAAAAATTGCAAAATTTTTGATTCTCATAAATTTGTGAAAAACATTAACCCGCTAGGTGGCAACCTAACAAAAATACAACCTAAGTGGGTACAACTTAAGTGGAGACTCTACTGTAATTGCTATTACTCAAGAAATTGAAGTATCTTCGGCTGGTTCAAAATCGAAATCAGTGTTTCTAAAGATCATTCAAACAGAAGAAATATTATCTCAGATAAAACAACTGGACTGTGATAGATCAGAAGAAACTCAAAAGAAAAAATATGAACGGTTGAAAATATCTTTAGAGGTTCGTAATTGAGGTAATTTTTCAATATTGATCAATTAAAACAAAATTATTTAATAGTTTAAATAGTCGAATTGAAATGAATAAGAAATATAAAAAATGATAAAAACAAACAGAACATTTTAAATGCTGTAAACAGATATTACTGACATGCCTGTCGCATAGATCGGACAGAAAAACAATTAAACATTTGATAATAATTAATTATGAGAGCACAATCAAAAGTGAGAATGTTTGATTGGTTCAATTAATTAAGAGAGTTGCTTATTCAATATCACATCGATGCATAAAGATTAGAATTTATAGATTTCTGATGACATAAATTTTACAAAACAAATTTCACTTGTTTTACATATTTAGTAACGATTATTGGATCGACTATTTGTCTAAAGATCATATTAAATCAAATTTAATTAAAAAAATTGTAGTCATGTAAAGTGTTCAATCCTTCAACCATCACTTTGGAAATATAATTCAAGCGAAGTTCCTTTGTAGTTTCAGTTTATGGTTCGGTTTTACAGCAGGTTCATCTTTCTATTTTGTTGGTATTCTTGCTCTCGAGCGATATTCGTATCATTGAAATATTCAGAATAGCTGAGATGATTATTGCACTTATGATCAAGAAGCTGTCTTTTACTTTCCCAGGGTCTTTCGTAAACTACGGCATAACATCTTTTGATAGTCTGGAAGAAATAAAGAAATAGAATAAGTTAACATCATCAGAAATTCTCACGATTGATATCTATCATTTTACAATAGATGAAGCTCTCAATGTGCAATAAATCGAATAATAAAATTTACTTACAGCATTTCGATCAGGAACACACTGTTCAGGTTTATCTGAATCAATTTCATTTTTACGACAAATTGTTTTACTCATATCAAAGGTTATATTGTATTTTACTCCTCCAACCACTTGAGACTTAACATCATGGATGTGTATCAAGTTTTGAAAATACATGTCATTAGATTGATCATTAATAAGCTTTGCTGCATATTTGGCGTTATCTTTCGCAGGTTCATAATCAATGTCTTTTGGCATCCAGCCTCCAACCAACCTGTGGCCTTGAGAAACAAAGTCGGGAGAAAAAAACAAACAAAATTATATTAGAGAAAAGATTTTGCTAATAAACTATTTCATACTAAAAACTAGAAAACAAATGTCTGGTAGACAAAATGATACGGTAATTTGATTGTAGCAAAGGCCATTAAAAAGTGAAACATCATGCTAACAAGTCATAATAAATCAGAATAATAATGGCCAATAATGTACTCGTCTATACTGAATAGACTAGTCCAAAACAAGTAACAAAACATTAAAGTAGGTAAACAACTTACCATGTTTAGGAATGGATTGAGATGAGCCAAGACAAATGAAGGAAAATAAAAAGATTAAATTTCTCAAAACAATAATCATTGTAACAATAGATTAAACGGAATTAAAGTGAACATTAAAAGAAGTACAGTTAATATATTAAGTGACAGCAGTTTCAATGTAAACACAGTTTAATAGACAGACTCTTTTTAACAGAGTACCAAAGAAATCCGATAAAACGGATCCAAACAATACTCGAATTTATAAATGAACTTTCTATTTCATCTATTCAACATGAAATAAACAAAATGCTACGGCCTACAACATGCATATAATTGCGATTAAATTCCCTTTTAAAAACTGAAGAAAATTCCAAAAAATTCATTTGATTTACAAATTTCTGACTAACAATTTAAAATATCTATATCCAAAGAATGATTCCCTAAATATCTACAACTCAGACCTTTCATTTAGAGCCATTAGATGGAGACACAAATTCGAGTTTATTACAAGCTATTTTAATCGAACTGAAAAAATCTTTTAATTTTTCTGATGTAAACAACAAACTAATCCAACTATAACCCAACAAAGTCTAATAAAAATGCGTTCAAGTCAACATAAAAATTAACCTAATGATCTGTAATCACATTCAAGCTTAATTGGCCTGCAAAAACCTGGAATCGTCCAATAATATGACCAATATTAGGCGATTAATTAACTGTGTTTCCAGTTGAGATGAAAAATCAAAAGAGTTGCTGTTTTATTGACATTAAATATTGTGTTTTAAGTGATAAAGTACCAATTTATCATAATAATGTACTGATGTATGCCTAAGAATGGCACAAGAAACCAAGGAAGGCAAGAAACTTATAACAAAAGCTTAACCTGATGAAATGTTATCTATCACAATGATTACCTTTCAAGTATAAGGTTACTTTAACCAGGCAACATTTTATTTAAACTGATCGGTTAACAATCATCTTTAGACACTAAACATTCACCAGAATTGAACTGCGTTTCATTAATAATCAACAATCCATACTACTTGAGTGAAGGCCTTAATTTCATTTCCTATCATTTTCCCTAATAAGACCAAACAAGTTCAAGTTTAACAAGTACATTCAATAAATACTGAACTCTTCCTTGAACACACACATGTCTACATGGCGTAATCAAAGGAACCGTGAAAGCTTTTACTTAATCTTTCATCTTCCTCTTTCTCTCTCTCACAGGATCACAAGAATTTTTGTCAACAGAAGATGAACAAGAAAATGGAAGAAAGGAGAAAAGAAGAAGAAAATGAGGAAAATATTCTGATATCGGATACAGACCAAAGCAAAATGCTTGACTTTCAAGCTTTTATTCAACTAATAGTTATTCACAATTGCCTCTTGGTATGTTATCATTATCATCATCCTCTTTTCATCTCTCAATCTCAGCCTTACCCAGTTAACCATTACTTATTTCATTCACCATAAGAACACTATTTATTTGTTTATCCTTTTCAATCATCTCTCTCTTCCCTGTAGATAATCATTATTTTAGTCCAATCCATTGGTAACAATCGTAATATTTGAACAGCCAAAGAATCTAAAAATTGGAAACTTATCTTTTAAACTTGAAATTCATCTCAATTGCAACTTTAATTTACCCTTTTCACGTTAGCTGCTAGTCTTCAATTAAGAGATGAAACAAGAAACTCATCCTCACACCAAGATGATGCCGGTCATTTTAAACTTGATGAAATATAACTCATGAATCTCGAGATTTTCAAGAATAGAAATTGGAAAAATTGGGTTTTCCAAATGAATTTCATTGAATCACTTATGCAAAGTGATTGCTAATCTATTGCAGTAAACCAATTAAATCTGGTTAACCAGAAACGTTGCCTCCATTGAGATGAAAGAGTGAATGAAATCGATTCTCATTTCAAGAAAATTTGGCACCAATTTGTTCATCTCTTCATCAGCACAGGGAATGGATGGAAGATGTGAAAACTCTAGAGAAACAGCCTACAGAATAATGAGAATGAATAGATAACTTTTAGATTCCTAAATGTCTCTCCAAATGTTATCCTTTTTTTCATTGGAAATCTCATTGATTAAATGATCAACTGACCATCAAGAGAAACATTCAAGTTAATATTTAAAGGAAACTGCAATCTGATCACAAAATGTTGATCAGTCATTTCCAATCTGACTCAAGATGGCTGATTAAAAGTAAACCGAGATGAAAGGCAAAAGACGAACCAATAGTAAAACCCAGACAAGAAAAAACCAGACAATTTAAAATGATCCAGACTTCAACCCATAAACTGTCCACTCGATAAAAGGTCAAAACAGTGAGAAATAAACGTGAAAAGGTCAAAGGATGAAAGTAAACAACTTGTATCAATAGTAAACCAGAAAAAGGAATCGAAGAGCAAAATATTAATAATAAATGAAAGGATAAGAATTGAAAGCGAAACTTTGATTAGCTCTTTTCAATCAACTCTACATCTTGTAACCAATTATTTGCCACTAAATCACCAAGTTACCAGTTTAATTAAAACGCAATTTGATTGATCAGACAAGAACAATCAGTGAAGAAAATTTCATAAAATTTCAATCGATGTCAGGAATATGTTGACAATTGAAGAAATAGAAAAGAAACAAAAAATTTAATGAAAATGTCAACAATTATACTCGAAATGGATCATTTTAATTGTATACTTTTATCAATTTCAATCAACTTAATGGTTATAATTAACTGAGAATCATTTTTCCTTCACTTCTCTCATCGTTTAATGTTAATGTTATGGTAATTGTGGCAATTACTGATCATTCCTTGGCTTCCCTCTTCCTCCCTGTTCAACACTCTTTCACTCGGCAATCAACAAAATGAGAATTGTAAATGAAAAATTTCATTTCCTTCAGACCTTTTCTTCATCATCTTCAATCTCATTCCTTTTCTCATTCCTTTTCATTTTTCATGGTGCAAAACCAAGAACAGAGGAACAAGAAGAAGAAGAAGAAGAAGTAAAAAAACTGGAAAAGTTTTGAATCTTGATAATAAGGATTTAGGAAAGATTAATCGCTTCCGATTTGAGTTGGCTCGTTCAAGCTTGAAATGATCAAGAAGTGAATCAAAAATGTGAGTCTCAATGAAGGCACAACTCTGAATAGCAACAACACTTTACGCTTTCAATCAAACATAATGTTTTATCTTTTGGTAAACTTCAAATTGAATTAACTTTCAAGATTCAATTTCAAGCTTTTGTCTTCAACAATTGAATATTATTTTTCCCTTTCAACACAATCAACTGATTCATAATTGATTCAATTTTATTCATCCAAATGAAACCAAATGTAAAATAATGTTTGGTGCAACTTGATCAATTGAACTCTAATCAAGTGAAGAAATTAAAACAACTGCAAAAAATTATCTTGCAATTGATGTAAGAAACTGAGTGCAATTAACTTGATCGTGTTTGTTTTTTTTTCTGGTCAAAGTGATTCACTTGATATGCAATGTTTCTCATCAGTTATCATGTTTTATTTGCATTCCCTGTCTTCACTGTATTCAATAGAGAGCAACTTATTTGATCAATTTTCATCTTATAATCCATATGGATGATGATATTATCCAATATTGTTATATCAAATTGTTCAAACAAAAAGTAAACTTTTTTTGCTTCGCCTCTTAAAATTAATCTAACCATTTAGGTTAATGGTAATGATGTATAATTTAGACCAACAGTTTACAATGTAAAGCAATCTGTTGCTTTGCTAATATGTAAATATTTATAATAACATTATAACGAGTCTTGTTGACCTTGATTGCTGTCCAATAAAGTTACAATATAAAAAGAAAGATTCTTGACCTTTAAAAGCACTTTTTTCTGCAACTTCTAAAATCTAATTATCGGAGCGTAGTGAAACGAAGTGAAGATTTTAACTCAGATATGCCATTTTGAAAATCCACTTTTGTTTTTACTGTTAACACGATATCTCATGAACGAGAGCTGCTAACAACTTCATACTGTCTGTGAAAACTATTCATAATGAGTCTCCGGCTGTATCAAATTTTCAAGGTCATCGGAGGTCATTTTTCGGGAATTTGACCTTTGAGCTTTTGAGGTCATTTGAAGGTCACAAATTCTTTTTTGCAGAGTAAACATCACTGACACGGAGAATCATCTAGGTGACAGTAATAGTTGTCGATATATACATTTTTAACCGGAAATAATGTCTTATTCAAAATTTGCGGATCTTAAAATGAAAATAAAATTGACGATTTCGAATTCGCACTTTGAAAGGTTGGAAGTGGATGTAACCAAACCGACATCTGGATTCAAACATATGATCAAAAGTTTGAAGAGCAAAAAAAGTTTGAAACACATGCAATAACAGTTTTTGTTATAAGCTTAATATCTCACGATCGGTTATACTTACAATATTTATATTTGTTAACTGATTTCTTAATCGCATTATACAGAACTGAAATCGTAATAACAGCCATCGGAGGTAATTTTTCGGAATTTTGACTTTGACCTCAAGAGATCATTTGAGCTCCGTTTGAAAATTAACGTTTTATTTTGATAACTTGCATACAAATTCAGCATCGTATCACTAATAGTCAATGAAACGGTGTCTAAAACAGAAAAAAGTCTATAACATAGGCAAGAGAAATTTTTCGCAATAATAACATCTCATTAATAAAAACGCTTTCGAGCTTCCAATATTTCAAACATACCTGGTTAAGAGAATTATGAACAGAAATTTGCATCGCGACCATCAAAGGTCAACTTTCGTGATTTTTACCTTTGACTTTTGAAGGTCACATGAAAATTCAATTCATTTTTATCAGCCATAGAAATACGGCCCTAAATAAAATCTACGAACGTACGCAAAAATTTAAAGCAACAGATAACCCTTTAAAAGATTTCACAAAACAAGGCGCTAGCACCTAAAAACAAATTTTCTATCTAAAATAACTCGGCAACCCTAATCCTATAAGACCTGAATTTCTCTTAAAATCTTGCTGATAAACTCAAATCCTTTTAGAAAATTTCATCTACTGAAAAATTACAGCAAACAAACAAAAAAAGCTTTAATGTGTTTAATAAACACATAGTGTTTCATAACCCTTTATAATACATCTAGATGGAGCGGTGATGATTTTCCTCGCCCGATTTTGATGAAAAATCGAGGGTCCAC